CAAATTTTTTTTTTTGTAAATTAGGGTTGGTCAACATAAAAATAGCTTTTTTAAAGTAAAATGGCTTTAACGTATCTACAAACGTCCATACACAAAAATCAGTAAGCACTCAAAACCAAACCGTAATGAGATTGCACAATTAACTAGCCAAAAACCACTCGTTTTGTCGACTTAAAACCACTTGACTAGGCTACTTAATCAGGTGGTCTCCAGCAGTTTTCGTCTTGCATAATTAATACAAAAGTCAGCGCACTTTTTGGCATGGATGAGCTGATTCGCGGCTTCAAAACAAAGACAACCCGATCTTATAAAGTGCAATCACTTGGAAAAACGAGGACTTATCTTATGTTAGAATAGTTTTACACTGTATTTAAACAAGACATTTTTCGCTGAACTAAACACCCCCCCTTTTCATTGCCCTACCACTACTTCCCTACCATACGGTGCTTAAACTAATTCTATATACTACGTTGTAAGCCAAAATCACTAAGTAAACTGCCGCTTTAGTTTAAATAAAGTTAGATAATATACACGCCGTAACTACATCATAAGATAGCCTTAGAGAAATTGCCAGAAATTTTGTTACGTCATCTTTCTTATGTACTGTTTTCTAATTTTGTAAGATTTGCCTCGATGAAATACGACCCAACAAATGACTGCGAGTGGTTCTGCACCATTTTTCTGTACAGCACCAATTTTTGAAGGAATATAAAAAGCCGTACTTTACTGTTATAACGCTTCATTATTGTTCTGCTAAGCCTAAGCGTAAGCCCAGGCCTAAGCCTAAGCCTAAGCATAAGCCTAAGCCTAAGCCTAAGCCTAAGCCTAAGCCTAAGCCTAAGCCTAAGCCTAAGCCTAAGCCTAAGCCTAAGCCTAAGCCTAAGCCTAAGCCTAAGCCTAAGCCTAAGCCTAAGCCTAAGCCTAAGCGTTAGACTAAGCCTAAGCCTAAGAATGAAGCATATAACAATAAAGAACAAGTATTTATACTCACACAGAGCGGCAGATAAAACGATAGCGTCAAGTTTACCCAAGCTGCTATAAAAGCGTAAGGCATATTTAATGATGCACCATTTTTCTGTACGGAATCCGTTTTTATGTGCTGTATTTTAACAGTATATAAAGCCTGACTACGTGATTTAAAGCGTCATTTCGTTACCACGTCTAAGCCTAATCAATCTGAGCATTTTCAGTTTAAGCCTAGTCCTTCTCTCCTCAACTACGACTAAATATAAACAAAAAACTTGTATCAATACTAAAAATTTTTGTTTCTAAAAGTTGACCGATTACTGTTGCGCAAATTCCACAGCGATAGTCGGCAACGTCGGTATGAAAGCGATATGTCAATGTAGATTTGTCAACCATGTAAAGGTTTATCGCGCTAATGTGTTGAGAGGAAAAGATTTGTGGAGAGATTACAAGGTTATGAATAATATAGTTTTTAATATCGTACAATAAAAAACACGAGAATAAGCTAAAATAAAGAATTTTAAATAATTTAAGCGCAACATGTAGAAAACGACCAGTAAAGTTTTGTAACAGAATATTTGGCGCAGCCTGTAAAAAATAAAAAAAATTACTGGTTTAAAATGAATAAATAGCCAATAAAGTACATAATAATATATCACAAACTGAAAAATAATATTAATATCTTCATAAAATAACATTATGTTTAAACTACAGTGGTCAATGTACAACATGAACATTAGAAGGACAAACATATTGCCGAAAAGACAAGATACATAAGTCCATCTTTTCTTGTTCCGGATCGCTGCCAACTCAAAGGAAATGGACAAAAGAGAGCGCGGTAAATCTGTGAGAAAAATAGAGGTAATAAAAGGCCAAAGAAGGTACAATATGTTTGGAACATACGGTGGAATAATATATTTTGTGCCGTTTTTAAAGTTACATTTCAAAAAATATTTAAAAATTTTAAACCATTTTTGCTTTGTTAACCAAATTAGTGCCACTTTTCGTCTTGTAAAGAAAGTTTGTGCCATTTTTTGTTTTGTAAACAAAGTTCTTGCTATTTTTCACTATGTAAAGAACGTTTTTGCCATTTTTAACCATGTAAAATAATTTTTACAAAATAATTTTCCACTAACTATGAAACACATTGTTTACCAGCTAGGATAACATAGATATACCCCAAACAAACGAATATATTCGTGTTCGGCCGGAAGGCATTAGGCGTATGTTTGGGCAGTAATGGAGACTGAAGAGGTTTTGATTAGGACATGAAATTAGAATACGAACCCAAAACAAAGCCCATATTAAGAGTCTTATTCGGGACGGGAAAATTAAATCGGAAACATGAAAATTTTATAATTTGATAGGAAAAGATACTAGTCCCCACCGTCCAGACCAAAGACGATTGCCTAGCTCTGATTATGAGCCTGCCCAGCTCTAATTATGAGCCTGCTCAGCTCTGATTATAAGCCTGCCCAGCTCTTATTATAAGTTCGAACCAAAAGTATCCGGACACTTTCTAGTTGAAATATACATAAGAAGTGTCCCGCTACTTTTGGTTCAACTTAATATGACACAAGTAAACCAAAGTGAAACATAATAATCGTTCACAACAAATACGACACTATGACTTTATGTTCATTGATATCGCTTATTGTGAGCTTGTTTTCGTAAACGGAACGGTCGTAAAGTCTTATGAACGGCTATTTTTGTGTCGTTAAAATTCTTTTCTTTGCGTTATATTGATATCAAAAATATAACTATGTGACTCTAAAAATACGGCTTTATTTAAAATTTTTTAATTAGACAAAAGCAAAAACTATGTTTACAGCACAAATTTTTTTTTCATATCAGATGCCGGCATAAAGAACCCGCCATACTTTTCCTGTAATTTCCCGTAAAAAATGGCGGGTTCTTTATGTCGGTACCTAATAATATTCGTTAATAACTGCCTCAAATACCCTTCCAGTATTAGGAACCTCCTCAAATCCCCTTCCAGTATTAGTAACAAACAAAGAATCCTAAAACAAGCCTAAAAGCCACTTAAACGTGGAAATTCTCGGTTCGAAAAGCTCATTTAAATAAAGTTTACAATCACGCCAAACTTGGGAATACCCGGTTTTTATGAACTTTGCTTGTGATAAAACTTGACTCATTTTGTCGGCAAATAAATAAAAAGACGTAAAAGTTAAAACCTAAAACAAAATGGAAGATTTAATGTTGTCATAGAAAAAATCAAATACAATTTGAAACTTAAACTTCAAATTTTAACTTTAAAATTCATTTTTAAACCCGTCCTATGCCAAAATCCTTTTAAATTACTGTTTCTTCTTCTTCTTATGTATATGTTTATAAGACTAGGAAGCCCCTCTTGTGGTCATTGTTTGCCCATTCGAGTGGTCGGTTATTCAGAAATGCGGTAAAATCAGAGAAAAGAGGATGAGTTCAAAACAACCTTGTTTTAATTACTTTTAAGGAGTGGTAACGAGCGAATGAAGACTGTAAAGCGTACGAAGCGAATGGCATGGTATTTCAGTAATGCTTCAAGTAAAATAACAAGAATTTATTGCAAGAGGCATATGGTAAAACCTTGTTATATTGAACTATTTAAAAAAACAAAAATTAAACTCAAAAATCTTTAAAACACCATTATTATGACGGTTAAAATACAGTAGCGCTCTCTCCTGATGACAGTCTATAAACGAACAGACTTTCCCTCTCAAATATGCAAATTACTCTTGTTTTTAGCGAGTGAATAAACAAAAACGCCAAAAATAGAAATGAGCAACATTACGAACACCACATACTAAAATGCCATTTTAAAATTTTTTAAGAAAAAAAGCTGAAAATTACCATAAACTTTTTTTGAAAACTAAATTATTACCAAACTTGCTATACATACAACAACAAAAAAAAATAAAGATTAAATGGTCTAAGTGAAGCAGTAAGCCCAACGATACCCGAAAAGCAGTTTTAATTTTATTTTTTGTCCAAATGGTCACTTTGAAGGGGTTTTTTAGACTAATAAAATCGGATTAGAGCCCTCTTCACAAAGACCAAAGTGCCATTTCAAGAGTTAAACACAAACTCTAAAATTAATAAAATCAAGAATTTTGGTAAAGGAAGAAACTTTCCTTACAAAACAAAAAATGGCAAGAACTTTCTTTACAAAACAAAAAATGGCAAGAACTTTTTTCAGAAACTAAAAAATAGCAAGAACTTTCTTTACAAACCAAAAAATATCAAGGACTTTCTTTACAAACTAAAAAATGGCAAGAACTTTCTTTACAAAAGAAAAAATGGCAAGAACTTTCTTCACAAACCAAAAAATAGCAAGAACTTTCTTTACAGACCAAAAAATAAAAAATTTATACAGTTAAACTAGCCAAAATTCTTAAACTATAATACATATCAGGCAATACAGGTGGCTCGGATGGTCCGGCAGAGATTTCGCCGTCTCCTACAATCCAAGTGGTCCACGTTCTCCCTTGGGTCCGTCACGTCCAGGAAAACTTTGATCGCCCTTTGGTATTGCTCTAGGAATACCAGGTAAGCCTTCTACACCACGTTCTCCTTTGCATCCTAGTGGTCCGGGCAAGTCGCCACGACCTTCTTTACCCAAAAATGAATTTTTTGATAAGTGGTACTTGATGGTACTGGTTTTGATAATAGTGGTACTAATCTTAATACTAGTGATACTAGTAGTACCAAAAATCAAAATTTTTAAAAATTCTAGAAAAGTTCATTTTCTAAATATTTTTTTCATTTGATAGAGGTAGATGTTTTTTTAAAATATACATTACTTAATTTTCAAATTGTTGTTTCTCCAGTTGTTAGTTTGCCTTAATATCGCCCAGCTATTTTATTTACTTTAGTACAATATCTACCTTATCTTAATCTTTGAATATGGCATCTCTGTCTAAACGAAATGTTTTTGTGGGGCTTTCGTTGAGCTTTTCCACGCAACTTTTGTGGCTTTTTTTAGCCTTTTCGTTGACCTTGTGCTGAAGCCAGTCGAATGTTTGACATTTGCGATGAGAGTTTCTGCAAACAGCTTGCCGGCATGGGTAAGTTTTGCATATTTTATAAAAAAAAGTTAGTGATAATAAAATTTTTTAAAAGATTTTGAGCTTTTAGAGCCTTTATACTTAAATAGAACATTTATTTTCAATTTTTAAAAATATTTTTATGTTTTCAGTTTTTGATCCAAACATAAAAATTTGAATTTTAGATATGGCTCGACATAATAGAGTACCTCGATATGATGGACGATACTATTTCTTTGGCTATGGTTAACGAGTACTTTTACAGGATTGTGGGTATGGATTTTAAAAAGATATGTTACGAGTATGTAATATGTCGGCAGAAAGGCGAGACTTGGGCTTATGCCTATAAAAAGTAGGTTTAAAAAAAAATATACTGCTGGCAATAAGTTTTGGGACACCCCATAAGTTTGTACATGAAAGATTTTCATAAATTTTTACATGGAGGTTGTAATAAAGGTTTACAATTGATATTAGTAAGAAATTTGTCAAAATCAAAATTGACATTTTGTTACTTGTAAAAAAATATTTTTGCTATAAAAATCTGGCAAAAAGTTTTGGGGCATAGTAATCTATGTTGCGATAAGGTCGATATATTGGTGCAAACTACTTTAAATATTTGTTACGTTTTGTTAAGAATACAACATAACGGTCACTTTGATTTTGTTTTGCTCCGTTTTAGGATTCTGGAGTTTAACGTCAAGTGGGTCAGCTACATCAATATCGGTATTTTAAACTTGGTAATTATGAATTAAATTTAATATTTAGTTCATAGTAAGTGGTGTAGATACTTTTTTTACTTTGTGACATTTTACAGTGACTTCAGAAGTAAGCACGTAAATTGTTTTAGGTACCCTCACTGACTTTTACGTACCCGTAGCTTCTCAGTTTATAAAAAGTAACATAAAAAGCAATGTTTAATACAACTACTACACTATTATTAACATATTAAACCACAATAAGTACTTGTATTATCCTTTTCTAGATGGTTTGTTGACGGTTTTATATCAAAAAGACAAAATGATAAACATATTTTTTCAAATAATTTTTTATGACTTATATACGGCTTAAATTAGTTAATTTAGACTTTAAAAAGCATTTTACATCTTAAATGCCATTATTAAGACAAAAAAACAATCACGCATACCGTGGTCGTGCTGTAGTACTTGGAGCTATGTACGATGCACTGCATTTTGATATAAAATTGTCCAAATATTACCATCTAGAAAAGATTGATACAAGTACTTATTGTGGTTTAATATGTTAATAATAGTGTAGTAGTTGTATTAAACATTGCTTTTTATGTTACTTTTTATAAACTGAGAAGCTACGGGTACGTAAAAGTCAGTGAGGGTACCTAAAACAATTTACGTGCTTACTTCTGAAGTCACTGTAAAATGTCACAAAGTAAAAAAAGTATCTACACCACTTACTATGAACTAAATATTAAATTTAATTCATAATTACCAAGTTTAAAATACCGATATTGATGTAGCTGACCCACTTGACGTTAAACTCCAGAATCCTAAAACGGAGCAAAACAAAATCAAAGTGACCGTTATGTTGTATTCTTAACAAAACGTAACAAATATTTAAAGTAGTTTGCACCAATATATCGACCTTATCGCAACATAGATTACTATGCCCCAAAACTTTTTGCCAGATTTTTATAGCAAAAATATTTTTTTACAAGTGTAACAAAATGTCAAATTTGATTTTGACAAGTTTCTTACTAATATCAATTGTAAACCTCTATTACAGCCTCCATGTAAAAATTTATGAAAATTTGTCATGTACAAACTGAGATATGGGGTGTCACAAAACTTATTGCCAGCAGTATAGAAAAAATAAAAGTTATCTATAAAAGCATTTGACAGATAATAGAATTTTTCATATAATATTCAAAATACATAGTGTTTTTACTGACTTTGTACTCGTATCGTTTTAGTGCTAGTACTAATCTGAATAAGACTATGTATGCCAAAAACAATTTTCATGATGAACATGCTGTTTGTTGTCCATTCACAGGAAAAGTGGCCATAAAGTTAGATCACGGCTATGTTATACTAACCAACATTGACTTTGGTTTAAAAGAGTTTACTATTCTCGACTTTACTTCATATACAGACCAAATTACTCATGTTAATATGATAAATCGAGGGAAAGAGCTTTTGGTTCGTACTCCCTTTTTTACGTTAGTTTATGACCTGTGTATTATGAAGGTAATCCAAAAACATGATATGGCACCGACACATGCGTATGGGCCATACTGTCCTTCTCTTAATTTCCAAATTGTAAGAGAAGGCTATGTTTTTGATTTGTATTCCAAAAAAGAGTTCAAAATTGATGCACAACCTCCGAAAGGCTGTATTAAGTACAGCAACATGTTTGACAAGTCAAAATATGTTGTAGTACACACAACAGACAACAATCTTGTCGTAATTGATAGTGAGACAGATAAAAGACACGACATTTGTGAATGGAGGCAAGGAATGGAAGTATATGTCATCAATGAAAACGATTCTCTGTTTATTAAGGACCAATTTTATAACGGTAAGGTAAATGAAATTATATTAACCGCACTTACTGTTCGAAAAAAATGCTTTGCTGAATAGCCAGTACAGTAAGACATACGGTAGGAAAGGAGGACTGAGATTTTTAAATTTTGTTTTGGAATTTAACAAATAGAACCACGTTCAACTTTTTCAAAAAACACTTTTTAAGGCATTAAGGTAAATAAATAATTAAAAATATTATTATGATGTTATATATCTTGTTTTAGACCGCGAATTGAAGATACAGAGAGCAAAATGTGAAATATACAGTATGAAAAGACAAACATTTCAGCCTGTTGAATCAGTTGAAGGATATTATTGGGGTATCTTTAATTCTAGTACACTTTTTAACCGAAAAACACAAAAGGTAAGACTTGATGAATCCTAACATGTTTCTAAATTTGATTGTTAAAAAGTAAAATTTTGCAGTTTGTTGCTTATGAAAAATAATTTTTAATTTATTTAGTTTTTGGTCTACAACAAACACAACTATGAATGGATACAAGTACAAGCTAAACCCGAACTTCTATTTTTTTATAGGTGGATTGAATTCGGTCTCTTTTTGTATCCATTATCTCCCTTCAATATGGTACTTTGTAAATATGGAAATTTTGATACTCTTGCCAGAAATTCTTTCATTCAGTTTAAAAAAAGTAAGTTCTGCAAGTATTAAAAGCAGGACAAATCATGGTCAAAGTATAGTATCTTTTAGCTAAAGCAAGGAAAGGCCTAGCCATAGCAAGGCTGGAAGTTTTCAAAGCAAGTCTAATCCCAGCTAAAACAAGACAATCCGCAATCAAAAAAGAAAATTTCCAGCCTAATGATAAAGTTATGGATAACACATTTCAGATGATGTTCGTATCAAACATTTTAAAGCCATAGTAAACCATTGGCATATGTCGCGTGGACTAAAGGATTTCAAAATTCAAACCGAACATCAAATCGAGAAATTAATGAAAATGAAGTTTCCTGTGCCAAAAGAAGCTTCGGCTGACTTTTACGATTGGTTTGTTCAACTACACATTGCCAATGACAATGTCCCTTTAATCGACGCCAAAACTAGTGCCACAGAATATTTTAATTTTTACTCATTAAAGCCTCAATGAAAAGTTAATACAACTACATAATTCCGCGACAGATGGCTAAACTACAGCATTTTGAAGAGGAACATCTATAAAAGCGAATTATTCCATTGTTTTTGAAGCATTTTTTCAATTTTAAAGCGGTAATTTAAGAAGAATAAACTATGAAAACAATATTTAGATATCGTAAAAGTACAAGAAGGGTTTTAAAATACATACGATTTGAAAAAAAGACATCAGAAACACGAAAAACACCGATATTCACCATGATAAACAGCTTTAAAATAGTCTCGCGCTGATCAAAAATTGAACAAAAACTAAAGGAATATAAAGGTAGTTGTAGGATATGAAAAACTATTTTATTCAATTAAAAAATACGAAAACTTTCTTATCCCACCCTACTTTTTACCAAACCAAAACCAGCCCGATTTCGTTCATGGTCTTCCAACAATTTAAATATTTTAAAATTTTAAAAAAGTAAAAATCAAGGTCTTTTTTTTCAGTACAAAACAATGAAAAAAAACAGAAATGACATTCATTCGTTATTCAAAAATTGCGGGTTGCGGCGGTTTTGCGTTGCGAGAACTTTCTCTTTCCATAGAACCGTTTCAAGGATGCCACCGAAAAAGAAGTCGACTACCAGACGAAGACGCGGCAACCGTACGCCGACCAACAGACGAAGGAGTACGCTCGACGAAGATGCGAACACTGGTACGTTTTGTCATTACCTTTTGAGAAAGGTTACTTTTTATAGTTATTAAAGCCTTTTTTTTTGTTTCAAGCTAAAAAAGCCTTAAATATTAGGTTGTTCACATAATCCTGATTCCCCGTACCCCACAAATTAGCTTTGAGAAGGAGTGCAGAATTAAGTGAACAACCTAATATTACCAAAAAACCACCAAACTTTAATTTTTTCCCAAAAAAATAAAAATATGTAGGCAGTAAGGAATTCGTAGTCAATTATAAACTTAACTGACCTCGTGGTTTATCGGCCTTTATCAATATTGGTTCCATAGGAAACAAATTAGCCCATAAAATCCGAAGAAAAGGCCGATTTGTGAGTGAGGAACCGAACCCGCCCGCCTCCGCGTGAAAAGATAACGCACTAACCACTCGGCTAAAAAGACATTGTTTTAGATTCGCGAAGAGTGAAGGGGAAATGAATAGTTTTCAGTTAGGTATGGGTGGGAGTGGTGAATAATGAGGTTTTTGTATTTTTAAAGGCTTTTAATATAAGTAACTCCTATTTTTTCTTCTTTATGACACATTTTTCTTTCAAAAAACCTGTTTTAAAAATATAAAACAATTTCTTTTCAGTCGTCTCAGTGGAAGAAGCGGATGAAAGGTCCAATAGTGCACCAAAAGGCTGCACCGATACCGAGCTTCTCGCAGCGGTTACGCCATTCGTGGAGAAGCTGGAAAAGACGACTTTAGAGCAGTTTAAAGAAGAGTATGCCGCGCTCAAAGCCATACCATTAAGTGAAGCTACGTTTACAGCGTTTGAAGCGAATCGACCAAAGAACCGGTACACCGACCAGTTTTGCATCGACCAGACCCGCGTCAAACTGACATTTAACGTCCCACCCGACTCGGACTACATTCACGCAAATCATGTCAATGTTGAGGGTCATTCGTACAATATGATTTGTACTCAGGTAGGGATAAACTTATAGTATTTGGTAGGGATAAAATGATAGTAGTAAGGTGTTTTTAAGAGGTTCAGCTGCATAAAAGAAAGAAGAATACAAATTAGCTACGGCGTTTAATTTTTTTTCATTTTGTTACCTAAAACCAAGTTTAGGGCCCAGTCCAAAGCAGTGTGGCGGACTTTTGGCGTATGGTGTACCAAGAAAAGTGTTTTGCAATTGTGATGTTGTGCAAGTTCATCGAAGGCAAACGACCCAAATGTGAACCATATTATCCGGACGAAGCGGGCAAAATCGAAACCTACGGGCCGTTGATGGTCCGGCATGGTGGGGTAAGTTTAATTTTTCAATGCTTCAATTTTTAATTTTAAAATTACGATTTTAAAATTTTTTTCAAATTTTAACACCTTTTTAAAATTTTTAAAACTTTGAAATTGTTAACACGACAAAAAACTTTTAGCCAGCTCCCGGCTCAGACAGATCCTACGAAAAGCTGGTACTGGATGTTGGAAGAGTAGGAGAACCCTTCGTACCCGAACATACCGTAATACTAGTGTCGTACGACAAATGGCCGGACAAAAGTGTACCAACAAGTTCAATGGCTCTACACCGTGTTTTGAGGTTTTTGCGGACCCAAGCCAAAGACAAAACAATTGTGGTACACTGTAGTGCTGGGGTTGGCAGAACGGGCACATTCGCGGCCTTATCCGTGGTGGAGTCAAGAATAAGCGAGAAGAAGGCATTTGACGTAGGTTTATATGGTTTTGTTTACTTGTAAAGGCATTTATGATCAGCATATTATGATATATTTTGTTAAAAAATTTTAATTTAACTTTTTATAGTGTTATTTTGAGTTTAATAACTAAAATTTCAGGTCTTTGAAATTGTGAAAAACTTGCGACAGAAACGTTTTAATTCAGTCCAAACCGAAATCCAATACCTGTTTATACACAAGGCCATTGCCGACTATCTGAACGCCAAGAAGATTCGTACTGACAAATTCAATGCTATGTACTTTGCTCACACTAGGGGGCAGCCCATCACCGAAGGTTAGAAACTTACCGACTAGCTGAATAAACTTTGATTTTCTTGTTCTGGATTACTGCAATATTATAGTTTTTAACGTACTTTTGTATATCTAATATTATCGTATTGTACCTCATAGTATCGTATTATATAGACGTGATATTTACCGTAGTATAACAAGGTTCTATAAATATGTCGTTACGATAATAATAAAAATTTATTCTCCAACATTAATTATTGATCAACAACTTGATAAGGAAGCGAATATCGCAGAAATAAAGCAATGTTCAAATGAGTACGATGGGAATGTCGTTTCGCATTATGTACAATAAAATTCAAAGATCAGAGCGTTGTACAATATTAACAATAAGATAAAAGGTACTAGTTGGTTATTATTGGCTATAAACATAACTATTCTCGTTAAAAATTACCGTTTTTCATGAAAAAATTTTTAAAATTACAGAATGTTGGCTACGGATCGTTAAATAAGGTTCAAAAGATTCATAATCCTCAAGAATATCACTTTAGAAACTACAAAACTTTAGAATCCAAGTTCAGAAGCCACAAAACCCTTGAATTAAACTTCGGAAACAGCGTGACCAAGCAACGCCGTATTCTGGAGACTCTTCGAAACCGGCAACGGTGTGTTATTCTCAGCGTCCGAGCCCAGTGAAGCCGTGTGACTTGAGCTTCGTCTACTGCTCACCGATCCACTCGTAGCACTGTGATGATCAGACGATGGCGACGATGGATTTCCATTGTTATCATTCAATGAATCCGTTTGATTTTCATCAAAGTTCGAGCTTCTGGACGATACGGTAGATTCGGAAGTCCACGAGTGAGGTCGTGAATTGCTGTTCTGCTGAAGACCTTCTTTTTGTTGTTGTGCGTGTAGAACTGTCATCTTGGCCAGACGTTGAATCCACTTGGCTCGTACCACCTCATCGGTCGCGAAAATCGCAAATCCATCCGATTTTTGTTCGTCCCAGATTTCGAATCGATCGGCCGATTGTTTCGAACATTCAGCAAAGCCGAGGTTCTGCGCGTAGATGCAGAGTTTGTGTTCGTAGAATTCGGGAGAGTACGGTACTGGCTGAGTACGCTTTTTACAGAAGAGAATGCCACCGTCGAATAGGAAAAGATGTCGTTTTTGGCACTTGTTCGACAGACGACGAGTCTTTCGTTTAAAGGTGTAGACTTCACATTCGGTTTGAAGGCGTAACGGGCCAAGAAGGCGGAGGTCTCCCTAAAATAAATGATTTTATAAAAGAATATTAAGAAAAAAAATAAAAGAATATTAAGAAAAATTACACGTAATTTTAAAATAAACTATTGTAACCCCAAATCTACCAACCCACCCTACATTATCCTCCTCTAACCTACCCTACTTTGCTCTACTCAACCCTAAACTACCTAACTCAAGACTTACAGCATATCCCAGAATGTGCAGTTGTTGCATATCCGCATTGATCTGTGCCAGCAAGTCCAACATTGATGCCAAAGCAGCTTGTACATCGTGTTTAATCTCCTCATTCCCCTCATCTTGACAATGTCTTAACAGTTCCTTCAACAACAATTGGTACTTCGTAATTCGTTGAATTGGCTTCAGAAGGTATGCGCTTAACGGTAGCTGATGACCGGCCTTTTTCTGGCATTCGGCAAAGAATCGACAACCATCAGCTTGTTGATCTCGTCGCACCGACTCGGACTGGGGCTTATTTTGGCAGTACGGACGATAGAGTTTGAGGAAGTGGTTGCGGAAGTTGATCATAATATGGCATAGTAGTACTGGCGAGTACTGGGCTTTTTGAAAGTCCGGGAGGACGTGTCGATTGTGAAATTCGTACTAAAATTGGATAATAATATTAACATTGAAGAACAACTAACGATAAAAAGTTCTGTTTTATCATAGTTAAGCTGATAAAATAGGTTTCATTATTGAAAACTTCAAAAAAGTTGAACAATAAAAAAAATACTTACCAAGTCTCTAAAATTGCCAAAGATAACACTGGATTGTCCACGTAATCCTTCTGGAATGTGTTTTTCATTTTCTGGATTCTCAAATGGATTCACATAGTACTCGACAATGCTTTCCAGCTCTCGTACGTACGTTTTTTCGGTGGTTAACTAAAATACGATGATTAAGATTAGAATAAAATTAAATATACGTACAACAATAGGTCTACAATTGTCAGTTTTAAAAATAAAAAAATATTTTTTAAAACTTTTTAGGTATAAAAAAGTCTAAACAATCAAAGAAGCCGTTCGAGACAATAAACCGTATACTGCGTCATTTCTTATCAGTATTCCAAATTTAGAAACAATAAAAATCATTTTTATAGCCAAACTTCCGTTGTTAAAATTGTAAAATTTAGTTTTATAGTCTTTCAATGACCTATCCTAAACCCCCCCCTCCAAATCATCTACCCTTCCCCCCCCTCTTTATCACCTTTATTACACCATTTTTCAAAAAATTTATCTAATACATTAACTTTTTTAGGTAGTTGAAAGTTTTACGACCATTTCCAGAATCTCCTGACATTAAACTTCGGAAAGTCTTTGCTGATAACTGGCGCCATTTGGCTTTTTACCTCCTGGCGCCAATAATAAAAAACAGCTGAGACATTGTCGTTTTTTTGCAAAAAGCATAAGATTATCAAGTAAATTGTGATGAGAAATCGGCTTTTTTGATAAAGAATGAAACGATAGTCACGTGGTTTAAAAAATCAAAAAAAATTAACATAAGTGGCAAAAACTTTCTTTACAACCCAAAAAATAGCAAAAATTTTCTTTACAAAGGAGAAAATAGCAAGAACTTTCTTTACAAATTTTAATGGTGAGAAATTTCTTTACAAAACAAAAAATTGCAAGAACTTTCTTTACAAAACAAAAAAATACGGTTATATTTAAAAATTACAAAACAAATTTAATAATTGTTAAAAATATAGCAAAATCCACAAAAAAATCAAAAACCTACCAGCTCGTCCAAAACATACGCCGCCTTCGACGTGCTTGGTAGTCCACAATGACTGTGATATTGTTGAGAACTTGCCAATTCCATAGCTGCCATTCCTCTCGTCGGAGAGTTCGATGCTACTGGAGTAGAGACTTCTGAACTGGTGCTTGGTGCAAAGTCCGAAAACTCGTGTAATACTTCGATTTGGCGCTGAAAAAAAGTTTTATATTAAAATTGATACTAAACTTAAGGCTTTTGTATATATTTATTACCTAAATTTTAAATTTTTAAGTTTAAGTCTAATTTTTTTTCTGTACCAAAGCCTATTTAACCTAAAATTAATTTTAATTAATCCTTTTTTGTAAAGTACAACGATTATAACCAAGAAGCCATTTATCTTACAATCCAAGGTCTATCCTGGCTTCTACGTCGCAGAATCCTCGGACTTAAAGAAAAGTTTCTTCTACGACTGAAACGATAGTTTCTACTGTCATCTGATTTCATAATATAGCAAAACTTCAAATATTTAAAGTCTTCTGTAATTAAAAATTTAAATTTTTCAGAATTCTGTAGCCAAAGAACTATTTTTTAGAATTCCGTAGCCAAAAAATCAAATTATTTAGAATTCTGTAGCCAAAAGATTAAAATATTCAAAATTCCGTAGCCAAATTCAAAATAAAACGTTCGCTTCAACAGCGAAAATTATGAATTTTCGAGGTTTGTCCAAATTCCCCCTCCAAGCCTTTTGTTTTGCTGCACCCAATTTTCAAAACGAAAAAAACTTTTTCACAGCCCAAATCCCCCAGGGCATAATAATCAAAAAAGTGGGCCTAAGCGGTTGGACAAACATGACGGAACAGCGATCAATCAATCTTCTGCCCGTTACGTTTCATGTTTTATTAGTGTTCGAATCAAGAAAAAATGTTTCAAATCGTAAAAAGCGTTTTGAGAATGCAAAATATAACCCCCCCCCCCCAAGTATAGTTTTTAAAAAGGTCTGTCTACTTTTCCGACGCCTCTTTTAAAAATTGTTTGGTCATTATTACCTAAAACCCTCAAAAATAATTGCCAAAACCACCTAAAACCTCACAATATTAGGTGCCAACATAAAGAACCCGCCATTTTTTACAGGAAGTTACAGGTAAAGTATGGCGGGTTCTTTATGTCGGCGCCTAATAAAACATCACAGTAAAATCCCCAAAACTACATAAAAATTTTAAGAATCGCCAAAACAATAAAAAATTGTATTTTTTTCGAAAAAAGTTTTGTAACGTAACTCTTTTGCACACTCTTAATGACCAAGAAGATCCGGAAAATTATCCTACAGAGATGAAGAGGACTGTGCAAATAATCCTCACACGTTAGCTGGAGGAAAAAAACAATCAAAACTACTGAACTAAACCTGGCTAAGCCCTGCAGTTCTATTAAGTGCCGGCATTAAGAACCCGCCATATTTTGCCTGTATTTTCCTGTAAAAAATGGCTGGTTCTTTATGTCGGCACCTAATAAAACATTATTCAAATTTAAAAATGTTTACAAAATTTAAAAAAAATTTTATATAACCCACACTCAAAATCGACCGGTATTTAAAAAAAACCCAAAATCGACCGGTATTTAAAAAAACCCAAAATCGATCGGTATTTAAAAAATCAAAAAATTGACCTATAAATACAACAATATTTTAACACTCGTTTACAATTAAAAAAAAGTAAAGTCCCACCCTTACCATCACAACCTGCGTGGAATCAGTTCCACGAAGCCTACGACCAAAAGAGTTTTGACGAAAAAACATAATTCACTCAACTTGATTTGTCAACAATAATAAATCCGTATGGATCATGTCAAGTTCCTTTTTATCAACACACAACTTTCATTGAATATTTCTCTGCGTATGAAAGTGTGTCGCGCGTTTCTTAAACAAATTTTTGTGCGTTTCTTTCGGTTATTCAATCGATATTAAGGTTTGTCGATGAGGTGGTGGGTTTGTCATGTCACGTCCTATAATACCCTACATTACTCACTATTTTTGCCTAAAATTGAGTGCTAAGCCTAAAATTAAATGCCAAGCTTAAAATTGAGGGCTAAGCCTAAAATTTGGTGCTAAGCCTAAAATTGATTGATAAGCCTGAAATTAAGTTCTATGCCTAAAATTGATTGCTAAGCCTAAAATTGAGCGCTAAGCCTAAAATTGAGTGCTAAGCCTAAAGTTAAGTGCCAAGCCTAAAATTAAATGCCAAGCCTAAAATTGAGTGCCAAATCTAAAATGGCATTCTAAGCCTAAAATTGAGTGCTAAGCCTAAAATTGAGTGATAAGCCTAGAGTTATGTACTAAGCCTAAAACCCCACCCTTGTGAATCTCAAGCCTAAACAAAAAGTATAATTACCTGTGTAACAGTGCTTGACTGTACCAAAAACATTTTTAGTAGATCTTTAATCATTTTCACTAACAATACAAAATCAAAGCACAACAGATGATCTTCAAAACTAACTTATTAACAATTTTTGTTGTCTTATTTATTAAAACAAACCCCACCTAACCTCATAGGCGCATTATAAACCGCTTTGTTGGCGCCACGCTTACCGTTCGCTGATAAGAACGGCGAAAAAAATCGCGAACAGTGTTAAGTTTTTGCACGTTAAGCAATTGGGTTTAACGTAATTTTGCTAATAATGTCTACTACTGTTATTTTAAGCAATTATAAGGTCGATTTGATAAAGGTTTGTAACAGAACTTATGGTGCATCCTGTATGAAATTAAGAAAAATGTTTTTAGATATTGGGGTTTTTAAAATTAAATTTAAAATCAAAATTTTAGCCTACCGGGTTTAGTCTTCCTTAAAAATCATATACCGGTCGATTTTTATTCTCTATGTAAATCATGATACTACAGTTCTTTTTTTTTCGCAAAAAAAATTTTTTAAATTAAACAACGTACATAGCTTATTTTCAAAATCAACAAACTTTTAAAACATCTTTTGTCAACTTCCTAAACTTAAGTTTTTCACCCTTTTAATTTCAATTCCCCCCCCCCCCTTCAAATTTAAAACATCAAAACAAAAAATGGTTGAAAAAAAAATTACAAAAAGCCGCGAAATGGAACGACGACATATGTTCTGTTCCTACAAAATCCCAAAACCAAAAAAAAACCCAAAAAGTGAGATTGATTCGGCTGTCTTAAGGAACGCGCTAGGGTAATTATTGCGCAAAATATTTTTATTTGCAATGTTGAAGATGATCCGAACTGACAGCCAGATTTCGTGTCTTTAACCGAGAAAACGAATTCTTTGGATGGGTTAATTTGAAAGTTAGTTTTCTAATTAAAAATAATATAAATTACCTAAAGAACAGTCGATCTTAACTTTAAACCAACAAAATGTATTTGAAAACTTAATCAATCCATAACAAGCATGAAGGAAGGACGTTGTAAACTGCTTTCTTTTCAGACAGTTTAAAATTACTTCTTGATTTATGATAAACATATAGCTTTTGGGAAATTAAAATTTTAAAATATGAACTCTATGAACAATTACATTTTTTCGTATTTTAATTTAAATTTTTCAAAAATTCAAAAGTTGTGACTAATTTTTCAACCACCTGATTCATTGTTATTATCGTTTTGACCATCTTTCTATTTTAGAAAAAGGCGAAATATATTTTAAAAATCTGATAACGTTAATCCATGTTTTTTCAAAGTTCTTATCACAAAACAAACGTTCCCTATGGTATTTGTAGTTTGAAGTTTTTAGAAAAAAGATGAAACATTCCTAGCGCTTAAAAAAGTTAAAATTTTTTAAATTTTAAGTATTTTATCAATGCACACCATTGTAACTTAATTTTTAGCACTAAAACATAAATATTTTTAAAAGTTTCAAAAGTTAAAAAGTAAAGCAATTTACCACGTCACAAAAATGTTGATTTCCATTTTCATCTTCACTTTCCAATTGAACCTTCTGCAACCTTCCACAATAATTAGTCTCAATTCCTTCATCGACATCGTCATCAATTTGTATTGTAGTAACGTTGGGGTATTCCGAAGCGCTTCTTCGTATACTCCAGCTTCTACTCCATGAATTTGCCGAAGCATCGACGCTTCGTGAAGATGATATGACTCCACGGGCTGAAACCGTGCGTTCCTCTGGATCGTCCCAGCTTTGTAAACGTGTAGTTTGACATTCGGTAGATTGACCAACTTGTTGCCTTCGTTTTGAGGATCTAAACGACGACAACACCCATGGTAAATGACGTTTCATTTGTTGTGTTAAGCTCGTTCTTTGATATGAACGAACAAAATTTGAAGATGTTTGTTGTGAAGAACGGCTTGAGTCTGTTGAAAACGTTCTGTTTTGTCCGAATGAGGGCCGTGTAACGCTTAATCCTGAGCTGTATGGCACAGTCAACCCTGAGCTGTATGGTACATTAACACCAGCACTGAACGGTACGCTCAAACCCGGACCGTATGGTACCGTAGGCCCGAACTCGTCCAGACCTTTTAAGTCACTCGTTTTTGTAGCAGGTGGATTGGCTTGCGACCTACAGCGACGGAATGCATTAATACCCGGCTCCAGATACGCGTCCGGCGCTGACAATGATAACAACATGGCGTTTGGTTGGAAGCTGCGCCGCGACAAATGACCTCTCTGCATTCAGCTGGCTGTTTTAATACAAAACAATTATGATGATAGGGGGAGCTCGTGATAAGGTGGGCTTGGAGCCAAAGGTAGTCGGATTTTTGGTAAAAGTTTTTTTAAAAGATTACTGTAGAAAGTTCTTATAAAAATAGTTTTTCAAAATGAAAACTATTGTATTTGTTACTAAAAATGTTGTTAATGCCCAAGTTCAACCTTAAAATACAAATTATAGTTGCTTCAAAAAAATCTGAATCAATATCAGCGTTTTAAACACGTATCACAACACAATAACAACATCATAATCACCCCTAGGCATTAAATATCTCGAATAATACGACAAAATTTAACATCTCCACATCTGCTCTAAAGTGTTTTCAACCATACATTACTGACCTCAAAAATTTTCGTATCAACTTGTCGATATCAAGTGCAAAACTAGCCCAGTAGTTGTTTAACAATGCACTCAAATCAAAAACTAACCGACAGAAGTTCACTCAAACGCTTCCACAAAACCCTGCAGGTATTAAATTCTTAAAACCCTAAAGTAAACCTTCAAAACTTTTTTCCGCTCACAAAACTTGTGACGCTTAAAATATGTTTTAGAAATGATAAAAAAATATAATTTTTTAAGCATTTTGTGAAAGTGATAAAAACCCCTCTAAAAACGAAATATTACTTATCACGTTCTACAAAACTTTTGAAGAACGTGATAAGTAATATTAACAAGGCGCTCGGGTTCTGGCGTGAGGCGAAAACACAACTAACGGTTCTTTTCGCCCCTCAGGCTGACTGGGATTCCGGAGCAATTCCACCCTGATTCGGGTCGGATGTCCGCGGGGCCTAAGCGCGTATTCAGAGCTGGGGTGGAAACTTAAATGTATTCAATAGCCTAAAGATAAATTTTGAGCTGCTTTTACTAGGTAGTGCTCTAACTGGTCTTACTAAGTAGCGCTCTAACTATGTGTACATATGTGCCCTATATAAATATTTTTTTAAAAATTTTTATCACGTAAACTACCCCAAAACCTTAAATTGTACACCTTAATACCACAGCACGCTTTACAAAGTAAATATATTCCGAAGAACACATTCACGCCTTTTATGATCCCTTTTTTACAGCCCATGAATTTCAAATCCAATTGGCCAAAAAAAGTATAAATTTTACATTGTCCTAAAGTGAGCATGTTACACATGAGCCGTTTGATGGACAATTGATGTTTTTTTAAAACACAACTTTTTAGGTATTGAAACCAAAAAATCGTATTTTTTTTAGATACGGGTGTTTGTCATGATGATGTTATTGCCTTGTTGTGACATTGTGTTATAAAACGTTCTTTGACTAACGATCAATTAAATGTTTTGCCATAAAACTTGGCCAAACTCGTTTTTTTTTCTTTTTTTCAAGTATCAAATCAAAAGATGAGTATAATACTATATAATCACTTATATAGTATTATGCTCATCCCTTGTATTCATTAAATTGTCTAACATCCCCTAATCTTTCATCCGCAACCTTGCCCAATCTCCGCCCTATCATGATAAGCACATGGATGCGGACAAACGCCAGCTGAATGCGAGGCCCATTGTCGCGGCTTCCGGATAAAAAACGAAAGGAAAACGCGTAATCAGAGCCGGCCGGTTTCGTACCATGGTCAGCGGAAAACAATTCAACAAGGAGGGTTTATAAACATAGCATAGGCAATATAGTTCGCAAAAGTGCACACGAAACGAACGATTTGTAGACATAGTGCAAAGGTATTAGGTGCCGACATAAAGAATCCGCCGTACTTTTCCTGTAAAAAATGGCGGGTTCTTTACGTCGGCACCTAATAGAAATAATTTATAGTGGCACTCTATGGATAAATCTTTGTAAAGCTGTAAATCATGGAAAAAGAAGAGTTTTAGTGCACATTTGACAGGTTTGTTGACAAAAATATATAAATTTGCATATATCATGCCAGCTGAGATCAAAAATTCAAAAACAAAACAACTTGTAGCACACTAATCTATGCAAACCCGAATACAAAGTAGATTAACCAAAAATCATTTTTTTAAAAAATTTTTCTTCAAATGCATTTAAAAATTTAAATACAAGTCTAAAATGCATTTTTTGACCTACAAGCCTTATACCAACCGGAAAGCACCAAAAATTGTTAACAGAAACGCGCAATTTGTAAATGAACAACCCATGAAGCTAAAGCAATAAAACCTATCCGACAAAATTTATGGAAACTGGAGACAAACCAATTAAACCTCCGTACAACATCCTGCCCATCTTTAATTAAACAACTTTTCGGTTTTTTTAATCGAAAAATGATGGGAAACGGAATGATTAGGTACAGGAGAAACTAATATGTAAATTAGTGTGATGAAAACAGACTGAAACTTAAAGTCGTGTGATCGACCATACAGTTCTTGAATATTGAACCTAATCATAGCTCAACGTCCTCTGTTATTTAAAGAAATGTTTTTTAATTTTAAGAAAAATTTATTATATCCAATAATGTATGTCATCTTTAGCCAATTAAACAATAAAAGCCTCTAATATTTGATAAGACACTTATTAAATAAACATTTAGAATATTATCAATGTCTTTGGCGCTCACGATTCGGGCGAAAAGCTAAAGGAATCGCCGAAGAAACTTTGGAGGTCAGAAACCCGCAAAATCATAAATATTACGAATCCGAGATCGTAAAAAATAATGCAAAATTTCTGGCCGGCCTCGTGATTAAAACAAATCACGGCCTGAAGGGGTAAAACAAAAACAAGAGTTGGAAAACAAAACAATATGCAGAATTATGGTTCGTATTCGAATATTAATTGAATTGCATGGCTTTTTCAAAAGCTTGAAGCTGGAAATTGTACAATTGGTTTATTCCGACATTTTTTAAACTTAATTTGTTTCGAAAAACCTTAAAATTATAAAAGATGACGGTTTTAAACATGAAATCTTGTATAATAAGCTTGTTTTGACAAAAACACAATATTGAACCATCACAGGGTGCGCCAAAAGTTCTGTTACAAAACTTTACCGGTCGTTTTCTCTGTGTTGCGGTTAAATTATTTAAAATTATTTAAAATTTTTTATTTTAGCTTTTTCTCCGTGTTTTTTTAATGTATAATCATAAAAGTTAAGTCTTCATTGTCTACTGTCTGTCTGTATTTAGACGTCAAACAACCTCGTAACAGAACTTTTGGCGCACCCTGTATATACAAACTTTATTTAACAAAAACAAAAAAGTACAAGCCTAAAGGCTAATCTATAAATCTAGGCTTAATACCGCCAAAAATTTCTCCTTAAGACCCAGAATAAATTGAGAATAACCCGCAAAAACGTTCCCACAAACCTGACTTTGTAATTTTTTGGGCAAGTGTCATTAAAGAGGGGGGTTTTGAAGAAGGAACGCGGCCATTCCCAAAAAACGAAGCGTCCAAGGTGGTTTTCGAAAATAAGACTACTCAAGGACGTTGTGGCTCGCAAATATACAGTAAAGTTATGTAAAAAATGGCAAGGTCAACATATGATTTTTGACAAGAAATTTTTGATTTTATAAACTTTGGGCTTTAAAAACAAAATTTTTAACGTAAAGTTGACAGTTTAAGCCCAAAGGTAGAACAGGTAACGAATCCTGAAAGTTCATTTTTTTTCAGGAAAGACCGTAATCTTTGATTCAAAAAAAAATTTAAAACCATTGAATTCGCAATTTCAAATTCCTGCAGGCCTTTTTCCATTCATCCTACAAATGTTAAAAATTCCGGAAATATTCAATTAAAATCCCCTTGTACCATACATGTGGCGTGAAAATTGATGTTTTAGCGACGAGGTCAAAAACCACTTATATGAAAAATACCTATTTGAGCTACAATAGGTATTTTTCGAAAAGTCAAAAAAGTACAATTCGAAAACGAAGTTTGACGAGCGCAAACAGTGACAAAAGGTATAGTGGATAACAGTTTTTCTCTTTTAGGTAACAAACACGGCGTTTTTGAGGAATGTTTGTATGAGTGAAAAAGTGAATTCAAAAGACTATTTTTTAAAGTTCTACGGTAAAAAATCACATATTGTAATTTTGAAGTTTCTAAAAAATTTATAGCTTCCCCCCCACCTCCCCCCTTATGTTAAATTTTTAGAAATAACGTTGCTACCTACCCCTTTGTCCAACCCCTACTCAAATTCAAAAAAAAGCAACTGCATTTGCCAAAGGCTACAAAAGAAACTGGAAAAGTTAAGTATTCCGCAAATTGAATCAAAACCAATCCCGTTTTTCCGAGGATAAACGAGCCGCGCCTTTTTACTTTTTTTTCAAAAATTCGTCGCCTTTATTAGGAAGTCTTAAATGCCATAAAGTCGGACAATTTGAGCCAACCAAATTAACCCAAGATCAAATTGAGCAGCGATATGCGAGTTAGTTTCGGTGGAAATTAACTTTCATATCGTTGTTCAAGAGCGACCGGCTCAAGGCCATATTATTGGATTAGTCGGAATTTTTGATAGGCTCGAATTTAACAAGACTTTCGTTTAAATTTTGCAAAAACGTAATTTTAAGCGGTAATTCCTTAAAAAATTTTAAAAAAGTTTATAGGTTTCAAAAAATTTCAAAAAAAAAATTTGTTGTTTTAGCTTATCGCCGAAGGAAAACACACAACATTTTTAAAAATTACGTGAAGCCTTAATCTTAAATTTTTATCTTGTTGCGTGCTTTACAAACTTCGTTTTTTAGACCTATTAATCCAGAAAATTAACGTATGCCAGCCTTCTAAAAACAAAAACTAAAAAAAATTTTGCAAACTTAACGCCTTTAAACTACACTAACCTTTATACATAAGCAAGACCGGGTTTCAGCAACATCAAAAACAGGTCAAGCCTAACAATTGGGCACAGCCCCCGGGCCAGGCCTGAAAAATTAAGCAGTTGAACACGCCAACCACGTCCACAACTGCCCCAATAAACCTCTACCACTACCCCAATTAACCATCCAATCCCGACCTATCGTCCACTTCAATTCGAAGGCTGTGAATCCGAAACGTCGCTGATGCTTATCACAAACTTTTTATTTGTTTGTTGGGGTGTGAACTCGTAGTATGTAAAAACTCGGCTCCGCCAAATCATCGACGCCCATCTCAATGTCAAGTCAAGCAAAAATAACATTGCCTGAGGGGTGTGGGAAAAACCGTTTTGCGTTTAAAACTTGAGGATGGATGTGTGTTGAAAAAGTTGAAAATAAGGTTTGAAAAGTTCAAGTCAAAGCTTTAATATAAAAATATAGTAAAAGGTAACAAAAGATTGAGGAAAAGAAAATTTTTGGCTAGACGAAGCTACGCGGGTGGTCTTCTGCGCAAAAATTCAAAGAATCGTTTCGAATTCGTTCAATGTGGCTAAAATAACATCGCAATCGATATAAAACTCCAAGCTTCTAGGTTAAAAATCTTAAGCTCAAAGTTTCTGACTGAAGATATGACTTTGCAATGCCACGTCAAGCAGAACAGAGATATTCAAATAGCCTTTGACCGGTCGCGCGATATCATAAAAAAGGCGGGAAGATTAACAAATAGTTTTGGGCGGAAATTGACGGGTACCGGTCGTAAAAGCAAGTAAAAGAGATGAATAACAAGGTAAAGAGATGAGGGCATCTATTTGAATGTGTTGTCAATGCATTAAGTTTAAAAAATAATTGAGAGTCCTGTTTAATTCAATTTTGTCATCGAGCTTATAAGAGCATCAGTATTCTTATACCAAAAGACATGTTTATGTATAACATTGGTCAACAAAATTAAAAACTATAACTTCGCAGTGCAATGTATACTCCAAACGCACTTTTATTGCTATAAAACCGTGTTGTTTGACTAGGTTTTTTTTGAAACCATGCATCATAAACAACACAAGTTTCCCTATGACAATATTGAGTACATAACACAAGTTTTGATAGCTTTTTTGATGACCAAACTATACATGGAGATTGACTATATGTAGTTTTAGATATAAAACAAACTTCATTAGTCTATTGATAAAACTGCTTATGTTATTAGATGGCGACATAAAGGACCCGCCACACCTTGCCTGTAATTTCCTGTAAAAGATGGCGGATTCTTTATGTCGGCATCTAATATCAAATTAAAACAAAATCCCCTGCAGAAAACCAAAAAAATATCTAAAATTTTGAAAAAACGGACAAAATACCAAAAGTTGTAAGCAAAGCACAGCGCCCTATGACAAAGTTTCCCTTGCAACAAAGTTTCACTCACCCGTAATGGTCAAGCATTAAATAACTTCCAGGTGAGAAAAGACGGGGCGAAATTCTGAATAAAATTACTCTCCAACAAAAATATTTGCGTTTCTTTGTTGGGGAAACAAAAAAAAATATTCGAATAAAGCGCGTAGCTTTCCGCCGCGGCAAAGTGACATCGTTCACCAGAGTGGGTGATCGATTTTAATCCGATTTTTTGTATCTTTTTCGACTTTTTTGAATACGAAATTTCGTAAAGTTACGTGGTGTGCATTGATCAATACTTTTTGTTTGTAAATATAAAAATAATTTTTTGAAAATTTTAAAAATTTCGAAAATTTCAAAATTTAAAAAAAATTTCAAAAATTAAAATTTCAAACTTCCAAAATTAAAAAAAATAAAATTTTAAACCAACCTTGTTGCTGTTGGGCTGCTGTGGATGTCTAACTTTGTTGGTCTTTTCCGGACTAACCACTTGGATCGGCTTTTTGTTACTTTCCCGTTCGGCTATCTTTTGTAAGGCGTCGCGTCGTGAAAACCCCAGCTTTTTAATGTCCTCGATGCGCTCGGACACATGGGCCAACAAACTTGAGGTCTCGGTAGTGGTGAGGAGAATGAGATTGGTCATGTTTGGTGGCATTTGGTTAAATGCGTCCAACTGAATTTTTGAAATGATTATATTATAGTTACAAATTAAGCATAAAAAATTTTATTTTCTCTACCCCCAAGATGAACGTTAAAGCCTACTGTGTCCGGCCTCTTTTCATGTTTACCACCCCAACCCCACTCCCTTCGTTGCTTGTTACCATACTACTTCACACAAAATAAATTCTTACCTGTAGAGTCGCTCCTTCGGCCAAAAACTCGTCCAAACCTTTGACAGATTGTAAAGCTGCTGTGTTATTCAGTTCCAATGGTATGTTTGACAAGATATCTACGCCTTTTCTGCACCAGGACGTCGCCTAAAATTAAAAAATTTCTATTTTAAGTATTTATATAACCAATAAAACTTTAAATAAACCAAGGTCATGCTAAAGCTTTGAGAAACAAATAGTTAGTTTTGGCCCACCTTTAAGCAATAAATCAAGTTCACGCTTATTTTCTGACATTTTCCCGGTTTCAAACACATTTTTAAACTTTGAGGGGTTTTAATATCATCAATCATTTTTAAAATTAAAAAAAATTTCAAAATAGTTTAAAAAATCCTAAAATTTCGAGAAAAAAATTTAATTTTTAAAAACTTAAATTTAAAATTTCAAAAATGACCGGAAACAAGCAAAAAATCGTATCTAACAACCAAGCAACTGATAAAAGTAGCTATTTGGTGTCGTAAATAAAGGTCGACTGAATGGACAGTCGTAAAGTGATCGACGTGTTCCTTATCAGTGGTCAGTTTTTACTTTTTTCGAATGTTCCAAAATAAACAATTTTAGGCTTATGATACTTTTTGTAACAAAAATATTGTTTCGCGGTCTTTAATATTAAAAAAAATTAATTTCAATTAATAAAAATAAAATTTTTTTTAAAAATATGAAAATTCGCCTGCTGTTCCTTAGTTTGGAAACATATCCGTAACTAAAAATGGACAAATGTAAACAAAGAAATGGCAGAATTAAAGGCCGCTGCTCAGTTTATAACCACAAATCGCCGAGAACTATAGCCATATGCAGTGTTTTGGCACTAAGTACAAAAATTTTTGCTTTTAACGCAAAACCCTTTAATAAATGCTCAATTTGAACAAAAACAATTTTTAATTATCCTTTCAAACAAAAAACACCTTTAAAAAAAATTATTTTATACCTAAAATTAAACCCCCCCCCACCCCAAATACACCATGATGTACCACCCTTCATTAAAATAAGAGGCCTGTCCATCTGTTTTACCACAAATGATTTATAACCCGTTCCTTGAAGATTCCTAATTTCAACCTCGGATTTGTCCTCTGGCACACAATGCAAATAAACAAGCATAAATTTAGTGTAGAGAATCTGAGCTATTATTTATAATCGGTCAGCTGGGAAAACATTGTTAAAATTTTGTTAAAAAAGTAAGAAAAGTCCCTAAAGCGCTATAAAATTGACGTTATATTATGATACAGCTTTTGAAAACTTTAGCAATTTTTGTATAAAAAATACTAAGATGACTAACAAATCATAAATAAAACAATATCTCGGCACTATTAGTTCTCGATATCAACCCAAAAACAAAATACCAAATGAAAAATTTAAACAAAATTTAAAATTAAATGCAATAAAACAAAACATTTCCATTTCTTTGTCCATCCAAGCCTAATTGCACCCACCCGATTAACAAATTACCTTCCGAAAACCGCAACCCCAATTGTTCGCTTCATAAATCACTGGTATGCTAATTTGGCAAACAACATATTAGGTTGAATCAAAAGTAGTGGGACACTTTTCATTTACTTTTTAACTAAAAAGTGTCCCGCTACTTTTGGGTACAATTTATAAAAAAGTTCAAGAATAGTTTTTTACCCTGCCCTACACTACCCTATCTTACCATACTAACCCTAACCTAAAAATCTTTTTACCCCGCAAGTTACACATGATTTTAAGCTAATTTTCTTAAATTTTAAAGTCCTTTTGTCTAGCCCAAACTCGCCAACTTAAACAAGACCGCAAATGAACATGTTCCGTTTGTGCCAATATAGATGAAAATGGATGCGCGAGGATAATCCGAAAAACGCAAATAAAGATAAATGTGAATGTGTGGGATTACGACAGCATGGCACGCAAGCTTTATATAATCATGCAGTGGTATATTGCCATGGACTTTATTTTTTGCATTTTGCTACCAAAAACTTAAATATTAGATTTAAAAAAATTTCAAACCCACCAAAATTTTAATTTTCAATTAAAAAAAAATTCTTAAAATCTCCACCTTATCATTTTCAAACTCCCCTTACCTCGCTGATCTGTCGATGCATATTCACACTCAACCGCAACACTTGAGCTCGCCGGTCCAACGCGGAAGTCAATGCGTCCGCCATTCGACTTAATTCATCACATTTGGGCGCCAAACTATCAGACAGCTGACCGTCCGTCCCCACCGACATTAGCGCTTCACCGTGTTGGTGAAGGTTGCGCGCCGCCTGAACGTCCGACATGGCGTTCTCCGCGTATTCGTCGTGCTCGTCGGCCAACTGTTTCGCTCGCACCACACCGTCCCCGACGTCCCGATGCTCTTCCAGGTAGATCATGTGTTTCGCGAAGGAGGATTGAAGCTGAAAAATTTTGAAATTTAGTTAAAATTTTAAAACAAATTTACAATTAATATTCAAAAACCAAAATTTTAAAATTTTAAAAGTCATTTATATTGGATATGATTAAATTCAAAACCATGAAACAAAAAGTTATTCGATAAAGTTGAGAAGAGCGACAAAAATTGATAAACAAATCAAATAATCATATTGGAACAGAGTCAACTCAACCTGCACTGACATGCTTTCACACATGTTATTAACATAATATTAAGAATTACTTTGAAAATGTATTATTCTGCAAAACACTTTAAAAAAGCATCACCCTCTTCACCCTACGCGTCCGAAGATTTGTCCCTTAACCTAAAATTAAGCATGATTTTGCAAAAAAATTTCAAAAAAGCCCCCCTCTTTTCACCACACTGCGTCAAAAGATAGTCGTGTTTCAAGCTCCCCAAAAATGGCCTAAAATTTCCCAAAAAAATCTTTTTTCACCCCCCCCCCCTTCTTTTAAATTTCACGTGACCTTTAAAGAAACCAAAAAAACCTTTAGCATTTGAATAAACACAAAAATGCGGCACTTCCGAGAATTATAGGGTCAAGGGTTATAAACAAACCCAAAATAAAAGAACACTGCGATCATGCTCATGTGAAATAGACAAAGAGCGAATGGTAAAATGCGAGTGAAAGAGTGCTGAATAATTTTCCATAAATATTATAGTTGACGATGACTAATAACAGCTAATGGTCGCTTTAGATGAAGTTGGGTTAAAAAAGATAGAAGTATGGTTAAGGCACAATATGTTAAAAAAGAATAGGGTAAGGTAGGGTAGGGTAGGATAGGAAAGGGTAGGGTAGAACCAAATTATCATAAATCTAATACCAAGATAGATTAAGACTCAGATAAAGTAAAGTAAGAATTGTACTAACTACTCCATCTGCCTAAACCATCGTTAAAGCATTTACTCTAGCACGTTTTGGCCCATTCCCAGACCCTTACAACATTATTAAACACCATAAAGACCTTTTAACCAGTTTCAAGCACCTTAAGCTGCAAAAAACTGCTTTTATGTGTTTTTAAAAAGAAATATTTATTCGAATACTCTTATTGCAATACAACTGCCCAACGGCCATTCTCAACTCGGAAATGGTCTGAATTGAAGTAGGCTTTCATTGTGTGAGTTTAAATGCGAAATCTTGAAAGAAATTTAATAATGTTGTAGTAGATGTGCATATAAGTATATATCAAGCTTTTAAAGCCATTTATACTGATAAAATTAACAAAACTGAATATACGTAAATTGATTGTTTTTAGCCTCAAAAATGTTTTTAAGCCTCAAAAATGTTTCTAAACCTCCTGAAACAACAAAACAACCTTTTAAAATATTAAAATAGTACTAAACCACTCGTGCCTCAAGTTTGTGTATATTCACCTGCCCGCGAACAACATAATCCCCTATTCAAACACAACTTAATCAACAAAAAACAATAATTTCAGACAAAGAAATCGGCCAAATACTTGTATATTCCAGTCTTAAACCCAAGAATAAGTTAGCGAACAAGATCATATTGTTCATGTGCAGCTACTGAACCAGAAAACACTCTGTTTGAAAAACGCCCGCGTTTCGTTGAGAGCTTATTGAATTATCGTTCAAACATTCGATAAATATATAACACGAAAAAAGTTACATTGTTGCCCTCTACATTACTTTAGTCTCGCCTGACATACTATTAGGTCGTTCACTTAATTCTGCCCCCCATAACGAAAGAAATTTGTTTGAAAAAGGCGCAGAATTAAATGAACGACGTAATAGTATATCTGTTACTACCTTAACTACACTTTCCTAAGCCGGTAGCTGTGTTTAAACCTAGAACTGTGTGCTAAGCCACATACTAAGCTTAAAATGTTCTGCTAAATCTCAAATGTTGTGCTGTGTCTAAAATTTTAACATAACATAAGCCTACACTATTATTTTTTTAGAAATCCTTCACATTCCCACCTCTTACAAAAATGTTAAGAATCAAAAAGCAAAGCCAGTAAATGTATAATATTCAGGTTTCAAAGTCAGACACCTGCGAATTATAAATTCAAAACACGGCGACGTTCTAGTCCCGAAGGAATATAAAAATTTATCGTTTCGAATATTATTTTCAATTTATTCCTATACATATCATAGTAATCAAGTTTTCAAATTGCGTAGATATTAGGCGCCGACATGAAGAACCCGCCATACTTTGCCTGTAATTTCCCGTAAAAGATGGCGGGTTCTTTATGTCGGCACCTAATACTGCTTTAGAATAAATATTTCTTTTAAAATTTTATCGAACAACACATACAAATGCTTTTCAAATTCAAATGTAAATTTTAAACCGGAATACATAACCAACCCCCCCCCCTAAAAGTAGCAATAATAATTAAAAACCGCCATTTTTTACTTTTATCGCCCTCACCTCGTAGCAGTGTTTTCCTCCGAAAATGAACTTAATTTAGGTATTAATTTGCGCCAAAAAAAGAAAGAGAAGATACCTGAAGAAGGCTACTTTATACCTACTCTATTAATTTGAGTGGATTTCCCGCCCCAAAAGTGTTTCCGATAAACCTTACAAGAAGCGGCGGAATGTTTGTTGTGCTTCAGGATGTTAGCTAAACTCGAAAGATGTCGTATAACAATAGAAATGCGGTCTTATTACAGTAGAGATTTCACTTACATTATATGAGTAGAAACTTTACTTACATTATATTAGACTATATAGCTGAGCGTATTTTACTAGACATAAAATTCACAATTTTACTATATTTACTGCCCTATTAACCGTAACCGTAAACGAACTTCTCAAAATCAGTAATTTTAACTATTTTGTTTATGCCCAAACTATAAATACCATGGTTTATAGCGTAAACAGTAATTTAAATTTTTTTATTAGGTGCCGACATAAAGAACCCGCCATATTTTTAGTGTAATTTCCTGTAAAAAATGGCGGATTCTTTATGTCGGCAATAGTAATAAAAGTTCGTTTCTCAAGTAAATTTTTAAACTTTAAAAATTTCAGCCAATTTAAAGTTTCTTTTCCCTACGTTAATATACGAAAAAAATCAAAGTTAAGTTTTAAAACTAAGAAACAAATGAAAATGTCTATTATCATGGCAATCGTTTCCCATCTTGCTCATCATCTTACTATTTAGATATTTTGACTATTTGAATCATCCAAAAACAATCACCGCAACAGAGACGTGTCTAATCCCGCAGCCACCCCTTAAATGGGTCTTTTGCGAAAGTTTAATAAGAAAACAAAAAAACCGTGATCCATGGTATAAGTGTACATATCGTACCAACAAACATGCGTCTAGACAGATACCGTACTATAATTATGTTTGGAATACAATAACAAACCTTTATAAAAAATAAAGTTTTATTATAAAAGATATTAACCCACCTTCCTGAATCCTTCTTCGAACCTCCTCAACTTCAAACAATTCTCAAGTTTTTGTTGATGTTTCGACCAAAACGCGTCGAATGACTTTTCCGTATCCTCCAGTTGGATCAACATACGTTCGATAGCAGTCACGTTGTGCAATCTAGTCGGGCTCAGCTGCTCGGCCTCGGGTTTTTGCTCTAGTTGTCGTACTTGTCGCAAAAGTTGAAGACCTTTTCTGATGGAAATCCGAAAATCCTCTTTTATTGCATCTCGTTCGGAAGTTTGAGCTTCTAGAATCCGCTGTGTTGATTCTACATCGTTTGGCAGTTCGGTTTCACGCAAACATCGGCCGAATTCGCTCAGACTTTCGGCGATTACGGCCGCTGAACTTTTCATTCGTTCAATGTCCTAAAGTAATATAAAATATAATTTTTCATTTTCATTATGAAGCTAGTACGTCTTTTTATAACAACAAAAGGAAAGAATCTCCAGAAAAAATAATTTGTTACCTAAATTTCAATTTTAAGAACTTAACTACAAAATTAGAATTTAGGTAACAATTTTATAATTTAGGTAACAAATTTATAATTCAGGTAACAAAGTTATAATTTAGGTAATAGAAACAAAAAAAACGTACCATTCGATGTTGTACCCATTCGAGATGGTTATATTTGAGAACCCCTCCGACGTCCATCGTAAGACAATCTGGAGCCAAATAGTCGCGCAATTCTGATGTGCTTTGACAAGGTACTACCTAAAATATGACAATCTTAAGGTCAAAAGCTAAAACTACATTTTTGCATAATTTTTTTAAAAAAATATTGTCATTAGTAAATATCATACCGTTTCAACTTCCATTTTAAATAAGTATGTATTATAAACTTTCAAAAATATTGTAAAACATGAAAATATTTATCAAAAAAGCATAAAGCAAAGAATCTATCGTATTTTAAACCCAAATTTACATTTTCCGATCAACAAAACCATTATTTTTCACAACTTTGATCAAAAAGCAAGGTTCAAGAAGTCTTTTTAGTGTTATTCTATCAATAACAGCAACTGTATCTGATTATCGGTGTTGTTCTTATCAAAACAAGATGTTAATAAGAAGACCATCAGTTGCTCTGTTAAATTTTAATGTAATTTCGTCTTTAAAACATCAAAAATGACAAAGAATAAGTTTTTCAAAAATAAATTATGAATAACAGTTCAAAGTAAATTAAATATTATTAAAAATCTAAAATAATTTGGTCAAAGACTCAAAACTCCAAAACTTTCTTTACAAAAAACAAAATTGTAAAAACTTAAAACCTAATCACACAATGATAACATAAACCAACCCAAACTAACAATTTTGTCAAACTTTTGGCCATTTTGATTTATTGTCCTCAAAAAACGAAAAAAATAAGTTGTCATAAGTTGTGAGAAGACGAAATGAGGACAATTACGTTGGAAAGAGGAACAAGCTTATAACTATCAATTACTTGACACGTTTTCAACAAAAAAACAATAACAATTAAGAGACGTTTTTGAGGTAATAACAACTTGTTTTTAATACTTTTTGGGTCTAGAAAATATTTGTTGTAAAGAAAATTTTTGCTATTAAAATGATTTTTGTAAAGGAAGTTTTTGCTAATAGAATGTTTTTTTTGTAAAGAAAGTTCTTGTTATTAAAAAAATTTTTTTGTAAACAAAGTTTTTGCTAATAAAATTATTTTTTTTGTAAAGAAAATTCTCGTTATTAAAAAAATTTTTTTGTAAACAAAGCTTTTGCTAATGAAATGATTTTTTTTGTAAAGAAAGTTTTGCTATCATGAAATTACTTGTAAAAAAAATTATTGCCATTTTTAAAATGTGCTTGAAATTCCTCCAAAATAAATTTCAAAAACAAACTGTCAAACAATGTTTAATCAGCAAAACCGCCGCTGTTAAACCCAAAATGCCCTTAAGTTACTATTAACTTTTTTGGCGCGCATCCCAAAATTAGTTAAAATTCGACGCAAAAAATGGCACGGCCTTGAGAAGGAAGATTTTGCGAAACTTTATTTGGTTCATTGGCTAATCAGCCTTAAGGTGTGATAACAGAAAATGGCATAAACTAACAATAAAGGTTTGAAACCCGAAAGATAACCAGCACTTCGGTTAAAAATTTTTTAGAAATTTAAAATTTTTTTTTATTTTAGAAATAAAAATTCTAAAAACTTACGTTAAATTGTCCGTTTTCAGTAAAGTTCCTATAGCCAACCTCCAGAGCACGTTGTAGCACGCCTTCCGGTTTCAGAAGAAAAATCAGGTGGACTGGCTCGGGAAAGTAGTTCTAAAATTTAAATTTATATTATCAAGAATTATAATTAACATATATAAAACAAAAAACGTTATCAATGATATATGTCTATTTTTAGTCTTACATTACATTATCCTTTATATGTCTATGCTTAGCCCTATTCTACCCAATCCTACCCTACCTTACCATTCCTGTTCTACTATTATAAATGTTTACCCAACTACCAATATAAAAAAATTTTTCTGCGTATTTTATAAAATATTATATAATATCATGATATAATAACATAGCCAGAAGTAAATTGTAAAAATTCATATTACGCAACATTTTCTTATGTAATATTGGTTACTTTTGTAACATTTGCCTCGATGTAAAACGACCTAACAAATTACTGCGAGCAGAACAAACTCATTCTGTCATTCTGCATAACATACCAAATTGTAAAATATACCAGAATCTCCACACCACCCCACCCTACCATTCTCTCCCAATTTTACCAGCTTCAAACACAACTATGCAAATATACAGTATATCTCCCTACTGCCATGCCTAAACAACCATAGCTAACCGCCTAAGGCAAGGTTTAAACGTTTTATAAACAAAAGCGTGGAATTCTTGAGGAAACAAATCTTCTTCCTTTCCCCCCCCCCTCTCAAAATGGGCTTTTAACGTAAATTTTGTGGAGTGACCCGAGCGAGAGAATGTGATATTGCTTTAGGGACATCTGCTGCAAAAATAAATTTCGATGCACATTATGGGATTATTCATAAGGTGGAGAAAATGGTCACTAATATGAGCTAATGTAAAACAAATTATGGGCTAGCTTGGCTGAAATTAGGAGTTTTAAATAAATTTTTAATGATGATAGAGCGGGCTCTCTATATAGTGAACCATCTGTATAAGCAGTTCTCCTTATAATAAACAAGAAATTTTGCCTCGCCAAGTCAATTTGCACTAAAAAGTCTCTCTGTAAAGACAACACCCCTTATAGTAAACACAAAATGTTGGTCCCTTCGAGTTGCTTATATAGAGAGAGTACTGTACTAAGATTAAAATAAAAATAAGTTTTCCTCCCCCGCACCATCAACGTGCACGCGTTAAAAAAAGTGTCAAATCAATTTCAAATACAATGACAATGTCCAGGTATCCATCTCAACCACAATCTACCCAAATCCAACCTTCCGCTAACTTAAACAATACAATTACGCAACATAAGATGACAATTCTACTTAATTTCCCTTTCCGTTTTTTCCGCTGCAATTATCGCTTATAAGTTGTTGCTACTTTCTCAACTACAAAGAAAAAATACATAAAAGCTACAAGGGTATTGTTGTACAATTGCTTCAGTTGACATTTGAGTTCTGAAGAATTCGTAGGCTTAGCATTATTAATTTAAGCTTAATAGGCTTCCGTTTAATAAGCTTAGGCTTATCTGGCTTAGACCTGTTAGGCTTAGGCTTTGAAAAGTTAAAGTTGTAAAGTTTAGGCTTAGAGAACAGGCTTAGAAAGCATAGGCTTAGAAAGTTTAGGCTTAAAAAACTTAGGCTTAAAAAGCTTAGGCTTAAAAAGCTTAGGCTTAAAAAGTTTAGGCTTAAAAGGCTTAGGCATAGTACACTTAATCCACTTGGCTTAACCCCCTTCTTGGGCATGAGAAACGGGCCGGCCTTGAGAAAAATTTAGATCGGACCGGGCCTAACATTCAGGCCCGGCCCGGAAGATGAAAGTTTTAATTTTAAAATTTAGAAAAATAGGTGTAAAAGTTTGGTAAATCAGGGTAGAATAGAGTAAAGTTGAAGTCAAGGCCGGGCGGGGAGGGGGCGGGGGGGGGGAGAGAGGTAGAACCCCACCCCAGAAAAAAAATTTTTCGAAAAAAGTTGAACTTGGTCCCCCCCCTTTGGATTTTTTCGACCCCCGCCCCCAGACCAAAATTCCCTGCCCGCCCCTGGTTGAGGTCCCAATAAAATTTGCCCCTAAAACCATCCCAGTTTAAACTTGAACCCATTTATCCCCACCCCCATAAAATCAAATGAAACATTCAAAAACACTTGTTCGACAAGTCCACAGCTCTTTTTAATTGTAATAAAACAAATTTAAAGGATAAAGCAGAGAGTGGCCGCGAATTGGCCATTGTCCGAAAATAAAAAACAAAAAAAAATGAAAACGGGTTTAGAAACGCCCGTTCTTGTTCTATCGATTATTCGACTCGGGATGACACGAAGGAACGGTCAGCGAGGGAGAGCGGAATAGCAAGATTAGTAAACATAACATTCAGTGAGGTCGGGATGAGGTTAGTAGTACTCGTTTTTACTATTTTAAGACAGTTTTTTTAAATTGAGCAAAAATTGACTACTGTAACTCATAAAAAATACTGTAACAACCAATTTTTCAAAATTTTTTTTTCGTTTTTTCGCGTACAGGTAAATTTTTTTTTGTTTAAACAATTTATAGACACCTTAGTACGCTTTAACGTAAATTTATAAAAATTTTTAAAAAAATTTTTTGGTGTCGGCAGAGGTACTCAACCCGTCCAAAAATTGCGTTTCAATATGAAATTTAAAGAAAATAGTAATGAAAATTTAAAATTTAAGTTAGTCTTACTAATGGCGTATTAAAACAACTGTAAACAGCTAGTACAATTTATCAATTAGCTAATCAAATCAATTTTAAAAACTCAACAAAAGTACTCCAGACAAGCAAACTTCACCCATACAAACTCCATGCCAATGCCAAACCCCATAACATCTAAACCACACCTCTACTCATGACATAAATCCCCGGTCATCGATAAAATTAGCCCCACTAATGAAGCGCTCCGTAAATTCGGGCGAAACAAACGTTGCAACATGCGCAACGACAACGTTAAACGCGTCAAACGAACATAAACAATTGAATAAAAACAGGCGGCTTTTTGAATGAATCCGCTTAATGCAGTTATAAAAGAATTCGTTCAGTGAAGCGCTAACAGTCAACCGGCTTCTCGGAAATTAATTCCTTTTTTTATTGCCACACAAGGATTTGTTGCAAAAACGCCTCCGGCAGGCTAGTTAAAAAAAAGCAAGAAGTACGTAGAATCTTGCCGTGATAAAAGTACGAAGAATATATTGAAATTTACAAGGCATGGTTAGTTCAAACCTCACGCTTATCCCCCATAATACTCTTTTCAACTGACCATCACTCTCCCCATTGAGCACTACCATTGCCGATATCCAGCTCACACTTATTTCACTATAACTTTTAGTCAAAGAGCAATCAATACTATCCAGAAAACCCTTGCGAGAACATCTAAATTGCAACAAAAACCTACGTCTTGTTTCGGGGTTTGTCGCAACTCACGTAGCCATTGTCCATTCGCGCGGCCCAGTCAAAGTTTACTCTTTTACTTACAATAGAATGTTTGAAAAGAAAAAACATATTCCACTAATCGGCTCCTTCTTACAACAAAAGCAACTTTTTTAAAAAAGGTGATATTATGTTAAAAAATCCTCGTTTCCAATGCAAAATAAAAAATACCAAACCCAGATACTAAAACAATTTGAAAAGAAAATTCTAGTAAAACTAATGCGAATAGAATAATTACAAGTGTTGCTGCACAAAATTCAAGAATCTCTCGACAACGGAAAAACAGAAAAACCGTTTTTTCGAATGGTTCCGCAACGATTTGGATGGAAACAATGACATTTGCATGTCATAACCTACTATTCTTCCAAGATCTTCTTTTTATGTTCTACTGAAGTTATGAAAAGTCTATCCTCACATACCGTATTTTTTCCAACCCTACCTCACTCTACCGTAACCTACCTAGACATAAGAAACGAGCCGGGCCGGCCCTGAGACAAATTTCGATCGGGCCGGACCTAACATTCAGGCCCGGCCCGTTTCTCATGTCTAACCCTACCCTACCCTTACCCATCCTTGCTCCTCTTTAACTCACTCAGATCACTTAAAACATCTTCCCCATACGTAAAAAGATTAATCACGTATTCGCTCTGTGACTAAATCAACACTTTCGATGCATATCCAATTTTCACGCCAATCTCTTAACTCATTTCGTATAAAAAGTAAATAAAAAACACTGTAAACCAGTATATCTTCGCTTTTCCGGCAGCGGCGGCTTAAAAAATGTGTATTTCAATAGAACTTTCATAATTTTTTTATTCAAAAAAGTCGACAAATCCCCGCGATGTCAGCTGTTTACAGAGTGTTTTCGACGGAAGCGCGCCAAAAATCGACAAGTTTCTCGAAATGGTCATCCCTCAAAGTTCTTGATGAACCACGTAAAATATTGGCATTTTTAAATTTTTTCAAAAAAATTTTAACTCATTTTTAAAATTATGAGTTTGGTTTAAAAAAATATTTTAAAAATGAAAAAAGCTCTTTCTATTAAGTGTCAACATAAAGAACCCGCCACACTTTTCCTGTAATTTCCTGTAAAAAATGGCGGATTCTTTATGTCGGCACCTAATACCTTCTATACTTAAAACTCACTAAATTTTATTAAAAAATAATCATCTTCCCCTTGAATTTTATCAAAAAGTAAACAAAATTAGAGAATAACCAGTAAGAAACAATCACTTAAGCTACCGATCGCATATTACACAAAGTGGGACGGTTATCGAAAAGAACAATCAATTCTCACTGTCACGATAAAACCGTGCCAAAAAAAGTTTTTTAGGTTTTCTTTAAACAACCACCATGAAAATGGCATTAACCTTTACAATATTGAAGTTTGGGTATAACGTTTTTACGATTTCATTTTTTTATTTTAGGTGCCGACATAAAAAACCCGCCATTTTTTACAGGAAATTACAGGAAAAATGTGGCGGGTTCTTTATGTCGGCACCTAATAGTAAAAAAAAAGCATGAACAATAAAGGGGTTCCATTCACAAAAAAGTAATTTAAAATACGTAAAACAAAGTTTTTCGTAAATATTTATTTGTTTAGACTAAACTCGAGCTGTTTACTCAAGTTTAATGTAACGGAATAAACGCGCGAGTTCAGCCCTCGAGCAGAAACCTTGGTAACTCCTCATTAAACGCTTTATTCTTAATTGGCTTATTTTCACTCAACTTAAAACTTTTAGATATCGCAAAAAAAAATTCCCTCTCGCCTAATTTTTTTTTGAACTTGAGTTGCGTCTACCCGCCAGTACCATAAGGCTTTATCTTATTGTCCCAATAAAAAGTTTCAAAATTTTCACCCATGGTCTTTTCAACCCATGCCCAATTAGAAAAACTCCAACAACCCTTTTGTTACCCAAAAATGTCGTAAAAACAAATACAAAAAATTTGATTCATTTTTGATATTTCACCCAATTACGACTAACAAAAGTGCTTGAAAATCCATGAAACGCGTCACAAAATTCGAAAAAATTGATTCAATACGTTCGAGGACCGTTTTCGTATTTTTTTTCTTAAAATCCACTTAATTTTCGTATGTTTAAAATCGTCGTTCCTCCGGAATGTATTTTTTTCACGGAAGCCGAGACTCCCGATCTTAAAAAATGCTCTTGAAATTTAGAACAACAAAATAAAAAATAGAAAATATTTTTTAAGCCCCCTTAATGAACTAGGACTAGGCCTACTAAGCCTAAGTCTACTAACCCTTAGCCTACTAACCTTAAATCTAATAACCTTAAGCTTAATAAACCCAAACCTCATAAATTTACGTTTGACAGTACATTTAGCAATCTGATCAATAATTGAGTACATTAAAAGCCTAAAAACAAAAAAAGTTTAAAAACTGACCATTAGGTATGAGAACAAAACTCGAACTGCCGACCATTTGTCCGTTCGCCGGTCGATGATCAATACATATCCTTTTTTGTCCTTTTTAGCACCATCCTCGTCTAGCCTAAAATAATATTTTAAATTTTGCTTTTATTTAAGATTTTGCTTATTTTCCGTATTTTGTTACGCTTATATTATACAACATAATTATGTAAAAACATAGCTTTAGGTAAATTGAGAAAAGTCGTATTACGCAACTTTTTCTTATGTAATATTGTTTACTTTTGCAATATTTGCCTCGATGTAAAACGACCCAACAAATTACTGCGAGTGTTGAGATCGGTACCAAATTGTACAAAAACTGAATATACTAAGCCTACTAATTCTAAGCTTAACAAACCTAAGACTACTAAATGCAAGCCTACAAAAGGTAGGCCTAGTAAGAGTTAGTATACTAAGCCTGAACCTACTAAACCTAATTATAAGCCTACTAAACCCAACGTATTAATCCTAACCAACACAAAAAATTACTGACAGTAAGAGAATCTTGCCCAATACGTTATCAAAATACAGTATTTTTAAACTTACGGTGGAACTTGAAAAAGATAAGCCAACAGAATCTGATACTCTTCGAAAGTCAATTGCGATCTTGAATCCGGAAACGTCAATATAGGGTTGCCATCTGATGTCCGTAAGCCAGATATAAATGCAAATCTAGACACCAAGATATGACTGAGATCTCTGACTTTTATACGTTGATTGGCTACGTCAACAAATCCTTCTAAAACATTATAAATTAGTTACATAATATAAGTTTAAAAATATTAAAAAATCCCCAACTTTTTGTTTTTTTTTATCTTGAAGTAAGATATTAATATTTTGGCATGTCAAAACATAAATAAATACATTTTTCGTGAAAACCTGCTGAACCATTCTAAACCGTTATATAATCATATTATCATAGACAACAAATACCCGGAATATCCAACTGATCCTCGTGTTCAACTTCGACACAATCAATGACTTCAAAGTCATTTTCAATGCCAGGTAAAGTCACTGAATGTTTATTTTCAATCGAGTCGATCAACTCGATTGTACTCATTTTACAAATTTCACTGTCCATTTCAACATTATTGATTTTTGCACTGTTCGGTGCCAGTTTTACTAAAATTTGCAGCTTTTTAATCAAAAGATTTAAAATTTACGCGACATCACTTTTTTAAAAAACAGAAATAGCATAAACTATCGTTACAAAACAAAAAATGTAAACATCATACCAAAAAACCAAACTTTTTTACTGTTTTGCTAACACAAATTTGTCAAAAAACTTTTGAAAATCGTTAAAAGTGCATTGAAACGGAAAGAAAATTCCCGCGTAAATTTACAAAATTGTCAAAAAGTTGGTTTTTTCCTTATTTCAATCCCGAAGCTAGATGTTTTTCAGTTGGATGAGTTTGAAAGACCGCTTTTGTTTGGTAATGGTCATTTTTTGATGATATAATAATGGACGTTGCTACATAAAAGCTTTGGAAAGTTATAAAGTTTATATTACTGTATACTTTAAAATTAAAATATTTTTAAATATTAAGTGTGAAAATCATAAATAGTAAATTTAAAATGACAATATAAGGTTGTCATTGCGTAAAAGCCTTCAAGGCGTGAAACTCGATCAGAAATCGTGACAAAATAATATTGTTCTTGTATACAGTTATAGCAAGTTTATAGTAACTGTAAACAATACGAGAAGCTCACAATAACAAAAAATATTTTTATGTCGTTGACTATAAAAAATGAATTTCTCAAAGCACCCTTTTCAAAAAAAAAAACATTTTTACCATAGCCCAGTGCTGGAAGAAAAAGAAGTTATCTAAATTTAACAAAAAAGAAATCAAAGGCAATCACAAAAAATAAAATTTTACAAATTTCAAGATATTTATTTTTAAAATAAGTTAAAAACAAATCCCCGTTTACCAAAATTTGGAACAAAAGTCGTAAAACGACCTCGCTAACTTACTTCAAAGCTGTTTTTGAACCTAAAAACGGTCATAAAAGGTAAAACACGGTGAAAATCGGTTTTAAAAATTTTATGACTCAAACTTTCTTTTAAAAATTTATTGTACAGTGGTCTCGCTATATAGTGAACCATCTGTATAAGAAACTCTCTTTATAGTAAACGACAAACTTGGTCCCGCCAAATCAATTTGCACTAAAAAGCCTCTCTGTAAAGACAACACCCCTTATAGTAAACACAAAATATCAGTCCCTTCGGGTTGCTTATATAGAAAGAGTCCTGTACAACAAAAAATTTTGTTAAAAAATAATAGAAAAACTTTGGCATTTCAAAAAAATATATATAAAGTAATTCACAGAAAGAAATGCGTTTGAAACCGCCGAAAAAGAAATATTAACCTCAGGTGAAGGAGCATCCTAATTTACTTCGTAATTCTCTTACTATCCCGTTTTGACACACTTTCGAGCCCAAAGCTTTAAATTGAGCCTAAAAAAGCTTTGAAATAAGCCTAAAACGTGAAAAGCAGTCAAAACATTACACGCCTATGTACATAAAATCCACTTGTAAACCTAATAACTCTAAGCCTATAAAATTTTCCACTCTTCTTGCCAAAAATACCCACCCAAACCCCTAAGCAAAATGTCCAACCCACTATGTACATATATGCTCATTTGCCGTCCGAATACAGAACAAAGACAGCAACCTGACCGAGGTCAAATTCAGTTTGAGCTGCCAAGTACCCCGTCTTTATCCCCCCTCCCGCTCGCTCTCGCTTAATGTTTTTGGGAAAGCTCAAATTTAAATATTCGATCGGTTACCATGGTAGATCGTATATCCAAGTTTTATTATGTAAATTATTGGATTTGGCAGGTGTCACGGAAACGTTTCATAAAATAGGCGAGTGAAAAGAAAGTTCTTGCGTTTTATGACAATAGTCGTTTTCTAAACATAAATTGCAAAAACTTTGTTTACAAAATCAAACAAAGTTCCTTTACAGCCCAAAACATTATTTCCAACGGAGAAACCACAAAATTTTAATTTTCAAACATTTGCTCTGTGCAGTAAAATATCTTACCAGTAAAATCTTACTTTTCCCAAAGCTTTATACATATTAGTAATACTGGTATTATTACCCTAATGACTACTTTCACGAAAATTTTTCATTTCTTTGGCTCGTTTTATAAGTAATAATACTTTCTTTTCTTTCCGCCAGATTGTACGAATTTCCGTTTTTCAGTTTGGAAATGTATTTAGTCAGTTCATGCTATATATATTGTTCTAACAAAGCGAAGTACATCATATTAGGTCGAACCAAAAGAAGCGGGACAATTTCAGTTGAAAAGCAAGTGAAAAGTGTCCCGATACTTTTGGTTCAACCTAATACTAAGCTCTCAGGACACGTCCAAATTTCACCTACTCAAAAAAATTTTAAAAACCTAAAGTATGTTTTAAAGTTTAAAAAATGGTGAAATAACAACATTTTTGTCTCCGTGTCAAATATTTTTTTAAAAAACTTAACGTGAAAGCTCGTTTCCATAGAAGTACAAGACAAAAAATAAGAAATCATGTGCCGCTACATTGGTAAAAAAGATATATTATATGTAAAAAAGCAACCTACTTGTTAACCTAACTTACTTAGCATGACCTTAAACCTGATAATATTAAGCCTAATAAAAAACCCAAGCTTAAACCTATGTCTAAACCCAAGCCAAAGCCCCAGACTAAGCGTAAACCTAAACCATAACCACCGACTAAACCTAAGCCTAAACACAAGCCAAAGCCCCATACTAAGCCTAAAACTATTAAGCCTAATCCTAAAAAACTTAAACCTACTTAGCGTATGTCTTACTAATCTCTATAAAATGTCTTCAAAACCCTCATGCTATTTTATTGTCAAAATCAAAGCTCTCAAAAAAATTCCCACGTAAATCACGTCACAATGACCGTTTTTTAGCAAGAGGTCCATTATTTGACCAAACACAGAATTTTTCGATTTTACCGCTCCGAAAATTGTTTTCTCTTTCTTCCGGTAATCGAAATGAAATGTTATTCGAATACATACATATTAATTGCAAGTTTCTCATATTTCAATCTGCTCCGGATATTACACTAGGGATTACGCTGGGAATGTTGGGACAATAAACATAAAAAGACAAAAACTTTGTTTCCAGATCAAAAATAAACAAAAATTTTAGATAAATTTAGAAATAGCCAAAACTTTCTTTAAATTACAAAAAAACGACAAAAACCTTCAACGCCGTACAAAAAAATGATAAAAACTTTCTTTACAAAACAAAAAATGGCAAAAACTTTCTTTACAAAACAAAAAAATGAGAAAGACTTTCTTTACACTATGAAAAATAACAAAAACTGTCATTACAGGACAAAAATTAGCAAACAATCTCCAGTACAAAACCGTTAAAATATATTAAACAGTCCATTTATGCTATATCTTACAGAGTAATAAGGAGTATTAACCGCGTAAAATAGTTTTTTTATGAAAAAATGACCATCTTGACCGCACGCTTTCCAAATATTTTCCCGCTACGTCCATATTCGTTAATCCCAAAGTAAAATAAACTTTTCAAAACGAAAATACCTCAGCTATTATTTTTTTACCAGATATTAGGCGCCGACATAATATTATCTGGCCCTTGACCTTAAAACTATATATTAGGTGCAGACATAAAGAACCCACCATACTTTGTCTGTAATTCTCTGTAAAAAATGGCGGTTTCTTTATGTCGGCACCTAATATTCCTTTTTCATAAAAATTTCAAATTTAAAACTTATTTTATATTATATATTTGTGTTCGAGCGCCTGCGGGAAGAGTTTTCTCAATTCGATTAACGTTTGTTTAGATATGAAATTTGTTTATTCAAGTGTCCTTTTCAAGGTTTTTGATGAACCATACGGTGAAAAGTGACGTCAAAACGTCAAATTTTATAGGTTTTTGTTGTAAAGAAAGTTCTTGCCATTTTTTGTTTTGTAAAAAAAGTTCTTGCCGCTTTTTGTTGTTTTAAATGAAATTCTTGTCGTTTTGATTTTTTAAACAAAGTTATTGCCATTTCTTGTTGTTTTAAATGAAATTCTTGTCATTTTTACTTTGTAAACAAAGTTATCGCAATTTAAAATTTTTTAAAGAAAATTATTGCCAATTTAAAATTTGTAAAGAAAATTAATGCAATTTTCAATTTGTAGAGAAAGTTATTGCCGATTTTTCATTTTTTTTTAATTTTGTTGTCCATCTTCTGTGGTCGGCCATTTTGCGGTCATAAAAAAAGAAAAGCATAAACAATAACTTGGAATGACTGATTGAACATCGGAACATTCATGTGTCAAAGTTTTGTTAAACAAAAAAAATTTTTTCGGCCATTTTTCGTTAAAATATTTTTAAAAATTTCAAAAAACTTAAATTAATGTCACTTTGAAGCTTATAAGAAAGGTTCTTGGTATTTATCGTTTTTTTCTCAAAGGTATAACTTTTAATTTAGTTCTTTACATAGATAAAATAAAATTTTTCATTTTGTAAAGAAAGTCCTTGCCTTTTTCGATCTTCATTCTATCTTTCTAATTTTCCAGTCAAAAAAACGAAATAACTTTGTTTACAAGTGCTGAAATCCCTAAATGTTTGACAAAAATTGTCGGCAAAACAAGCAAAACCCCTGAGGGCGTTTTTCGACCGAAAATCGCGTAAAACCCAAGAGAATTGTAAAAGACGAATGGAGACGAATGTTTGTGTAGATGTCCGTGAACATGTCTCAACGAGACGTAAATATGCATTATAGGCACGGTTTGGGTTAAACGTACGAAAGTGCATATACATAAAGTAAAAAAATGTGGAAGGATTTTTTAAATGATTTTTTGTGCTTACCAGGATTCTGTTTACAAGATCGAGCAAAGACCGAAAAAATCCTCACAAATTTTTTTTAATTTAAATATTTAAAAAAATTTTTAATAGAAAACACCCCTAAATTCCCATAAACCCCCTATTCACACCTACCCCAATTTTCGTCTTCACTTTCGTCATCACTAATATCATCGGCCATCATCCAGCCAGTCCCATACAGATGACAGCTGGCTGTCATCGACGGTTTTTGCGAGCTCTCCGACTGACTTCTGTACCCCGAATCCTGTAGAAAACTGGTCGATTTTAACGCATTCTGCAGCACTTTCAAATCGAATGTCATATCATAGTTGAATTTTGGCGTCTCCTTCATTTTTGGCTGATATTCTGATCGGGTCAGCCGGCTGAAATACAAAGTTTAAAAAAAAGTTTAAATTATAAAAAAACGTTCTTTAAAATTGAATCCAAACACTTTAGTATAATATAATATACTATTATGTGTTGGCTGGAAAAAATGTATTCGTTTTTACGAATGTACATATCCACTCTTCCTTTATATAACATTTACATCCAATGATCTGATAAAAACCCATAGCCCCAGGGAATTACAATTTATCCGTATTCAAAATAAACAGGGTGGTCGGAAAGTTCTGGCGTTTGCTTATAATTGTCATTTTTCTAATTTTTAAAACCAGCTTTACACATTTTTTAAGTTGTAAAGAAAGTTCTGTTCATATTATGATTTATTGAGGAAGTTAACCCATTTTAAAAAATTTTGTTGTTGGATATACAACCAAATAGACATATATCAGTGGAAATTATTGTTTTGTGTAAACATATATGTTCTTATGACTACTATGGTCAAAATAACAATAAAAGCTTTTAAGAGATTTTTTGTAAAAAATAAACGGAAACTTTCTTTACAAACTAAAAAGTTACAAAAACTTTCTTTACAAATCAAAAATGGCAAGAACTTTCTTTACAATACGAAAAATAGCAAGAACTTTCTCTACAAAACAAAAAATGACAAAAACTTTCCCTACAAACCAAAAAATGACAAAAACTTTCTTTGCAAATCAAAAAGATTACAAAAACTTTCCCTACAAACCAAAAAATGACAAAAACTTTCTCTACAAATCAAAAAATCGACTTAATTTAACACATGTATAAAACCAGACAAACGCTTTTAGCTCTAAACAACAATATCCCACACAAGTCAGTGGAACTACAACTCGTTTTGGGCCTAAATTACTCAGCGTTTTCGACCCAAAAAAGCACTGCCGCCCCGAAAACGTTGAGAGATTTTGTTGCGTTTTTTATTGGACTAAACGATTTTCGAGATCTTTGCCCTGCGGGACAAAAGTTGAAGAGAGTTATGAGTTACAGTTGGATGGACTTTGAACATTGTTTTAAAAAAAGCTGGCTTTAACGAAAAAAAAGGCAAAAAGTTTCGCCTAAAACAGCAAAAACTTTCTTTACAAATACAAAAAGAAAATAAAATTTTTTTTGCTATCATTTTTCAAATATAAAGTTCAAAAAACAAGCAGTAAAACCCTCAATATATCCAAAATAATGTTGCAATCATTTGGATGACTTCCCGGAACTTATCGTTCCTCAGCGTTCCTTAATGTTCTTTTCAAAGCCAAAAAGAGACGTTTTCAGATGAGCATCCGGACAGATTTCGAAAAAATAAACCAAATGACAAAAATTTTCTTTACAATATAAAAATCGGCAAAAATTTTCTTTACAATGTAAAAATCGTTAACAATTTGCTTTTCAAAGCTAAAAAATTAGCCAAAACTTTCTGTAAAAAACAACAAACAAGGACCCACCCAAATCAATATAGTTCACTTACTCATCCGGCCTCAACGCCATTTCATTAAAGGCCATGTAGCAACTGGATGTAGCCGAGTCGACGCGAGCCCGTGTAGCCGGATGAATCCGCGGCGATGCGGCGGGGCTGGCGGAGAGAGCGCCCACCTCGGCCAAAGGCCCTTCAAAGAAGGGATTGGCAATTGATGAAGAGCCCGCCAATACGACTGAAATGTAAATGTGTAAAGGAAATAATAACAACAAACACATGTATACATATACGTTAAAATTCATGTAGGTAAAGAAAATCTACCACCCCCAAATCTAAAAAAAAATAATTATTTCTCCCCCCCCTTCGTTTAAAAAATAACCCAAACTTATTCGCTCAAAATAAAAATCCACCCAAACATCATGTTTGTTTTGGATATCAAAAAAGCGCGAAGACAAGAGAAAGGTGACAAAATTTATAAAGCGTGACCTTTGAGTACTAAGGAGAACTCAAAGAAAGGAAAAAGTGACCAGGACAAACATAAAAACACACTCAATTTCGATTTTTACGGCTTTTTAAAGTTCCATACAACTTTTTCAAAATTCAAGTGTACTTTTAAAGTGCATCTTCATTTAAAAACGTCAGATATAAAACGTTTTTTACAGTATTCTTTGCAGTTACAGTGGTCTCTCTATATAGTGAACCATCTGTATAAGCAACTCTCCTTAAAGTAAACCACAAGTTTGGCCTCGCCAAGTCAATTTGGACTAAAAAGTCTCTCTGTAAAGACAACACCTTTTATAGTAAACCCAAAATGTCGACTCCTTCGTGTTGCTTATATAGAAAGAGTACTGTATAATTTAAGTTTGAAAGTAAAAAAGAATATACAGTACTCTCTCTAAATAAGCAACACGAAGGGACCGACATTTTGTGTTTACTATAAGAGGTGTTGTCTTTACAGAGAGGCTTTTAAGTGCAAATTGACTTGGCGAGATCAAATTTGTTGTTTACTATAAGGAGAGTTGCTTATACAAATGGTTCACTATATAGAGAGACCACTGTAACTGCAAAAAATCAAAGCGCACTTCCCCAACCCACAAATTTAAACAATTTGGCACCCAAAACGGTAACAATTTTTTTACGAGCCGCTCAAAAAACGAATAAAACTGTTTTTTATTCAATTTCGGCAATTTTTATTACTTTTCTCATTAGGAAATTGTAAACGGATGGCCGAAAAAAAAACAAAAAAACAGCCCAACAACAGCCTGAAAATTGCAATATTGCTTGAAAAATTTGAAAAAAATAGTTTTAACAAAATTTCAAAAAATAATACCAAACCCTTATTGAAGATTGAAGGAAAACTAGAAGTTGCGAAAACTTCCTTTACAAAAACAAAAAAAATCCAATATAAAACCGAAAACGTACATAACCCTTAAAATTTATAAATTTCTAAAAATAGTACGTATTTCTATTTTCTCATAAGGATGTCTGTTGGCTAAAAAGCAGCTTTGAGCCATTATTTTCCATTAGCGGCCAAACCGCAACATAATCTCGTGAATAATTAACCCGCCAACAATACGGCCAAAACTACAACAACAAAAGAAGAAAATTGAGAAAAACGCATTACGGTAATTATAATATTAGTTAGGTCCACTAATTGTAAGACTTAAACGTAAATTTTTGTTTGCTTTGTAAAGAAACTTCTTGTTATTTTTGTTTTGTAAAGAAAGTTCTTTCAGTTTTTAGTTTTTTAAAAAAAGTTCTTGCCATTTATTGACAATTTAGAGTATCGTAAAGTTGTTTGCCAGTTTTTGCATTATGAAAAAAAAAATATTTTTAACCTGCATTTTAAAAATTTTAAAGAAATATTCAACGGAATTTTACGAAAAAGTCAAAATATAGAGAAATTTGTTGGCCAAGTCCCTTCTGACTCCCAATAAATAATTAATAGATGGATTAATTATTCTGTAAACACGGCTATTAAAGTGCTTTTAAATGAACTTTAAGAAAACTAAATTACACCAAAACTTTCTTTACAATTCCACAAACGGCAAAAACTTTTTTTTACAAAAAATATAATAATACAGTGGTCTCTCTATATAGTGAACCATCTGCATAAGCAACTCTCCTTATAGTGAACAAGAAATTTGATCCCGCCATGTCAATTTCCATAAAAAGCCTCACTGTAAAGACAACACCCCCTATAGTAAACACAAAATGTCGGTCCCTTCAGGTTGCTTATATAGAGAGAGTACTGTAATAGCAAAAACTTTCTTTACATCTTCAAAAAGATGACTAAAAACCAAAAACTCTAAAAAACTCCGCATAATTGAAAAAACTTTGTTTACAGAGCCGCACAACGACGTAACATAGCAAAAAAACACGATTACATCCCAGCACGTCGTATAAAGCGGCGATTTGAAGATGGTCGTGTTTAAATCCCGGAATTTGAGGATATTTTCCGTAAGATCCTCAAAACATTGGGGCCGCTTTTTCGGCCCGTTTAATCTTATTTTCATCCCTCCCCCTAACATTTTGTTGCTCTACTTGGGCATCTTTAAAAAAAGCATCATTTCTGGATTTTTTATAAGTGAAACCTTAAAAAATATAGAATGTCAAAAAAGTTTAGTTTCTTATAAACTAAAAAGGAAAAACAAAGTACTAAACCGAAAACCAGTCGTAAAGTTTCGTCATAGTTTCAAAATCAAACTAAATACTTAAACTTTATTTACAAAGCAAAAATAGTATAAACTTTGTTTACAAAACCCACAAGACCTAAAGCGCTACAATCACATCATCATTTTTCTAAAAAATTCAAACGAATATAAAAATTTTCCTAAAAAATAACTCAAAGTGACCCTCAGGACATAAAATGCAGAAAATTCATTAAAATTAAACTGTTCCTACTGGTCTGAAAATAAAAGATTCTTACTAGTCTGGAAATGAAAGACAACCTAAAACAGAGAGATGTACAGAGAGAAAACATCCAAAGAGTAGGAAAAGCAGGAGAGACCAGAGAAGTAGTTTAAAAAGGATTAGACCCAAAAATAAATGGCTGACCGGAAAAACGTCCTCAACATTTACATTTTTAAGCTCTTCTGAATCGCCTTCAGGCAAAAAACACACGATTGTTACATGTCAGTACTTTAGAATTTACAACTAATATAAAACGCTAAGAGTTTTTTTCGCACAGCTATAAATGGCATAAGTTTTGTCTACAAAAGAAGAACAGAACGTTCATTACAAAATTAATAACTAGCACAAGCTTTCACTCGACTATTGGTTTTCAAATGCCAAAACTGCAATTAATACCTAATCTTCCCTATAAAACGAAACGCAGACCTCCCAGCATGCTAAAATTAAGTTACAATTTTGCGGAAGAACAGGGAAATGAATGTTATTTCACTCAAAAGGTCAAGAAATATGTCATTACACATCCAAAAGAACCCACAACATGATAAAATGTTACATCTGTTTCGTGTTTTACATTTTTGTTCTTTCGACTTTTAGGTTCGGAAAAACAAGTTTGCAATGTGAAGAAAGAAAGTGTTAAACAAGTTTAGTCCAAGACGAATGTTTGGCCATAAACAATAAAACATATAATTATGCATAGATTAATATACGTTGACATTAATATTCAGTTACATTAAAATTCTTGAAAAAATGTGATAAAACTTTGTTTACATAAAAAATTTAACAAACAGCAAAAAAAATTTTACAAATCATAAAACCACAAGAAATGTCTCCCAAAACCTCAAATTACAAAAACTTTCTTTACAATATAAAAATCTTTTAAAAAATTTAGCTCTCGTAAGGTTTGATCCTTTTCGGCTGCAAAAACGGCTAAATTAATTAGCTGTTCGTCGCCATAATAGCCAAAAGTCACTTAATGCACTCTTCGCTTAATTTAGCCGGCCCATAGTAATCGAGTTGAAATGGCGCGCAATTAAATAAAATAGAATCGCCTTGGGTTAATGATGCTGCAGAAACTTTCTTTACATTCAAGGTTGCTCTCGACAACATAAAAAATAACAAAAACATTCTTTACTAAACTAAAAAATATTAATACCCTTTTTTACAAACCAAACATGGCAAAAACTTTCTTTAGAAACAACAAATAGCAATAACTTTCCTTCAAATATAAATTTGGCCATAACATTCAGTAATGGAAACATTACAATAACCATTCCAAACTTATTAGAAATCCAAGTTTCCTACACATCCATAAGCAAAAACTTTGTTTCCAGTAATTACTCATCCTATTTTCCAGTAAAAAGTAAAAACGAACGCAAAGCCCAGAGGACCTCAAAAAAAGAGCGGTCCAAAACTTGTGTACAAACCGCAAAGAGATAAATGCCTGGAAGCAAAAGAGGAAAGAAAGTACGGAATAAAAACACAAGATAGATAAATGAATGTATGAAGAAATGGCCACTATTTCGTTGCATAATCCCCTGAGGGCAAAAAAAGACGAGTCGACAAGAAAGACAAACCAAGTGGCCGACATCTTTGCGGCCGCGCAAAGACTTTCTTTACATCACAAAGACTGTTTTAAAAGTATATTCACTACAAAAAAAACTACTTACCCATCGTTCGCCATTACGCTGACGTTCAGCCTTTGAATTAGTATTCCTCATATAATACTTAACGTAAACTTTCATGATATCCAAATAGTTTGACCTAAAAGCTGCAAAGTTTGACCATGCCTTCTTTAATTAACTCACCTCACCATTACGCTTACTGCATTTGATAGTTAGACCCGGTAGTTACGCGACAATACAATAATAAAAACTTTTACTCCTCAAATAATACCTTTATTCAATAATTAAACCAAGACGTTCAGCAGAAAACAGTATGATCAAATAACAATGTTGACCGTTAACATAACAAAGTATATTGGGGAGATAAACCAAAACACGATTAAATTTGAGTACACACTTCAATATATTCAAATAAGAGTACAATTTAAAATTGGAAAAGTGGATGGATAAGAGAAGACAAAACATTTAACAAAATTATAAAATTTATGTGTATCCATGTCAAATAACAATATATATTACATTCCAAACTGGCGAAGAACGACGTCGTGGGCAAAAGTGGCGGCTTGCTTTCGGACTCGCTTCTTGTACTCTTCTCTGCAAAAACAGTACCATTATGTAACTTCTTACATAGTCCTCGCTACTTTAAATCGTGCAATAAAAAGAAAACAACTTTCAGTTTTTTTAAAATATTTTTCGCCATTTCTCGTTTTGTAAACAAATTATTTAGAATTTAAAACATTTTTTCAAATTTGCACTATAAAATGACAACATTTGCCTTTGAAAACAAATATAATCCCAAAAACCACAAAATAAACTTACTTATTCTGGATAAAAGTTTGATAAGCGTCTGCTTGAGCCGGGTCTTCTGGATTTGGACTGTCCAACAATTCTTGTATACCAACAAGCAGTTGTTTTACCGAAATAGACGGCCTCCAGTCTTTGTTTTCGTCCAGCAATGACAGACACACTGTGCCTGATGGGTAGACGTTGGGATGAAACAGTGGCGGGTCGAATCTGCATTTGGGTGGAGTGGCAGGATATTCCTCACGAAAAGTCATCCGAAGCTGAAAGTTCAAGCATTAATATTCACGTTTTTCAAATATCTTCAAATCCTAAAAACAGAAACGAATAATCAAAAGACTTACAGTATATAGACCGCCTTCCCAAATAGTACCAGTTTTGCCAGGAATAGCACAATCCCACTGATACAAATTCAGGGTTCCGTCAGCATTCTTAGATGGTGTAGCAATAAAGCCAAAAGGATGGTCCCTTCTCCACATTTTGCGTTCTTCCGCCAAGCGTTGTGCTGCTAAACTCGACATATCTAAAACAATGTTTCAGATCAAATAAAAAAATAAAATTATCATTTCTTCAGCAACTTCAATAAATTGAAACGCGAAATATAAGAAACACATTCTTTTCTAGTAATGTAAAGTATAAAAACAATCTAAAACTAACATTCTTACAATTATACCATACCTGTCTAAAAACAAAAAAATATAATTCTATCAAATCTAATCTAGTTTCTCAATGATAATTGGAATGTTCAACCTTAGCTGGTAAACTAGCAATAATTACACTAGTTTAACCATTTCGCAAACAAAAGCTTTGTAAAATCAAATCATATATCTCAAAAGCAATGCTATTATCAAAAACAAGATAAACTACATTAAAACTGACAATAATTTACAAGAATAACTTCACATCAAGAACTTTGAAGCAATTAAAACCTTAAATAATAAAAAAAGAACAAAAAATCGTAAATTAGAGACGTTTATATACAAGTAAAAGCATATAATATTAATATTAGAAACAACACTAAGTCATTTTTGACAAAATAAAGCATTATCAACAACAAAGCCGGTTCTTTCAAGCTTGTGTTGTTGAAGAAACTTCACAAAATAAAAATAAAAGAATTTTTTCGTTTAGCGCCAAACGTCAAGCGTTTTCGTGGTGGGACCAAACGGATATAAATGCGTCACATACAACAACAGCTTAAAAATTAAAAAGTTAAACTTGAAAGTCCAATCAGTAAATTTATGTTTTAATCAAGTCATTGTCAGTTCAGTGTCACGACGTCGGTGGATGTGCGAGCGAATCATCATTGAAGTCTCATTGTCCGGTTCGATTGAAGAGACGTGCCGGAGGGTGCTTTCGTCTTGCCATATCTTAAAGCAATATAAACTGTCATTTACCAGGTAAATAAACCGATAGATAACCGTACTTTAAAAAAACTTAAAAAATAAATCAATATATTTTTTCTTACATTGTCATTGCTGTCTGCTGGGTACAAAAAATCAATGGGTTTGGCAGTTCGAGGCTCGCCTTGCTGAGTGTCTTCCGACTTGGTGTAGGCTAGCGGTACGTGTTGAGGCTCTGAAAATACCTTTTAAAAGTAACACTCGCTTTTCCTAACTCAAAAAGTAACCACAATGCTGAACTTAGTATAAAACCGAGTTATATTTTCCTTTTTTCAACTCAACTTACCCATCAGACAAAAATTAAGCCAAAAAACACTAGCTAATAATAAGAATTCTTTGCAGAAATTGAAACTTACTTTCATTAGCCTTAAACTTTTGTCCGACAAGTGATACTTCTCCTTTAGCGGTGCTCAAGTCTTCGTTGGACATTCTGTCCTTCTCCTTACTCAACTTTCTCTTCCTTTTTCTGGCCTTTACATGCATTTCCAGGGCTAAAAAACCAACAAAAAAAACAACAAAAACTGTATACAAATTCAAAAAACCTTCTTAAAAAAGATTTAAAAATCAGAAAAAAGTTAAAACTTTAGGTAAAGAAATAAAACCACCAAAACTTACCTCTGTCCCGAGAAGCACAATTCCATAAAAATGAACTAGTCATTAGTGCAGCAACCAAAACTGGCACTACCAATTCAGTAAACGACCAGCTTAACATGGGTCGTCCAATCAGTATAAAAATTTTTGAAATTTACATGCAACTATTGAAAAAATATTGAATCTCTGAGCTAATGAGCTAAAGTAATTTTTAGGCAGTGTATTTATTCGGTATAAGTTAGGATTTTAATAAAGTATGACGCAGACAAATTAAAAATGAGATAAGACGACATAGGTTTGTTAGTGAAAATTTGAAATATACATGTTATTTTTGGGACTAATGAGACGGTAAAACAAAACTAGACTATAACAACAGACTTTTAAGACACTAAAGATAAAACGCGAAACAACAATATACACTTTACTTAATGATTAAAAGTATGGTTGATTCCTCGTAGCACAGTAGAGCTTATCCATCTTTGTAGGTTCGGGGCACTGAGTGTATGGTGCACAAACTTGGTGGGTTCTGAAGCATCGTTGGGACCGTTCACACATGTACATTGAGTAGGGGTGGATACTGCACTCAGCACAGGTGCATTCTTGTTCATCCTGTCCATCGGAGCATTGTTGGATTCCATCGCATCGTGCAATCGATGGAATACACTTTTTGTCGGCTTTGCAGAGGATGGAGCGGCCTGAACAAGAGTCACAATTCTTTTCGTCTCCACCATCCGGGCAGTCCTTGAATCCATCGCAACGTTGTGATGTTTCGTAGCATTTGCGGTTGCCGCTTAATGAAAGCATCGTGCACTTTTCCATGTCCGTCGTGCAGTCCTGTTTGCAATCCTGTTCATCCGACCCGTCTTCGCATTGTTTTGTGCCGTCACATACCTGTTAATACGTCTTTAGTCCCAAATTATAAAAAATTGTATAATTTTTTTGTACTTTAAAGAAAATTATTGTCATGTTTTACCTGTTAACATGTTCATTCTATTCTAATTTGTAATAAAAACTCTATGCCGCTTTGTAAACCATAAAAATTTCTTCGATATTTATAAAAAAAACTCACATATCCCCGGTGAATGCACCGATCTCCACTTTTGCATTGAAATGCCAGTTCTTCGTTGCACTGTTTGCATTTTCCATCACATTGCGGGTAATGGCCAGAGCAAGCGTATTTCCAATCGTACGTTTTTCCATCACGGCATACAATAGTGTCCAAGGCAAGCTCATCAAAGTCGCTTGAGACAATTTCCTCTTGACGTAATTCAAGTTCGTCCATAGTTCTGAACTTCGGTAGATTGTCACTTGGTGGATCTTCAATAGGCTCTTCGCCGGAAGATTTTCCAGAGCCTGAGAACTCGACCGTGTTTCCATCACTGTCTCGGGTAATTCTAGCTGAAGGAGATGGTAAATAAAATTTTTAGTTAATTTTGTATGATTTTTGATAACGTAATATGAAATTAGGTAACAAATAAAAAAGTTAAAAAGTTTTAAAACTGTTTAAAAAACTTTGCGATTTCAAAAAAAATAATTGCAATATTATTTTACCTTTACTAGCCAATGCCATGCTCCGTCGTCGACGAGTCGCAAAATCACTAAAAGTTCGAATTGCTGAACATGATCCGGGACAGTTGAACTCATCTTCGCCACCTGGACAATGTTGGACGTTATCGCAAACCTCAGATTTCTTTATGCACATCTTTGAGTCTCCATTGCACAAGGCCTTGTCGGAGCCAGAGCAACTTCGGCAGTCACAGTCCTATAACAAACATTCATAATACCCAAATAAAAGCTTTAAAAGCAAAACTTTTCGTAAAATGATCTTTTTAAACTCAAAAGCACTTACTCTTTCGTCACTGCCATCCGGGCACTCGGAGACTCCATTGCATACCTTCCATTTAGGTATACAAATCGACAGTGGTGCACAAAACTTGGCTCCATTCTTGCATTCATGGCAATTCATCTCGTCGTCTCCATCTGGACAATGAGCGTCGCCGTCGCATACAGCTTCGACTGGGATACAGCGGTCCTTACTGTTGCACTGTCTCTCGTTCTCTTCACATTCTCGACCTGAACACATTTTCTAATTAAAAATAAAAAAAGTAGGTAATATTGAAAACCATAGAGTAAAAAACTGCAAAATCATTAAACTGAATCGAAAAAATACCAAAAAATCTTACCACAATACAAAAGTTCGTCCTCCTTGCCAGGACAGTGCGTTTGTCCATCGCACAGTGCATCACCACGGAGACAAATCTTCCGCTGAGACTGGAAACCATAAGCAGGACATGTGAAGATAGTTTGGCATTCTAAAAAGCTTAAGATGACAGAAAACAAGCTTCACCTTCCATTTTAAAACTAAAAAATCTTAATTTAAGTCACATCAAACTAAAAATAACTTACCTTTGCAATCGTATTCATCTGATCCATCCGGGCAGTCAGTGTGGCCATCACAACGTTGATTGGTACCAATGATCATGTCCTGAAAATTAGAAGAATATCATAAAAAATTAAAGAAAAAACTTCAAAGTAATGAAATACTTTGAAATCCTAAGATGTTACCTAAAAACACACAAAAATTAATAAAAATTTACTAAAAAAAGTAAGCTGCCAACAAAAAGTGCTCCCAAACTAACCAAAAACAGTACAATTTGCTTAAAAATAACACAAAAGCTCTCAAATTTACCAGAACGTCTTTTTAATCTAAAATAATATAAAGACTTCATTAAAACATAAAGTTGATACCAAAAAAATAAACAAAACTTAAGAAAAAAGCTAAAATAGTACCTACCGGGTGGCTCGTACAAGCAAAACCAAATCCTTTGCAGCTCGAAATGTTTTTTGGCACCAAGCTAGATGATCTTATAATGTCCATGGCAGTTTCTTCACTGATTTCAAAGTCTGGCCAAGAAACATTTGAATCCCGGATCATTGGCACAACTTGAGTCCGCCCATTTTGTGTTTGTGCATCTGGAGCCATATATGTTAGGAAAACTGCCAAAGGAATGGATCCAATAAGAAGAATCAGCAACAGCAAAGCCAGAAGCATCAGTCCAATTGAGGGAATGGCATCGCAACACATACAAAATGTGTCGGATAAGTAATGACGAAATGATCGAGCTCTATGTCTGAGATAATCGAAGGCATTGTCCGGTTTATCATCTTCAAATCTAAAGCATAGAAAGTTAAAAACTATAACATAAATTAATTTTAAAACAAAGCACATCAACAGCTAAAACATAAAGAAAATAGAAAAATGCGCACAATCTTTCAAAAAAGATCGATGTCATGTGTAACATCGTCAATATACCTTATCAAACTACAATTACTGATTGGTTTTACGTTATTAAAAACCAGATACGCCTGCACCACTTGCTATTAACGCATAAACTAGTCAATATCTAAAGAATACGATAAAAATTCAATGGATGTTAAACAAGACTTCAGATTACGTAAAACTCTTCAAAACCTCCTAATTTTAATAAATAAAACTCTGAAAAACTTTAAACATCGTCTTTACTAACCATAAAGAATAATTTCTGTATATTATTGTATGATAACACGTTTGATACATCAAAAGTTGTTTGACCATCAACGCCATACCTTGTTTTTGAAAATCTTGGTGAAAATCTTGAAAACACGCCTAAAATCCAACAAAAAAGTGCCAATAGAACCAAAAATACTTACCTAACGCGTGGATTTGGTGACCATGTTCCTTTAGTACGTGATATGCTCGCCCGTCCCTGAACTTCCATGCTTTTCGGGCAGAATTTGTTTACAAGTCCCAAAAATTACGGCCAAAAAATGGGCGACGGGCGCAAAATTCGATCTTTTGATGATTTTCACTGCCATCTCTTCCGGCAATTTCAAACCGAAAACTCGGACTTGTTTTCGAAGTCGCGAAATGCGCGAAATTTGTTTTCGAACCCGCGAAACGCGGAAAATCACGGCGAATTGCTGTAAAAAGAACGAAATGTCACAAAATATTGGAAAAGAGTACGAAGTGTCATACATTAAAATTTGAAAAGTTTTATGCTTTATTTTGAATGAAATAGAGTGAAATAAATAAAATAAAGTAAAAATACTTTATCATTTTTTAAAATTTGTTGAAATTTAATAATATTTTTTTTCTCGAATTTCGATTTTTATATGTATTTTCCGCGAAGTTTTATTTTTATGTTGCAAAATGGCACAGGTAGCTGCTACCTGTACCGAGTTTTTCGAACCCCGCCCCCAGACCAAAAGTGCACTCCTGCTTTTGTATATAGCATAATACTGCATACCATACCATATCACACCATACTATAACATACCTTACCATGCCCTATCATACCCTATACAACCTACTATGCCATAAAATACGATATTTTATCATATCATATTTATACCGTATGCTCCCTATTATTCCATACCTCACCTACCTACTATACCATACCGTCGCATACCATAACGTACTAAACCATACCATACCTTACTCTACCTAATATTATATTTAGAACACTATCGTATACTATTTATCTATGGGTAAGGTAGTTCAGGGCAGGATAGTAAGGCAAGATAAGTAATTTAGCATAGTCTAATATGGTACGTAGGTAGTACAAGTTATGGTAAGGTATGGCATGATATAGTATGGTATGGTACCTTATATTATGGTGTGATATGGTACGTTAATTAGTATAGGGTATGATATAATGTAGGGCTTAAATAGGCAGGGGTAGGATTGGGTAGGCGTAATATAGGCACACACAAAACGACCGATGTTAGGCTGGTCGTTTACTGAATTGGTAGTGCCAGTTTTGGTTGCTGCACTAATGACTAGTTCATTTTTATGGAATTGTGCTTCTCGGGACAGAGGTAAGTTTTGGTGGTTTTATTTCTTTACCTAAAGTTTTAACTTTTTTCTGATTTTTAAATCTTTTTTAAGAAGGTTTTTTGAATTTGTATACAGTTTTTGTTGTTTTTTTTGTTGGTTTTTTAGCCCTGGAAATGCATGTAAAGGCCAGAAAAAGGAAGAGAAAGTTGAGTAAGGAGAAGAACAGAATGTCCAACGAAGACTTGAGCACCGCTAAAGGAGAAGTATCACTTGTCGGACAAAAGTTTAAGGCTAATGAAAGTAAGTTTCAATTTCTGCAAAGAATTCTTATTATTAGCTAGTGTTTTTGGCTTAATTTTTGTCTGATGGGTAAGTTGAGTTGAAAAAAGGAAAATATAACTCGGTTTTATACTAAGTTCAGCATTGTGGTTACTTTTTGAGTTAGGAAAAGCGAGTGTTACTTTTAAAAGGTATTTTCAGAGCCTCAACACGTACCGCTAGCCTACACCAAGTCGGAAGACACTCATGTGTCCAGATGGAGACGACGAGATGAATTGCCATGAATGCAAGAATGGAGCCAAGTTTTGTGCACCACTGTCGATTTGTATACCTAAATGGAAGGTATGCAATGGAGTCTCCGAGTGCCCGGATGGCAGTGACGAAAGAGTAAGTGCTTTTGAGTTTAAAAAGATCATTTTACGAAAAGTTTTGCTTTTAAAGCTTTTATTTGGGTATTATGAATGTTTGTTATAGGACTGTGACTGCCGAAGTTGCTCTGGCTCCGACAAGGCCTTGTGCAATGGAGACTCAAAGATGTGCATAAAGAAATCTGAGGTTTGCGATAACGTCCAACATTGTCCAGGTGGCGAAGATGAGTTCAACTGTCCCGGATCATGTTCAGCAATTCGAACTTTTAGTGATTTTGCGACTCGTCGACGACGGAGCATGGCATTGGCTAGTAAAGGTAAAATAATATTGCAATTATTTTTTTTGAAATCGCAAAGTTTTTTAAACAGTTTTAAAACTTTTTAACTTTTTTTATTTGTTACCTAATTTCATATTACGTTATCAAAAATCATACAAAATTAACTAAAAATTTTATTTACCATCTCCTTCAGCTAGAATTACCCGAGACAGTGATGGAAACACGGTCGAGTTCTCAGGCTCTGGAAAATCTTCCGGCGAAGAGCCTATTGAAGATCCACCAAGTGACAATCTACCGAAGTTCAGAACTATGGACGAACTTGAATTACGTCAAGAGGAAATTGTCTCAAGCGACTTTGATGAGCTTGCCTTGGACACTATTGTATGCCGTGATGGAAAAACGTACGATTGGAAATACGCTTGCTCTGGCCATTACCCGCAATGTGATGGAAAATGCAAACAGTGCAACGAAGAACTGGCATTTCAATGCAAAAGTGGAGATCGGTGCATTCACCGGGGATATGTGAGTTTTTTTATAAATATCGAAGAAATTTTTATGGTTTACAAAGCGGCATAGAGTTTTTATTACAAATTAGAATAGAATGAACATGTTAACAGGTAAAACATGACAATAATTTTCTTTAAAGTACAAAAAAATTATACAATTTTTTATAATTTGGGACTAAAGACGTATTAACAGGTATGTGACGGCACAAAACAATGCGAAGACGGGTCGGATGAACAGGATTGCAAACAGGACTGCACGACGGACATGGAAAAGTGCACGATGCTTTCATTAAGCGGCAACCGCAAATGCTACGAAACATCACAACGTTGCGATGGATTCAAGGACTGCCCGGATGGTGGAGACGAAAAGAATTGTGACTCTTGTTCAGGCCGCTCCATCCTCTGCAAAGCCGACAAAAAGTGTATTCCATCGATTGCACGATGCGATGGAATCCAACAATGCTCCGATGGACAGGATGAACAAGAATGCACCTGTGCTGAGTGCAGTATCCACCCCTACTCAATGTACATGTGTGAACGGTCCCAACGATGCTTCAGAACCCACCAAGTTTGTGCACCATACACTCAGTGCCCCGAACCTACAAAGATGGATAAGCTCTACTGTGCTACGAGGAATCAACCATACTTTTAATCATTAAGTAAAGTGTATATTGTTGTTTCGCGTTTTATCTTTAGTGTCTTAAAAGTCTGTTGTTATAGTCTAGTTTTGTTTTACCGTCTCATTAGTCCCAAAAATAACATGTATATTTCAAATTTTCACTAACAAACCTATGTCGTCTTATCTCATTTTTAATTTGTCTGCGTCATACTTTATTAAAATCCTAACTTATACCGAATAAATACACTGCCTAAAAATTACTTTAGCTCATTAGCTCAGAGATTCAATATTTTTTCAATAGTTGCATGTAAATTTCAAAAATTTTTATACTGATTGGACGACCCATGTTAAGCTGGTCGTTTACTGAATTGGTAGTGCCAGTTTTGGTTGCTGCACTAATGACTAGTTCATTTTTATGGAATTGTGCTTCTCGGGACAGAGGTAAGTTTTGGTGGTTTTATTTCTTTACCTGAAGTTTTAACTTTTTTCTGATTTTTAAATCTTTTTTAAGAAGGTTTTTTGAATTTGTATACAGTTTTTGTTGTTTTTTTTTGTTGGTTTTTTAGCCCTGGAAATGCATGTAAAGGCCAGAAAAAGGAAGAGAAAGTTGAGTAAGGAGAAGAACAGAATGTCCAACGAAGACTTGAGCACCGCTAAAGGAGAAGTATCACTTGTCGGACAAAAGTTTAAGGCTAATGAAAGTAAGTTTCAATTTCTGCAAAGAATTCTTATTATTAGCTAGTGTTTTTGGCTTAATTTTTGTCTGATGGGTAAGTTGAGTTGAAAAAAGGAAAATATAACTCGGTTTTATACTAAGTTCAGCATTGTGGTTACTTTTTGAGTTAGGAAAAGCGAGTGTTACTTTTAAAAGGTATTTTCAGAGCCTCAACACGTACCGCTAGCCTACACCAAGTCGGAAGACACTCAGCAAGGCGAGCCTCGAACTGCCAAACCCATTGATTTTTTGTACCCAGCAGACAGCAATGACAATGTAAGAAAAAATATATTGATTTATTTTTTAAGTTTTTTTAAAGTACGGTTATCTATCGGTTTATTTACCTGGTAAATGACAGTTTATATTGCTTTAAGATATGGCAAGACGAAAGCACCCTCCGGCACGTCTCTTCAATCGAACCGGACAATGAGACTTCAATGATGATTCGCTCGCACATCCACCGACGTCGTGACACTGAACTGACAATGACTTGATTAAAACATAAATTTACTGATTGGACTTTCAAGTTTAACTTTTTAATTTTTAAGCTGTTGTTGTATGTGACGCATTTATATCCGTTTGGTCCCACCACGAAAACGCTTGACGTTTGGCGCTAAACGAAAAAATTCTTTTATTTTTATTTTGTGAAGTTTCTTCAACAACACAAGCTTGAAAAAAACCGGCTTTGTTGTTGAAAATTTATTTTGCCAAAAATGGTTTAGTGTTGTTCATAATATTAATTTTTTATGCTTTTACTTGTATATAAAAATCTTTAATATACGATTTTCTATTTTTTAAAGGTATTAATTGCTTCAAAGTTCTTGATGTCGAGTTATTCTTGTAAATTATTGTCAGTTTTAATGTAGTTTAACTCGTTTTCGATAATAGTATTGCTTAAGAGATAAAGGATTTGTTTTTACAAAGCTTTTGTTTGCGAAATAGTTAAATTAGTGTAATTCTTGCTAGTTTAACAGCTAAGGTTAAATATTCTAATTATCTTTGAGTGACTAAATTAGATTTGATAGAATTATATTTTTTTGTTTTTAGTTTAGACAGGTATGGTATAATTGTAAGAATTTTAGTTTTAAATTGTTTTTATACTTTACATCACTAAAAAAGAATGTGTTTTTTATATTTGGCGTTTCAATTTGTTGATATTGCTGAAAAAAGACCTTCTCATTGGTAAAAGAAGTCCTTGTGGGCATTCAACAATTGTTGGAGAGTCCAAACATGGCTTATCCAACTCGGTCGTTAGCTAGTAAAATGTTCATTAATGATACGTAAGTTTATTTTGTAGTTTATGGCGTGATCTTTGTTTACAGGGAAAATATTTTTTGTGTTTTAGTGTAGAATTTGAAAAATGACATGAAGTTTTTTGAACAGGTTTTAATTTTTAAATAAATTCTTACAAAACGAGAAATGGCAAAAACTTTATTTACAAAAGAGAATTGTTTCATCATAAACTTCGAAATATGCAAATTAAAAAGTGAGAACTATAATATAACATAATGGTACTGTTTTTGCAGTGAAGAATACAAGAATTGCGTTCGACAAAAAGCCGCCACTTTTGCCCACGACGTTGTTCTTCGCCGGTTTGAAAGGTAAGAAATATTGTTATGTTACATTAAAGCATAAAATTTCTACTTTTACTGCTACTTTAAAAAGTTATCGAGTTAAAAATCCACCCAAAATTCAGTTGAAATATATATCTTTTTTAGCTCGGTTAGTGCCAAATCGCCAAGTACGTCTCAAGAAAATCCCAACGCGTTAAACGAGATTAATGATCAAGGTATTACTACTTTTATTTAATTTGGCCGGTTCGGGCACAGGGGCCGGCGCGCGGATAACTGGGCCGCTCGGACAACTAGTCCGATTCGCCTTATAGTTGTCCGGGCTATATATTCCTAATATTATCGTAGTAGATTACAATTTTAAGTGTTAAATACCACAGTAAGTTTAAATTAAAACCTTATAATTTTTTCAGATTTGCGGCAAACGCTGGATTCCATCAAGAGAACGTTGGACACGATCGTAGATTTATTGGGATCAATAGAAAGAAAAATGGTAAGAGCTTTTAATTTTAAAATTAAAACTATGTTTAAAAAACTAAAATATCTCCTATGAACTATTTGTTAACCTTTCATATATATTACAGCCTTATCCTTTTTTTGTAAAACTTAAAAGAAGATTTCTGGGATCGTGAAGCATCGTGTAACGGTCTATGAAAATGACTGTTCTAAGGCACGTGTCGTCAAAAAAAAATAAAACTTGAAACTGCATTTGACATTCCGCAACTAAAATATCGAGAACGAAAACGCGGCTATTTTGCTTTCAGAAAAGGATAAAATGCTTTAAAAAAGTTTTTAAGACCTTTATGGTGTCAACAATTTTAACAAAAAAATTTTTAAATCATTATATTATACTTAATTTAACATTTTAAACTTATCACTATTTTTAAAAAACAGTAAAATCTCGGCGAAAAAGAAAATGTCTAACCTATTATACCATGCTCTCTGTCCACACCCTACTATTTTTACACAGGTTACAATCGCTTTTAGGGATTCCACAAAAACTTTTTTGTGTGTTCTTTCTTTGATAATCCCAAGGTTTAAAAAATCCATCACATTTGTTTACACAAGCCAAAAAAAATTTCATTTTCGAACTGATAAGACACTTGAAAAGAATCGCAAATGCCTCTAGGTTTTAGTGCTGCTTAAGGCATGTCTTTTGCTTTAAGGAAGCAAAAGAGTTTTTATATTTTGATTGGTATAGCCTTTGGGTTACTAATTTAAAATTTTTTCAAAACCTTTGTTTCCAATCGTCAGGGCCGGGCGGGGGTCTTTTGGTCTGGGGGCGGGGGTCAACAAAATCCACAGAGGGACCACGTTCCCCTCCAGCGCCCGGCCCTGCCAATCGTCTTTTTGAAGTTTTTACATATAGAATACTAACCTATCTGCTAGTACCTGATTATATCACGACAGAAACCAAATTCTTATTAAAAAATGTTTCGCCTTTCTGTAAAGTGTTGTAAAAGACGCCTTTTTAGCATATTTTATTTGGAGCCTTAAGTCGGGAAGGGATTCTTCTCCTTTTTTATGATCATTTTTGTTTACTTCTCCCTCTATAAAGGCGACAGAACAACTTTGTTGAAGGATCGCTGTTACTTCATTACTACAGAAAATTGTTGCACATAAGTGCTTGTAAGTGAAAGTAATTGCTCTATTAGATTTTTGGGGGTTTGTTTGGTATTAATTTGCTTTTTAGTACAAATTTTGAAAAAAGTTACGAAATTTAAATGAAATTTAAAAATTTAAATAAGTAATTTTGTTTTTAAAAACGATAGCTACAGTACAGTAATTACTGAACGCTGGATTATTGTATTTTAAGTAAAGCTTATATTTCAAGCTAAAATGTTTAAAAAAACTTTAAGGTTTAGGTAATATCTTGCTTTTTCATCAATAAATTTTAAAAGTCAAAAGGCAACTGATAATTAACGAACTTTTTACAGTGTATTTAAGCCTTTTTACTGCAAAAAATTTTACAAAATGGTCAAAAAAGATTTGGAGCTATGGGGAATTGAACCTCAGGCCTCTCGCATGCGAAGCGAGCGCTCTACCCCTGAGCTATACCCCCACTTATCTCCAGGGTTTTTGAAATTGTTTTGAAATTGAAGTAAAAATGCTAAGGGTTATGTAATGGACTATTGAAATGGAAATATTGAGGACAGTTTACTGTATTTTCAATAAATTGTAAGAAAATTTAAAATGTTTTAGGTTTTTACATTTAACTTTTTGATATCCAATTAAAAATTAAAAAAATTAGATTAAAACCGAATATTTTTTAATCTGCCTTAAGGTTATAAAATTCCGCACATTCCAAACTTTTGGTTTTTTGTTTACATGGCCAGTTTACAGCCGCGGTAATCCCGCTTTTACCTCGCTCGCTCCGGTTTTTTGCAAAGATTTGGTTTCAAACCGTTTAGAAAAAACACGAGATTAGGTTTTTTTTCACAAAAATAGCTGATATGTTGGTGGGTACTGTAAACAAAAAACAAAATTTTTTGGGAAAATTCAATTTTTAATATGGAGTAAGCATACTGTGGAATTAGGCTAGAGCGTGGCGTCAAATAATTCTAAAAATAAGGTTAGAGCAAGACCATAGGCACAGGTAGTCTTTTTATGGCTGGCTAGGGCAATAAAGCAAGATAGAACGAATAAAAATCATTTTTTTGTATATAATGTTGAGACGTGGACAGTGTTTTCGGGTCCGGTCCAAACTTATTCCAAACACGCTGGACGTGGATAACATTTTATTTGGTTAAAAATTTTTTCAAATTTCAGTTGAAAATGCCATCTCTGTCATAACATCGGCCAAAGATGAAGCAGACTATTATCAAAATAGAATCGAAGTTTGCTGGGGAATCGTTTGGCACCGACAATATACGTACTGTATACGCTGGAGAAGCTCGAGGTAAGCATAAAATTTGATTTTTTGAACTTACAAACCGAGATTTCAAAAAAATTTAAAAATTTTAAAAATTTTATTACAAATGCATTTAAAAAGTTTTATTTTTCAATATCGAAAATTTCAGACACAGAACGTCGGCCAGACCGTACAATAATCTTAGTAGGACCAATTGGCGCAGGAAAGTCATCGTTCATTGACTTTCTATGTAATCACTTCTACGATGCCAAATTTGATTCAAATTTTCGATACAAGATAGCTGATGAAATTTTTGACAGTACGACGCCTAAGAAAGCAGTGACAAAGTATGTGTTTAATGCTACCAAATTGTCGTATCGACCAATCATCATTGATACTCCCGGCATTGGTGATCCACTGTAAGTCAGTTGAAATTGAGTTTTACTTTTTATATTTGCTCTACCCCTATGAAAAATTAAAAAATATTTTCTTTTTTTCAAATTTTTTCACCCGCCCTAAACTAAAATTTCTTTTTTGTCCAACTGTTAATCAGCCAATCCTTTCAGCGGCCTAAAAGCGGACAGGGAGCTAGCCAAGCTCGTAACCGACTACTTATCAGCCGCTTCAAAAGACAAAATACATGCTGTTGGACTAATATTGCCATCGTATATGCATACGATTAATCAACAAATCGATGATGATATTCACTTGACTTTGTCATTGTTTCCAGCTTGGATGAAACAAAATGTTGTGCCAATCATAACGTACTCTGACTTCAAAGAGTACGATCCGAATTTGCTGAAACATTTTGGTCTTGAAGATAACAGCAGGTTCTATGTTAACAACGAGTATCTTTTCAAGGCTAAACCAGGTAATGTTTTAATTTTTATGACAATACTGATCTTAAAACCGTTTTTTAGACAAAAATTTACATTTTTTTGCATTTTAAGCTTCGTTTTTTGTAAAATACTTCAACTTTTGGTGGATTTTACAACTTACAAGTTTAAAAATCACAAAAATTAATAATTTTTTTAATTTTATTTTTAAAATTCGATTGGAAAAACCGCAAAAACGTGACTGGAGGTATGGGGATTCGAACCCCAGACTTCTCGCATGCAAAGCGAGCGCTCTACCCCTGAGCTATACCCCCGCGTGTCTCTTCGGCTTTCGGGGACGCTTTTCCTTTTCTCGTTCGTGTTGAGGTCACTGCTAGTGTTTTTTCCGTTTACTGTTTTCAAATAACATGTGAAGTGACGTTTTGAAATTAAGGTATTTTGTTTAAAAATACGTTTCCTTTATTTTTTAAAATTTAAAAACAAATTTTTGCGACCTTCTTTGCCAGTTTGTTTGCATAGCATTAGCCGGTCAGCATTTTTGTGGAAAAGCGACGAAAATCGCCACAGGGGAAAAAGGGTAAGAAATTGGGTAAAGTTTTTAATTTTAAGGGTTTGCTCTAAAAAATTGATTAAAAATAGGAATTTTTATGGGATGTAAACAATTTTTTATGGTAAAATACGTGCCTTTCATAAATGCAGAAAAAAGTTTGAATTTTAAAATTCAAAAAAATGTCATTTTGTATTCAAAATAATAAGTCTGTTGCATTTTCTGACCAACACAAATTTACGCCTAATAATGTTTTACGAAAAGAATTTTAATGTGTTTTTTGTGAGTCAATCTGTGCTTATGGGAAATGAATATTTTTGTTTCCTTTTTTGATTTTTTCGAATCGAAACGACTGAACAAAACTGAAACCTTGCGGTTTTTTGATATTATTTTGAGGTTAGATTGAATAAGAATTGAGTAAAATTTTGAATTAGTTGAGTTGTGGTGGGGCTAGGGCTGGAGCTGGCGATAGAGCCAGAGCTAGAGATTGAGCTAGAGCTAGAGCTTGAGCTAGAGCTTGAGCTAAAGCTGGAGCTAGAGCTACATCTAGAAGAATGACCTAGGGTAAGAAATCTTACATTTAAATTAATATAACTAAGAACGTTTTTGAAAATATTGTTTTAAATAAGAAAAACTAATATTGCAAGCCTCTTTTACAAGATCAAATTAAGAGTCATCTCCAGACGCCATTGCGTGCTTCTTATTCAGATTCAGCCGTTTCTTTTATTAGCTTTATTTTCAAACAGTTCCTCCGGCACGAACAATTAGCTTTTGCGCAAAGAAATCGTGTAGATTACGACATTTCTTGTTTACTATTTAACTGTTTTACATGACTACATTACGAGTTTGTAAAAAATATATTTTTATGTTGTGTTATACTACAAAAAAGCGAAGAAAATAACTGAAGGCCTTTGAATTCGTGTAAAAAGTCTTTTTTGAAGGAAAAAACAAGCCAGCGGGTTTTTTGAAGCGAATAGAATTCGAAAGAGAAGGCAGCCGGAACGTGTGGGGGTATAGCTCAGGGGTAGAGCGCTCGCTTAGCATGCGAGAGGGCTGGGGTTCAATTCCCCATACCTCCAGTATCGACTTTTGGTGTTTTTTAGTATATTATTAATGGTATTTTTTGTTAATTATCATAGTGACTTGGGTATAACTTTGTTTTTACTACAGCAGTTTAAGTATACCTTGACTTTTATTAAAGTAATTTATATATTTTATCTTATAGTAGGCCTTTCTCTATAATAATATAGCAGCATAGTAAATAAAACCGGCTAATTTCAAATTTTTAGCCAACTCAATTCTAGCCGAAAAGGAACGAGTTGTTTGGAACCGTAACGAGCGTAGTATCATCGAATTCTTACGCTACATTGGCTCACTGCGGCCGCAAACAATTGAACGTCGTCTGCCTTCTGAATCCGAAGCCAATCCGAATCAGGACTACGAGGAGCGACGAGTTCGTGCAAGTCGTGTGAGTCATAACATCTTTTTGTTGTTTTTATGTTTGTACGATGGGCCGGCGTATTGTGACTGTTTTTCGTTTTTTATATTGTGGCTTTGTACTGTTACTACAGTAATTTAGTGGTGAGCAAAATTTTGTATAATAGTTTTTTGTCATAAGGTTTGGGTGATAAGGTCAGGATAAGGGCGTCAATGTTTAGGCTTATTGAACATTTTATTGGCTGAAGAAAGTGTTTTAGGCTTATCCCACTAGGTGTATGGTATGATGAGTAGGGTAGGGTAGGGTAGGGTAGGTAGGGTAGGGTAGGGTAGGGTGATTTTTTAAAATTTTTTAAATAATTTGTTTTAATTTTAGGAGACAATAACATATTTCTTGGAAACAGATGAAGTAAAGCAAATTCGTGAAGAATTTACTGAGAAATCGGGTAGTCAAGGCTTTGATACGTCTCATAAAGCTGCTACATCGACTGTTTTTACTATTCCAGTAAGTTCTGCTCTCCTCTCCAAATTACGGTACGGTATTTGCTACGCTATATAAATTTTAAATTTGAATTAAAATTAAATTTTTGTTTGAAAACAGTTATGCAAATTGAAAATCAATGTTTGGGTTTAGGTAAACAAGCCAAGTACCATCGGAAGTAGAGTGGAAAATCGAGGGATATTGAGCGAAAATCGCTTTAATATCGGTCAAGAAATGGGGAGACAGGACAATTACGTTGAGAAAATTGAGGAAACCGTGGAAAGTAAGTTATTGCCATAAAAATTTGTATCTATACTTCAAAAAATTTTAAAAAAATTAAAATATTTTTTTTTAAATATTAATAAATATTTCAGACCTAGAGCTCCTACGCCGTTACATATACGACCCAGTGACTCGCACCTATCGTATTGAGTATGCACATGAAGTAAAAGTACACGAAAGCCGAAGGTCAAGTCAAGGTGGCAGTCTGCACAACTCGTTCTCTGATTTGAGAAGATTGAGTCCAAGTAAAGGTGACATTACTAGGAATGAAGGGGACTATAGCAGGCCTATTAAGGTAGGATGTCACTTTGATTCTTGACTTCAAAATTTTAAAAATTTGACAATTTTGAGTTTATTGCTAGAAAATCTGTTTTAAAAATTAAATTTATATCTAAAAATGTCATCATACAAAAAATGTGGCCAAAAACCTTAATTTAGGTACAAAATTAAAATTTTTTTTTATTTTTAGAGAAACTCAAGTGCACCAAATTTGGAAAAAGACGGCAAAGAGAATTTAAATTATTCGCCCGAAGTTTTGAGAAAATTGCTTGGAGATGCTATTATGTATGGTTCAGCTACACGTCCTGAACAGTAAGTTTTCTTTGCGTCTCATCTTACTGTGTCTACTAAGCCTAAGCTTTTCTATTACGTAGGGTCAGGCAAGGCTAGAAAGGCCGAGGATCGACTTGGATGGGGCTAAAAAGGTCAGGGTTAAGGTCGGGTAGGGCTGAAAAGGCTGACCTGTTAAGCCTAATAATCCTAAGCTTGATAAAAAAAGCTTACCAAACTTAAGCAAACTTGGCCTAAGCCTATCTAACATACACTCGATTAGAAAGAAGGAAAGACCTTTTTTGCGTAATTTATACAATGTTAGATAACGTGATGCTTTATTAAGATAGCTTTAGGTAAATTGCAAGGAATCGTATTACGCAACCTTTTCTTATGTAATATTGTTCATTTTTGTAATATTTGCCTCGATGTAAAACGACCCAACAAATTACCGCGAGTATGACAATCGTACTCTATTTAACTTCGAGGCAAAGGTAGGGCAGGTTTGGTCATAAAATACTGCGAGTGCTGAGGTCATTATGATTTTTCTGTACGGAACTGGTTTTATGCGGTCGTACTTGCTTATTAAGCCTAAGACTACTGATGCTAAGCCTACGAATTCTCATCGTACTAAAATTAATACTACTAAGTCTACCAAGCCTAAGCCTACTAAGCCTAAGAGCCTAATAAGTTTAGGCCCACTAAGCCTGAGCCTATTAAGCCTAAGTATACTAAGGCTAAGCTTACTATACCTACCCAGTCAAAGCTTACTAAGCCTAAGCCTACCAAGATTAAGCCTCCTAAGCCTACTAAGCCTAAGTTACTAAGGCTAAGCTTACTAAACTTAAGCCTACTAAGTCTAAGCCTACTTAACCTATGTCTACTGACTGAGCCTAAGCCTATGCCTACTAAGACTAACTTTACGAAATCTGAACCTAGCTTAAACCTAATTTAAAAATTTTTAGAACCGACATATCGCCAGTACGATCTCAAGTAGTACGAAAACCTTATGATCCAAGCGAATTTGAGCACCAATCTCGAGCACAACCAAGGAACATTCCAATTGGTCTTGGAGCTGGTCTTGAACCAGCACCAGTCAGCCAAACCTCGCCTGACCATCCTGACCGGTCGGTGGATAAAAACCGCGACGGAATTTTTGAACGAAATTCTTCTAGTCGACAGGTAGGCTAAGTTTTAAAAATGGTTAGTATCGTACTAAAAATTTTGAAAAAATTTTGAAAAAATTTTGAAAATGTACTAAATTTAAATTTTGAAAAATTCGAAATTACGTTTTTTAGTCTCTACACAACAGTCCAATACGGCACGGTGGAGTACGACATGCTATAGTGAACAGAGATCCTGAAGGTAGTACTCATGATTTAAGTCAGCCAGCTTCAAACTCAAACCGACCAGCTATTCAACCGTTACCAAGGCATAACATTGGTCAAGGTAATCAATTTTTAAAATTTTTAAAAAATTTAAAATATTTTTGAAAAATTTTTTTTTAGTGTCATGGTGTATATGCCACTCTTATAATGTTTTACTATTAACGATATTTTAAAAATTTTTATTTAAAACTAAAATTCAGGCCAATCTCTATCTGCACCAACAACAACATATCCAGTCCAGCCACAAAACACATTACCGTATCAGCCGAATACCGTATCCAGAGTAGACGAAACGAATCAGACTGACGTTGATCCACGTTATTCTGTACCACAAAGATCAGTTGTGATAACACAACAACGACGAGAACAAGGGCCAGGCTACTGGATTGGACAAGGTGGTAGAGAAATTGAAGATACGACTATTACCAGACGATTTCCACAAGCTGGTACTGATGGTAGAGGTTATGGTGGTGGACCTGGTGGAAAGTTTGATGGTCAGGGTGGTACTGGTAATGTGCCAGTGGGTCAAGGTGGTGCTGGTAATGTGCCATTGGGCCAAGGCGGTACAGGTAATTTGCCTATAGGACAAGGTGGCAATGTCAATGGTACTCAAAACGGTGCTGGCGGAGTACCTATAGGACAAGGCGCTCATTCTCGATCATCGTCAAATCAAAATAACCAAAATACCCGTCCATCAGCTTACCCCCGAAATCAAAATCAACCCTACCCGTATGACCTGACCGGTCGGACGGCTGGCTACCCATTACAGCCAGGCCAACCTCAAGGTAACATTCAACCTGGTCAAGGTCAAGATCCTCGTTATCAACAAGGCTTAGAAAAGAATCCACAACAATCATATGATCCTAATCGTGGACCATATGTACAGACTGATGTTCATGGTGTTAGGACAGATTATGTTGGACGAAGAGACGGCAGATGGATTGAGAAAAGGGGCTATGAGATCACGAGGGAGGACCTTGGCACACCTAAAGTACGGTAGCTTTGATTTTTAGTACGGTAGGAAGGGGGGGGGGTTGCTATCTGGAGGGTAAGCCTATTAAGCTTAAGTTTGTTAGGCTTACTTTTTATATTTTTAAGCTTAAGTTTACTTATCTCAAGCTGCAAGGCTTGGACTTATTAAGTATAGGCTTACTAAGCCTATTAAACCTAAGTTTGCTAACCCTAAGCCTACTGAAACAAACTTGCTAAGTCCACCTTTACTAAGCCTAAGCTATGAAGCCTAAGCTTTATAAGCTTAAGCCTAATTTGCTCAGTAGGTATAAAATAGTTATTAAACTTTCAACTGTATAAAATACAGTAATCTAAGATTTTAAGGATGTGGACCCTAGTCTGAACGATCAACAACGTCTTCTGAATCCAGAAGCCGGCAGACCACGTCGTCGGGCCAAAAAACGCAGTCCATTATATAACTGTTGCTTCTACATAGTGGCCCCACTCGTTGTATTGGCGGTAGTATCTACAGTGGTAATAACGTTAATCCTACTTGCTTGAAACACGCATTTCCTCGCCATATAACACTGCCTGTGATAAGAATGATATCTGATGTTTTTTATTGTGCAATAATTAAATAAATATTGTTGTAGTATTGTTTCAAACTGTTTGATATTGTTTTAATCTTTTAATGTTAATTTTAATATACAGTGCTCTCTCTATATAAGCAACACGAAGGGACCGACAGTTTGTGTTTACTATAAGGGGTGTTGTCTTTACAGAGAGACTTTTTAGTGCAAATTGACTTGGCAGGAACAAATTTCTTGTTCACTATAATTAGATGCTTATACAGATGGTTTACCATATAGAGAGACCACTGTATAAGGGAGTTTTGTAGTTCAAGTTTCAAATTTTTGAAATTATAATTGACGAAGAGAGTGCCCGATTTGCCCCGCTCTGATTGACTTCAAACCTTTTATATAGAAAGATCATGTAAATATAGGACCTTCAGCAAAGTTTTATATTACGCCTTCCAAGAAATCTCGAAAAATCGAGATCACAAAACTACGTTTTAAATTTCCTGCCAAATTGGCGTTATGTATCAAGCATATAACTTTGTCATTTTTTGGCCTTTAAGAATTTTTATTTGATATACTTGTAGAACACCTTTAAATAAACCTAAATATTTAAATTTGTAAGCGTATCTTGTCTGGAAAGGCGAAAAAAGTGCTTGAAACACAATGCCAAATTTACCAAATTAGCGGGAAACCAAAATAATGCAAATTTAAAACTCAAAGGCGCAAGCTGAAATTTTTTATAAATACTATTGGTAGTACGAGGAATTCATATAAAAATTTTTAGCTGATTCTGAGCAGGGCAGGTAGGGTACTTTACTTGTGATTCTGAGCAAGACAGATAGAGGAGTATTTTAGTTGTAAATAAAAGTTTTCATTTACCGACAGACGTTTTTTCTTATTTACAACTATCTTTCGATCTTTGTTCAGAATGTCAAAGTATGTGGCAGGTGGAGAGAAATGCAAAAAGTCTTTTTTAAAAATGTTAAAGCTATATTTTGTACTTTTCTGTTGATGTTAATACTATACCTTTAGTATTTCAGTTTTGGACTATCGTCAATTTACTACTTATTACCTCTACAATTTCTAACAATCTTTGTAATTAAAAAACTAAAATTTAACGAAAAATGGTAGATATATACAATATTCTACTGACCATAACTAGCACTATATCGGTAGTGTTAGGTCTTTTAGTAATATATCTAGTTTTATACAAATCACCAGAGAGTATGAAGACTTATCGTTGGTTTATCATCAACTTTACTGTAAGGAAAACGTGTTTTTTAATTTTAAAATTGTTATTTAAGTATCAAAATTAGTCTTTAGAATGTCATACTTAACGCTTCTAGAATGATCTGCTCAGGGGCGGGGCGAGGACTTTTGGTCTGGCGGCGGGAGTCGAAAAATCCCCAGGGGGGACCACGTTCAACTTTTTTTTAAAAAATTTTTTTATTGCACCATTTGTTGCCGCTTACGTGGACGGGCCAATACGTTATTTTGGGGATTCTAGTAGTAGCGTATCAGTAAGTTTTTGATATCTTTTCTACGCAATATTGTTTTTTAAAGTTTACTATAATTACTATGACGATGACATAATATAATAAAAGTTGAATTTTAAAAATTTTAAAAAATTTTTAAAGGTTTAAAAAATTAAAATTTTTTAAAATTAAAAATTTGATTTTAAGATCTCACTGATTTTAATCATCATCTCCTACGCCTTATCAACTCATGATGTGCAGGTATTCAATAGCAAGCCAAAACACTAAAATGGCGAGTTTTCTAATGTCTTGGAAGACATGGGTCGGTGCGTATGGCTGGACGATATTTGTCAATATCTTATTGGTGTATTTGACTGTTAATATGCTGGTACCACAGGAAGTAAGGTTTTGTTAGAAGGAAATGTTTTGGTAGTTGCCAGGGCCGGGCGGGGACTTTTGGTCTGGGTGCGGGGGTCGAAAAAATCCACAGGGAGGACCACGTTCACCTTTTTTCGAAAATTTTTTTCTGGGATGGGGAAGAGGGGGTACCGCCCCGTCCACTCCGCCTCCTCGTGCCCGGCTTTGGCTGTTACTATTCTAGACAAAAAGCTTAAAAAAATTCAGTATCAATTATTATCAGCATTACTTCCAGGACCTAATAACCCACTTTCAACAAGATATTCAAACCTACTTTCCACAAGCCACAGTACCTAATCTAACCAATCGTATAGTCGTCTACATTAATGTCGATTCCACTTATGCTCATACGCTAGCCAAGTTAACCATTCTAACCTTCGTATATTATGAAACCGTATCAGTAATATGTGTATTTATCACACTGACTCGACTAGACAGTAAAAAATCTACATTTTCTAAAATGACCTACAAATTGCATCGACAACTTACAGTAGCTCTTGGAGTTCAGTTAATAACTCCAATTGTCTTTGTCATGGTACCAATATTGTTATTGTTTCTAAGTACGTACGATCTGTTACACAGTACAGTAGGAAGTCAGCAGTTGGTGACTAATGTGTTTGTACTGTTTATGGATTTTTATGGCACTGCCAATGCTATGATAACTCTGTATTTCGTGACGCCTTATCGAAAGTATATTAAACTACAGTTTAAAAAATTGCTATATATGGTATCTCTTGGTCATATTCAATACACGGAAAATGTTGTAGTAGTCACGGACAGCAAATCTAATTCTTTATCAGTATTGGCATAGAATTTGAAATTTTAAAATTTGTTTGTTGTATTATAAAAGAATAAACTTTAAAACAATTATAATATCAAACCTAAAATTCTTTAAATTGTCAGGTAAGGTGTAATTACAGTACTCCCTCTATATAAGCAATCCGAAAGGACCGACATTTTGTGTTTACTATAAGGGGTGTTGTCTTTACAAAGAGGCTTTTTAGTGCAAATTGACTTATCGGGGCCAAATTTCTTGTTTACTATAAGAAGAGTTGCTTATAAAGATGGTTCACTATATAGTGAGACCACCGTAACAAGGAAAGTATCCGACTTGCCCCGCTCTGATTGACTTCAAACATTTTTTTATAGAAAGATCATGTAAATATAAGATCTTCAGCAAAGCACAAAATCACGCTTTCCAGAAAATCTCAAAACAATCGAGATTAAAAAATTGCGTTTTGAATTTTTCCTCTAAATTGGCATTGCATTTCAAGCTTATAACTTTGCCATTTTTTACTTTTAAGCATTTTTCTTTCATATATTAGTAGAATGTCTTTAAATAAACCTACATTTTTAAATTTGTAAGTGTAGCTTGTCTGGACAGTCGAAAAAGGTGCTTGAAACACAATGCCAAATTTGCCAAATTGGTGGAAAACCGAAATAATTCAAATATAAAACTCAAAAGCTTGAGCTAAAATTTCTTATGGGTACTATTAGTGGTACAAGGAATTCGTATAAAAATTTTGAGTTGATTCTGAGCGGAGCAGGTAGGGTACTGTAGTTGGGTCTAGCACTGAATTTATCAGAATCTGTCCCTGTAAGATTTTGTTCATAGACTTCTCTTTGATCACTGTACAATCATCTCACGCCTTGGCATTTACCTAATCATCGTAAAATTAATCAAATTGTCCGTAGCCATTCAGTTGGTCATTGTACAATCAACTCGTACATAGACCGGCTTAAAACAAAGCACGCTGTAATTATTTTTCGTACAACGTTATATTGTAAACGCCCTTCCGATGAGTCGCGAGGAAAAGACTTTGTTTCCGCTGTCTTTTGACTCATTCTTTGTGCTTGCCCACCTTTCTTGGCCCTCCGGGGCCTCTATTTCTCTTCCCGAAAACAGTCAATTCGATCAGTTTTTCAATTTTGCGCTTATATCGCTTTGTTTCTTTTGAGGGGGGGGAGGTGATTCTTGTTTATTTGTTTTGGTTTTGAAGCAACAGGGCAAAGTAAAATATCAAAAATTTTTTGAAAGTATTACTGTAAGCTTTCGTATTTTACAACAGTGGTTTCTCTATATAGTGAAACATCTGTATAAGCCGCTCTCCTTATAGTAAACAAGAAATTTGGTTCCGCCAATTCAATTTGCACTAAAAAGTCTTTCTGTATAGACAAAACCCCTTATAGTAAACACAAAATGTCGCTCTCTTTGTGTTGCTTACATAAAGAAACAAAAAGAAATCGACCGGTAAAGTTAGTCCGGGGACTTTTGGCGCATCCTTTACATAGAGAGAGCACTGTATTAACATTTTTGTAATGACAACCTGTTAAAATTGGTACTATTAGTGCTGTTCTAAAAATAAATTTGTAGGCTACTAACTGTTAAGTTTAAGATTGGCCATGGAAAACGAATAATATAGAGAAGTGAGGGGTAGAAGAGGTAAGAAGAGATGATGAAGGGATAGTGAAAGAAAATTGGTACAGTGCAAAGGATTGGCATTTTGTGTTTACTATAAGGGTTGTTGCCTTTAGTGCAAATTGACTTGGCGGTGCCAAATTTCTTGTTTACTATAAGGAGAGTTGCTTATACAGATGGTTCACTATATAGAGATGCCACTGTATAAAGTTTTAAAATGGGCGTTTTTTTAAATTGAGCTCAAAAATGTATATTAAATTGAACTCAAAAATGTTTAAATTGAAGTTGTTTGAACATTTATAGGGTGCACCAAAGGTTCTGTTACAAAACTTTACCACTATGTTGCGGTTGAATTATTTAAAATTTTTTATTTTAGCTTATTCTCCGCGTTTTTTAAAATTGTATTTATAATCATTAGCAATACCGTTATCACCATAATCATTTTCAGACCAATTCTCTGTGCCATTTTGTAGCCGACTGTACAAAATGTATCAGGAAAGAGAAGAATTTCTGAAAGAAAAGTATTTGCGTGAAAAGGTGAGTAGTCGATTAGCATATAAATGCTATTTCGGTTTATAAATCACATCGTTTAATGAATTCTTATCAAAAAATCATTTTTAAATAGATTTTTTTTAAATTTAAAAACGTTTTTTATTAAATATGATCGAAAAATATTTTTTTAAAAACAAAACGTTACAATGACAAATCCAATTGTAGTCTTATGATGACGCAATTTCACCCGCACATCTTCGTGAAGTCGAGTCACGCTACAACAGGCCAATCGAGCACTATCGCACACCGTCCGACCGTGTGGAACGACGTCAACTTTCTCTACCACCACCGCGAAAAGACGTCAACTATCCTGGCGAACGTCCAACCAACGCCGTGCCGCCTACATTATACCCAGCTAGCACCGCACCGCCTACTGTATACCCAGCATATCGTGCTACCGGCATACCTGACCCATATGCTCCACTGTATGCTCAAGAATCAGCCCAGAAGATATCGCCACGTCAAACTGAAAGTTTTGATCAAGTTAGGGCTAAGTATACCAGTAATGTTGATGAGAAGACTCCTCAGGCTTATCAGGATTCGAAGAAGGTTAGGAACGATGGGTTCAAACAGTATCCAGCTTCTACGGATGTGAAGCTGTTCCGAGAACGGCCAAGGAGTCACATTGAGCCGAGTACTTACAACACGGATTACAAAAATGGTGATTACTCTAAGGATTACGGTAGAGAGTATCCTAGTTTGTTGCACAGTGACAGTAAGCTTCATGAGCCGAAACATATTTATCGACCGGAGGTTGTGAGTCGGCCAAAGTATCATGATAGGTATCATGAGGTGCGTTTTTGTTAAAAATTTTTAAAAAATTTTATTTTTAATTAAAAAAACTCATACATTCTATTCTGTACCATACTTTCAGCCAAATTCAATAATAGTTCACATATACTGTAAATAAAATTATACTGTAACACTCATATTGTAAAATATTATATCCTGTACCAACACTTCCAGCCAACCCCAATAATAGTACACCATGAAACCCATTCACCACGACGTCACATCTCATCGTTGCCAACATATGAAGCCCCACTTATTCATCGTCAAAGCTATCCATCAACTCAAATTCAGTCGATAAATCCAAACGAGTACTATCCTAAACGTGTTGGAAGCCCGGTCGAAGTCATTGGCAATGCTAATATTTTAAACAACCCTGAGGCGTTTGTGATTCAGATTCCGTTGAATAATTTTGGAATTGAGTCTATTAAAGTGAGGTTTTGAAAATTTTGTTGTACAGTCTCTCTATATAGTGAACCATCTAAGCAACTCTCCTTATAGTAAACAAGATGTTTGGCTCCGTCAGGTCAATTTGCACTAAAAAGTCTCTGTAAAGACAACACCCCTTATAGAAAACACAAAATAGCAGTCCTTTCGTGTTGCTTATATAGAGAGAGGCATGTTTTAGGTTGAGTCAAAAGTAGCGGGACAATTTTCATTTACTTTTCATCAAAAAACTGTCCCGCTACTTTTGGTTCAACTTAAAGGACCAGTTCGCCCATTGAAATATCATTGGCATTCTGTCGCAAAAATTCGACGTTCATTTTTTTCGCAAAAAAACCTGAGCAGGTCGGTCCCAAATTGGAAAATTAATTTCGACACCGACCCACTCACGTTTTTTGAGAAAAATGATTTTGATTGAAATTGCCTGATTTTCGACGCTTTTTGCGACAGAATGCCAATGATATTTCAATGGGCGAACTGGTCCTTTAATGATTATCTACCTTTTCTCTTTCTTGCGTCAGGCAATTTTTTTTTCAATTTTTTTAAATTTAAAATTAATTTCAAAATTAAAAACTTTTTTTATTTAAAATTAATTTAAAAACTTCAAAAAATGTTTTATTTTGCCCTACTTCCTCTTTGAGGCTCTGCTTAACTAGGTTGTTCACTTAGTTCTGCGCCCCTTCTTAAAGCAAATTGTTTACATAATTTTGCGTCACGTGGGATACGGGGCGCAAAAGTATGTAAACAACCTAATATATTAGATTAAATTTAAATTAAAAAATTTTTAGCTAACCAGAAAAGGCCATTCAATAACGGTAAAGGGTACAAATGTAAAAGAAGACAACAAATCTGGACAGTTGGTCAAAAGAACGTTCTCAAGAACTTATACTATTCCTCAAGACTGCATTCTTCAAACAGTCAGAGCAGGTTATAACCAAAAAACTGGGGATTTACTTATTAAAGTAAGTTTTTTAGCAAAAGTGGATGAAATATTTTTTCACCCATAGCTCAAACATAAGCTAAAATATTTTTCATCCATAGCTCAAAAATAAATAAAAACAAAAATTTTTCAAATTTAAATTTTCAGGGAAACCGCCTCTCAAACGGTGACTCAGAAACCCCAGTACCGATAGAAGTGTTAGAAGAGACTGACGAAGAAGTGATCAGTCGTGATTCCGCTCATTCTAGCCTCAAGCCAACACGCAAGGCTTCACACGAGCCAAAGTTAGTCAATGAACTTTCAAGAACTCGTGAGCTATCTCCAAAATCTAACAGATCTACAAGTTCAAACGAATCCAAAAAATCAGCCAAGCATTCAGAAAAGTCAAAAACTTCAGAAAATCGACAGAAAAATCGACCAAAGTTAACTGATTATTCTGAAAGAAAGCTATCAGAAGCTCATGATAATCATGAAAAATCTGAAGTTTCGACGCCAAAAGCTGGACTGAAACATCAAAGTTCGACTGAAACCCTGCCTAGATGGCCTAAAACTGAGTCGATTGTGATTTTACCGGATCAAGAAAGCTTGAGTCCAACTAGAGGTCCACCTATTGTTCATGAAGATAGGATTCTAAGAAGAAACTCCGAATTACATGAATCGTTGTACGATAGACATGGTGATGTTGCTGGTAGCCATTTGATATAGTCTTCTTGGGAGAAACTTTAATTTACAGTTTAATATTGTAGTATGATATGTTTGAACATAATATTGTACTACTATAGGGCGCCGACATAAAGAACCCGCCATACTTTTCCTGTAATTTCCTGTAAAAAATGGCGGGTTCTTTATGTCGGCACTTAATACCATATGTTTAAACATAATATTGAACTACCAAATGCTTTGTTTTTGACCTAATTTTAGCTAAAACAACATCAAAATTTCAAATATTATCTTAATTTTAGAATTTAAAATTTTTAAAATTGACTTTTTTTTAAATTTTAATAGAATGTAACTTCTACTTATCTGCTCAGATCTAACTTTATTAAACTTTTAAATAGTATATTGTTTATAACCTTGTGAGAGGCTTTTAACACTGCCATGCTTTAATTATACCTGAATATTGTGATATTGAAAATTTTTCACTTATTGTATTTTCTTCGCTTTAAGTAATAAAGTAGCTTATAAAATAAGGATTCTAATTTTTTTACTCATGTTTTTAATTTCTTTAAAAAATTTATAAAAAAAGATAAAAAAAAGATATTTTTAAGTTTTCAACCGATTATTTGAAGAAAGTTTTCTTTGCACTATTAAAAGTTTTTCTTTTAAAAAACTCCCGGTTTGTTTATTTCGATGTTTATGACACATTCAACATCGTACAAGGCTTCTTTTGCAAAATTTCTAATAGGCTTTGGTGCTTTATAAAACATCTCATTATCATGATCTTTCCCGCTTCACTATCAATTCAGCCTAACTGCACTAAAACCTAACTTAACCTAGCCTAGCCCTACAAAATCCTACCTAAGCTGTCCATCTGTCTTTTCTTATCTTCACCTTTGATCTGGCCTAGCCATGCTCTAGACGTAGTAGCAGAAATTCTAGGCAATTTCTAGCGCTTTCCTGGCCTTCATAGCCATTGTCTCTCTTAAGCCTAGTCTTACATCAAGCCCAAGGCCGGGCAGGGACTTTTGGTATGGGGGCGGGGGGCCAAAAAGATGCACAGGGGGGGGGGTCAAGTTTAACTTTTTTCGAAATTTTTTTTTCTGGGGGTGAGAAAACCCCCCCCTCTCCACGTCGACCCCCCCCTCCCTTCCTCCCCAGAGCCCGGCCCTGATCAAGCTTATTCTATTAGATGCCGACATAAAGAACCCTCCATTTTTTACAAGAAATTACAGGAAAAGTATGGCGGGGTCTTTTTGTCGGCACCTAATAGAACTATTTTAGTGTTATTCTAGCCTTGCTTTAGCCAGACTTAGTCTTAAAGTACCTACTATTAAGTGCCGACATAAAGAACCCGCCATAATTTGCCTGTAATTTCTTGGGAAAAATGGCGAGTTCTTTATGTCGGCATCTAATACTAAATATAATATTAATATTTGTTTTTCATTTTTTTAAAAAATATTTTAAACCTTTTAGCCAGTCAAAAAAAGTTATGTCAAGTTTAAGAACCCGCAGTTACATCACCTCGTCAAGATGATTTGTCGTTTGGACTCATTAGAGGTGACCATAGGTCAGTTTCGATCGTCTTATAGGAGAAACTCATTCGTCGGCTTTCTTTTTCCCCCGTACCTCCTGGTTTCCTAATTTTTTTTTGCGATGAAAGGGTCAGTTGGGCAGGCGATTGTGGGCTGTCATTTGGCCTTGCTTATTAACATAAGCTCTGTATTATACATTAGTTTGATCTTTACGGTAAAAAGTTTTGAGAAAATAAAGAAAGCATAAAGAAGCAAAATGTGATTATATTACAATATTCAAAAAAACATTTTTAAATTTTAATATTTTTCAGATTTGAAAATGGCAGACCTGCTGAAAGTCAGTTTTAGAGAAGATGGGGAAAAGAAAGAGGCTCTTAATGCTTGCCTTCATAAGTTTTTTTTTAAAACTAATTATAATATGATTTTTATATACAATTTTCTCTATTTCTATGTGTTCAGGTGGTGTGAGTAAGTTGACATGTGTTTATAAAGTCTTGTTGTCTCAATATTTTTCAAGGTTTCAAAAAAACAAAGTAAAACTAGGCTAACATAAGATAAGAGAACGATTTTTTTTTAAATTTAACACACAATTCACACAATCTGGTGCTTATTACACAGTTTCAGGCTTAGATCACAGTTTTAGGCTTATAGCACAATTTTAGGCACAGCACATGATTTCAGGCTTAACAAAATTTTAGGCTTAACACACAATTTAAAGTTTAACAAAATTGGGCTTAGGATAAATTTTAGGCTTAAACTAAAGCTTACAAAAAAAAGCTTAGGCTTAGCGCACAATTTTAGGCTAGGTTAGGCTTGACATACGATTTAAAGCTTACAATGAAAAGCTTAGGCTTAACATACAATTTTAGGCTTACAAAGAAAAGCTTAGGCTTAGCGCACAATTTTAGGCTTACAAAGGATAGGTTAGGCTTAACATACAATTTAAAGCAGACAAAGAAAAGCTTAGGCTTAACATACAATTTTAGGCTTACAAAGAAAAGTTTAGGCTTAACACACAGTTCAAGGTTTAAATTGAGCTTAAGACAACTTTTAGGCTTGGCATACAATTTTAGGCTTACAAAGAAAAGCTTAGGTTTAACACACAATTTTAGGTGTACAACTCAACTTTAACCGGCACACACTTTTAGGCTTACAATTAGCACTTAATTTTAGACTTTGAATAAAATTTTAGGCTTAGTGAATATTATAAGTTTAGCTTAATTTAAAAATATAATGCATTTTATTTTTTTTTTCAAAATCTTAAGTCTCTAAGCCTAAGCTTAAAAAAAACTATTTATTTTCCAATAAAAGAAAATTAAACCTAAAATAACTTGTGTCCTTTTCGCAATGGTAAATACAAATAACCATGAACTTTTTTCGCCGCTTCTTCGCTGATCCCCCTCGCTTTTTGTTTATGCCCGGCGGGGGGATTTGGGCCGTGTCCGATCGATGGCAACAGTTGGTATTGGATTAAAGATGCGGCCTGAATGGAGGCCAGACACATCAAAGTTTCGGCGAAAAAACTTGCAATCTTTTCTCTCTTCCCCCACCAGTGGTTAGGCCGATTGTTTTAAACTACGACCTTTTCGCACGGCTTAGAGCATGCCGGCGTTGTATATGTGGGGTGGAATCGTATGATCTGTGAAGGTTTATTTTATATTGGGCTTTGATGGGCAAGGTGTTTTTAAGTTGTTTTAGAGTTTATTGGTTGGTGTACTACTTTTAGGTAATAAATTTAAAAAAAAATTTTTTTTTTATTTTTTAATCAATAATTTTTCAAATTTGAATTTAAAGATTTAGTAAAATGGATAGGGTAGGCAGGGCCGAGCGCGAAAGGGGCACAATGTACATTCCCCCTCCCCAGAAAAAAATTTTTTAAAAAGTTGAACGTGGTCCCCCCCTGTGGATTTTTGGAAAAAATTATTGACCCCCGCCCCAAACCAAAAGTCACCGCCCGGTCTTGACTGTAGGGTAGGGTAAAACAAGTCAGGATGATATTTAGCAAAGAGTAAAATTAAAAACTTTTTATTAATTTAAAAATTTTTTTATTTTTTTTAAATTTTGTTTCTTACTTATAGTATTATACACAACTCCCTTATATCCAAAAACTTCTCATTTTCAAAAACCCAACTCAATAACAACCCCAACCCCAATTTAAATATGCATTTTTGTCGCCAAAACCGAAAATCAAAGCGATCGGGCCTTTGCATCCATCGCTCCTCTCTCCGAGTGCCGCGGTGTTAAGGAGTCGATTTGGGCCATAATATTATCCGTCTGGGCCCCGCTTTTTCGTACAGTGTCCGTGTTTTCGCACAAAAACGGTTGAATCAGTTTGGTTGCATTGTTCGGAGTTGTGGGGCGAAAAATCATACCTTGACCGTCAGTGCTGCTCCACAGGGTTTTGTTTCATTTCGGCGGCCGTACAAACTAGTTTTGGTTCGAAATGTCGCTGTTTTTGTTTTTATTTGTGTTACATGTAATTGTTGAGAGGTAGACAGTGATTTTGATGTTTGGTAAGGGGGGTTTTGTATAAAATTATTTTTTTTCAATTTTTTTTATTTTTTTTGGATTTTTAAGATTTTTAATAAGGGGGAGGGGAAGGGTAATCAAAAAAATTTTTATTTTTGAAGTTAGGGTGGTTAAAGCTATAAAAATGTGGGTAGAACAAATTTTTCAAAAAAAAAATTATTTAAAAAAAAATTTTTTTTTAATTTTTTTAAATTTTATGAAATTAAAAATTTTTTTTTTATTTTTTATATTGATCTTGCCTTTTATAAAAGCTTTAACTCATCAACGTGCCATTTCTTCAAAAAAAAATTTAAATTTCAAAATTTAAAAATTTCAAAAAAAAATTTTAAATTTCAGTTCGACCTTGGGGCATTCGCGCACTCGCAAACGCGTACCATAAGAACGGTTTGGAGGATGCGCGCCCGACCATCCGCTAGATGGCGGGCGCCGTTCCAGGTGCCCCTTGCAGTCGTTGTGATCGTGATCTTGTTCTTTGATCAACAACGATTTGGTGTTGATGGTGCTGCATGTAAAGGTTGTGCACCACCCTGCATTTGTCCCGGCACCAAGGGAGAAAAGGTAGGAATTTTGGTTTGTTTTGGCATTTTTTAAAAAAATTGTGTCTTTGGGGTATTATAAAAGTCTTGTCGCTTTTTACCACTGCCTTCAGTGACAAAAAACGACAAAACTTTTTTGTCAGCTTAATAGTGAAGGCTAGCCTTAATTTTTGAAATTTTTAAGTCAAAATTAGAAAAATAAGTTATAATAATACATAAAATGGCACTTTCTTTCAGGGTGTACCTGGGTTCGAAGGTCAACGAGGTCATCCCGGTCCACCGGGAGATGATGGTCCAGAAGGCTCGTTTGGTGTTCCTGGAATGCCAGGAGCTGAAGGTGACTTTGGAGATGCTGGTGTGAAGGGTATTAGGGTAAGTTTTAAGGCTATTTTAAAATTTTTTGAAATTTCAAAAAAATTTTTAAAATTTATAAATTTTTGTTTTTCTATAAACTTCTTGACCGCTAAGATAAAAAATAATATTTCTAAAAACTTTTTGACCAGTATTTTAAAAATTCAATTTTCCACAAACTTTTAGTCTTTTTATAGACTAATATATCCATTTTCAGGGCCCAGCTGGTCTACCCGGCATGTCAGGCCGTCCCGGTCTGGCGGGTTTGGACGGATTGCCCGGTTTGAAGGGAGAACAAGGTATTCCCGGATGTAACGGAACAGATGTGAGTTTTTTTTTGCAAAATAAATTAGAGAAAAGGGAGATCCAGGCCAATATGAGTCATCTGGCATTTGGCTATCTTTTCGAATGATAAAACTGAAAAATGAGGCTTTTTGGCAAAAAGTTATGCTTTTAGTCAAAAAAAGTCAAAATTTAATGAAAAAGCTTGTGATATATGGTAGGAAATGGCATTTGACTCATTTTTGTTACCTAAAATTCAGATTTTAAAATATTAAAAATTTTTTGAAAATATAAAGTTCAAGCCACAAATACATCATGAATAACATAAAAACCACTTTACAAACCCATTTCAGGGCATGCCAGGCCTGCCTGGTCTAGTCGGTCCACCAGGACCTCGAGGACCGCCCGGAGAACATGGTCGACCAGGCTACCCAGGAGAGCCCGGAGAAGGAGGTATCAACTCGATCGGCCGCAAAGGAGCTATGGGTAATCCAGGTGTGCCTGGACTACCCGGACATCCAGGTCAAGATGCTCATTCCGGACTAAAAGGCTGGAAAGGAGATCCCGGATCCTATGGTCCACCCGGTTTTCCCGGTCCACCTGGTGAGAAGGGTCATATGGGTCCGAGGACGCCCGGTTTGAAGGGAGAAAAGGGTTTGTCTGGACCACCTGGACCACCCGGACCACCTGGAAACTTTGCCGGACATTCGGCTCCTGAAGAGACGGAAGTTATTCAAGGACCACCTGGTCGTTTTGGTACGTTTTTTTGTAAAAATAGTACTAAATTTTAAAAAATGTTACAGTAGTAGAGTACGGTACTATACAGTACGGGTTCAAAAAGTTTTAAAAAATGGTTTGAAGGTTAAATATATCGCTTAAAAGTGACAAAAAATAGTTTTTATCAAGCACATTATAGGTGAAAAGGGAGAGAAAGGACGTGATGGACCAGTAGGACCACCTGGAGCCCCTGGATTTGATGGACCACCTGGATATCATGGATTGAAAGGCGAAAAAGGAGATCCTGGAGAGGCTGGCAACAGAGTAGGCTTAAAAACATTTTTTTGAAATTTTAAAAATTTTAAATTTAAATTTTTTAACTTTAAAGCCCTTTCGCTAGCCTAAAACAACATTTCAGGGCAAAAAAGGAAAAGACGGAAGCTACGGAGCGGCCGGTCCAAAAGGAGAAACCGGCTTGGCCGGTAACCCCGGATTAGCCGGCTATACCGGTCCGAAAGGATCAGCCGGTGACCTCGGCTACTCAGGACGTCCAGGACCCGAAGGAGATGCTGGACCACCAGGAGAGTACGGTATTGGTCACGGCGACCCGGGACCACGTGGTGTTCAGGGTCTGGACGGCGTGCCCGGACCGAAAGGTTTGCCTGGTAAAGATGGATTTGCTGGTGCAGTTGGTCCTCGTGGTGCTATTGGAGAGCCGGGACCACCTGGTGAGCGTGGTATGGATGGTCATCCTGGCTACTCGGAGAAGGGAGATCGTGGAGAAGATGGATATCCTGGCTACATTGGAGAGCCTGGATTACCTGGCGAGCCTGGCGGTTGTGGACCAGAAGGAGAGTATGGTCTACCTGGTTATGACATTCAAGGACCACCTGGTAAGCTAGGTTTTAGTCTTTAAAATTTTTTTTTGGTTTTAAAGTGTACCACCTTACTACTCTCTAATTTCCAGGTCTTGATGGTACCCCCGGACGTGACGGCTACCCAGGCATTCCAGGTGAAGTCGGTGAGCCAGGAGCACCAGGAGAGAAAGGTTTTCCTGGTACCGGAGTGAAGAAAGTAGGGCCAGAAGGTCAAATTGGTCTTGTTGGTATCCCAGGTGAAACTGGTCGTATCGGTGTTGATGGTCTACCTGGAGCACCGGGAGAGAAAGGCCAACGAGGTGATGACTGTGGCTACTGTCCGGACGGGATTCCTGGCGAAAAGGGAGAGGCTGGATTCCATGGTCCAGATGGCTACACTGGTCCTCGCGGTCCTGACGGTCCAATGGGAGCGCCTGGAGCTAAGGGCTATCCTGGTCAGCCTGGTAGTGCTGGATTCCCTGGGTATCCGGTAAGGTTTTGCTAGGCTAAGAATTATTTTTAGTTTGGACTAAAAATTTTTTTTTAACTTCTGAAAAATAAGCTCAAAAATCAAATTTTAGGGAGCTGAAGGCCTACCTGGAATCCCTGGCTACCCTGGACTAAAAGGAGAAGCTGGAGAGATCATTGGCCCAATGGAGAACCCGCCTGGCGTGGCTGGCTACAAAGGAGACCGTGGTGAACCTGGTGGGTCTTTTTTGACTAACAAATATTCTGCCGTTCACTTAATTCTGTGCTCCTTTTTAAGCAAATTTCTGAAGTTATGGGACGCAGAATTAAGTGAACGCATCTTTTCAAACCTTTAGCCAAGTTGAACCCTTCAAAACTCAACAAACCCTTTCAGGCTACCCCGGCGGCCCAGGCCTTCAAGGTCTCGACGGTCAGCCCGGCGCCCCAGGCCTTCCTGGCTTCCCTGGAACCCACGGTGAAAAGGGGTTGGCTGGAATTGATGCAAAACGCGGCCGTGATGGTCTTATTGGTCTACCTGGAGCTCGTGGCCCACCTGGAGATTCATATCCAGGCCAACCCGGTCTTGCTGGAAACAAAGGAGAAGCTGGAACACCCGGTCTACCCGGTCTTCCAGGTCCGGCTGGTCCAGCTGGCCCCGAGTTCGCTGGTTTGATGCAAGGAATTCGTGGCAAAGATGGCCTACCTGGCTTCCCTGGAGCCAAGGGAGGGTACGGTCAGTCTGGCTATCCTGGCCAACCTGGAGCACCAGGACAACCTGGTTTCCCTGGAGCACCTGGAGAGAAAGGACTACTTGGAATCGACGGAAAACGAGGCCGTTCTGGAGCACCTGGACTGCCTGGTGCACCGGGAGATGACGGCTATCCAGGAGCGCCTGGATTGACCGGAGAACGTGGACATGATGGACTACCTGGCTTGCCTGGTTACAGAGGTGAACCCGGAGCGCCTGGAGTTGGAGCACCCGGACTAATTGGATTCCCTGGAGCTAAAGGAGACGTTGGAGATTCTGGCTACCCTGGTCCTGACGGTCAAAACGGTTTGCCTGGCCTGCCTGGTATTCCTGGATCACTTGGAATGGAAGGCAACAATGGAGCTGAAGGTATTGTTGGGCTACCTGGACCAAAAGGAGAGACTGGACTAAGTGGAATACCTGGAAAAGATGGTAGACAAGGTCGTGTTGGACTGCCAGGAACGGATGGTTTGCCAGGATACAGAGGTGAAGCTGGTGTTCCTGGCTTCCCTGGACTAAGTGGACCAAAAGGTTTCTCTGGCCAGCCTGGATTACCAGGACGTGATGGATTAACTGGCACACCTGGAATGCTTGGAGAAATTGGAGTACCCGGAGAAGCTGGCTTGCCTGGACTGCCTGGAGAACGCGGAACTGACGGCTTGCCTGGAGCTCCCGGATTTAGCGGAGAACCAGGCTTGCGTGGTGCTGATGGTCATCCTGGAGCACCTGGATCTCATGGCGAAGATGGTAAGCTTATTTTGAAACACAATTGACTAATTTACAGGACTACCTGGACTGCCAGGACGTGACGGCTTCCCAGGCCTACCTGGTGTACCAGGTACCCCAGGTTTGCCAGGCATTGTAGGCCACCCGGGAGACGAGGGCTTCCCCGGTCCAATCGGATTGCCTGGAGACAACGGCTATCCTGGACAAGATGGCCTACCTGGACCACCAGGACCTCGTGGTGAAGACGGTCTACAAGGCTATCCAGGAGAACCTGGAGCTAGCATTCCAGGCCAGCCGGGACTGAAAGGAGAACCTGGAGAGTATGGACTAGAAGGTGTGCCAGGCCGGCAAGGTATGCCTGGCGGTCAAGGTCCAGCTGGTCGTCCTGGAGCACTTGGAGAAGCTGGTCAACCTGGATTACCTGGACTACCTGGTGGACAAGGCCGTGATGGATTCCCGGGGAGCGTTGGTGAGCCAGGACAGGATGGTTATCCTGGGCCAAATGGTATTCCTGGACTGGACGTAAGTTATAAACTTAAAAAATGAAATTGATAATAAACTAGCCAAAACACATCAAAATTGGCTATTATATGCTATTCCAGGGCCAAGACGGCTACCCAGGAGCACCAGGCTTCAAAGGCGAAGATGGAGAAGCTGGATTACCTGGAATTCCAGGCCAAAACGGCTTTCCAGGACCAAAAGGGCAACTTGGAGACAATGGATACCCAGGAGCTCCTGGCCTACGTGGCCCACCAGGCCACACCGGTCCAGCTGGAACTCCTGGACTGCCTGGGCACCAAGGAGAACCCGGCTACCCTGGTCAAACTGGATTACCTGGAGCTAAAGGCAATGGCGGACAAAGTGGTCTACCTGGCATTCCTGGAAAGTCTGGACCACCTGGCTTCCCTGGAGAACCTGGAACACCCGGATTCCCCGGACTACCTGGCCAAGACAACTATGGAGCACCTGGAGAGACTGGACTGGTTGGAATACCTGGCAAAGATGGACGGCCTGGTCAACCTGGATTACCTGGCTTCCCTGGTGACTCTGGCTATCCTGGAGCCCCCGGCTTGCCTGGAGAGATTGGAGACCATGGTTCGCCTGGACTACCTGGAGAACATGGACTACGAGGTATTGACGGAAAACGCGGCCATGATGGTTTGCCTGGTCTTCCTGGAACACCAGGACAGTCAGGCTATCCTGGAGAGAAAGGAAACAAAGGAGCCGATGGACTACCTGGATATCCTGGTCCAAGCGGAGAGCCTGGCTTCCCAGGCCAACGTGGAGATAATGGAGCCCCAGGACAACCCGGCTTCAGAGGAGACAACGGTCTACCTGGCCTTCCAGGCTCACCTGGTTATGCTGGAGAACCTGGAGACGGAGGTCTACCTGGACCAGCTGGTCTTTCTGGACGCCCTGGACCACAAGGAAGACCTGGTCTACCTGGATTGCCTGGACCATACGAACAACAAGTCCATTCACCACTTGGAGCACCTGGAGATTATGGTCTTCCTGGTCTACCGGGCCTACCTGGCGATGTTGGAGATCGTGGTTTGCCTGGCCCACCAGGCAAAGCTGGATTCCCTGGACTGCCTGGAGAACACGGTACGCCTGGAAACGCCGGTTACCCTGGAGAAGCTGGTATGACTGGTACACCTGGAGCACAAGGCGTGGTTGGCCGTGACGGCCGGCCCGGCTTCCCCGGACCTCCAGGCCAACAGGGTGGACCAGGTGGATGGGCTCCATCTCGTGGTTTCACCATCACCAAGCATTCACAAACCACTCAAGTTCCTCAATGTCCTCAGGGTTCGAGCAAGTTGTGGGACGGCTACTCGTTGTTGTACGTTCAAGGGAATGGTCGTGCTGCTGGTCAGGATCTTGGCTCACCTGGATCTTGTATTCCCAAGTTCTCGACGATGCCATTCATGTTCTGTAACATGAAAGAGACGTGCCACTTCAGCAGCCGCAACGACTACAGTTTCTGGCTTTCCACTGGAGAACCAATGACACAGATGATGAATCCGGTAAGTTTTAGCTTGGAAGAGGATATTTTAGTCTATCTTTTCACAAATTTTAAGAATTAGGGCGCAAACGGCCGCTTGGGAAATACGAAAAAAAAATATTTTTTGCCGATTTTTCTCGAAATTCGTCCGGTTTTCACGGTCTTCACCTTGTTTTAGGCTATAAAACATTTAACATTGTTAATTTTTGATATTTTCCTAATTTTATAGATCAAGTTTTAGATAACAAATAGGTTTTTTATCGTTATTTTAGCCATTAAACTTGTTTTTTGACATTGTTTTAGGTATCACATCGCCTTCTCGCTATTTTTGAGCTGTATTTATAAAATTTTATAAGGACTTCAACATTTTATTGACATTTTAGTTATTAAATTACTTCTTCCTTTGATTTTGACACTTATTTTATCTTTTTTCACTATTTAGATAACATTTTTCTTTTCAGATCACTGGAACATCGATCCGCCCCCAAATCTCGCGTTGCTCGGTTTGTGAACTTCCAACACAAACTATTGCTGTTCATTCGCAAGATTCCTACGTTCCAACTTGTCCACAAGGATGGTCGCCTTATTACAGTGGTTACAGTTTTGCCATGGTATGTTTTGATTTTGTTATTGAGTGGTTTTGTTTTTAGATGAAGGATAATATCGAGAATAAGGAAATAGAAGGTTTTTTACCTTCGTCATTGCTTTTTCCATACGGATATGCTATTTTCTTAATGTTATTATACCTATTCTTTAAGATTTACATGTTATTCCTTTCAAAAAAATCTGTTTCAGCACACCGGTGCTGGAGCCGACGGAACAGGTCAGAACTTTGAATCTCCTGGCTCATGTCTTGAAGAATTCCGTGCCGTTCCCTTCATCGAATGTCACGGTAAAGGAACCTGCAACTACTACGCCACAAATCACGGATTCTGGTTGGCCATCGTGGACAGAAACAGCCAGTTCAGGAAGCCGATGCCACAAACTTTGAAGGCAGGTGGATTGAAGGACAGAGTGAGTCGTTGTCAAGTCTGCATCAAGAATCGACAGTAGGGAAACGATCAGAAACCTACAATAAGATTGTGAACATCAGAATCTACAGCGATTATGAGGAGAATCATCAGGAACTTCACAATAACAAAAGATTTATCTTACTCTACCTATGATAATATCTCTAAATCAAGGTTCCAAACGTTCTTGCAACAATATACTTAAGTATTTTAATTATGTTTACATTGTATTGAACTTTTTGCCATTTTAGTGCCAATATATTGCCTTTTTTCGTCTTTAAAAATTTTTAAAAATTAAAATCTTTATCTACTTTTTTAACAAGATATTTACATTTGTACTGCGTGTGGTTACACTGCCATAATAACACGATTTCTGCCATCAAAATCTCTACTTTAACTCTTGCCGCTTCTTTCCATAAGTATGTTAAGTTTTATTGGAATAAATTAACTATAAGTAGACGGATTATTTGAGATTTTGGGTATATTTTTTAAAATTTCTTTGAAATTTCATGTTTTACTTTTGTTTTTTACAATGTTTATGGCTTTAAAATAAGAGAAGTTGTAATAAAAAGCATTTTGAAGCTTTATAACCTAATTTAGACCTACTATAATATAAATTTACTGCAGAATTTGTAGTTTATGGAAGGTGAAATAGAATTAAAACTTATGATTTTAGTGTTGTGTGTTTGTGTCAAAATCCATTTCATACTAATGCCAAGTTTAAATAGAATTTTAGTGTTAAAAACCTTTAATTCACTTTGTTATTACTGTTTTACTGTTGAAAATTTGATTAGATTTGAAGTAATTAATGACTCGTTATTTTCATAAATGTAGTTTTATTGCCATAACATGTTTACTTCGTTGTTGCGAACAATTGGGAAGTTTAATGCATTGTTTAAAATTGTGTTTATTGGTCTAGTTGACGCGGTAGGGTAGGATAAAACAGAGCAAAGCAGATCAGGACAGAATAAAGCACGGCAGCGCACGGTAAGACATAAAGGACGGAAGTACGGTAGATAAGGTAAAGCAAAGTAGGGTAGGGTAGGGTAAAGTTATACGTTGTTCTATCGTGTTTGGTCGTTCATGTGTGTTATTTAATCACACTAAAGGGTAATGATGACTTGCTAATAGCTAATTAAAAATTACTGTATTAAGTCTAGTGCATGTTAATGTATAATCTTTGCCTATCGTAGAATTATTGTTTAATTATTCTTACATCGCTTTCTTTTACAGTAAATAAGAAAAGTAATTAGTATATAGGTGCAAAAAGCTTTTGTTTTTAGCTTAATGTTGTATTTAAACGACGGTCTTGTTACTTAATCTTTACTTTTGTGTCTTAATCCTAGCTCTAGACTTAGTTTTTGCCATAGTCTTTGCAATAATCATAGTTTTAGTCCTAGCTTAATTTTACTTAGCTCTATCTCACTACCTTACACTACATTAGTCAGCTATGAAATAAAGAGTTTCTTGCGTAATATATGTTATGTTAGGTAATATTGATGCTATAATTACATATTAAAATAGCCTTAGAGAAATTGTAAGAAACGTTATTACGCAACGTTTTCTTACATATGTTTACTTTTGTAATATTTGCCTCGGTGTAAAACGACCCAACAAATTACCACGAGGGGCTATATTTTTATTTTGCGCAACGTTTTGAAAGAAAACGGGCAAGAACTTTTGTTACAAGACATTTAAGCCTAAACCTGCTGTGCCTGAGCCTACTAAGGCTAAGCCTACTGAGCCCACGCCTACTAAGCCTAAGCCTACTAAGCCTAAGGCTACTAAGGTGAAGCTTCAAATGTTTACTATTAAATATTTACCCTATTAAGGTGTTTATCGTACTTTTGACTCTTTACCACTTTTAATACAAGTCTAAAGCTTAAAATTAATGTTTTACTGCAATTTTATAATACAATTTTAGCAAAAAATGCCATATGATCAATCTTCAGATCAAGTTGCATTCATCACCCGTGTAAATTATAGTTTCTCATTAGCACTTGGTACAATTAGTACTCTTTTACTATGCTATTTGATACTACAGCACACAAATCAACGTATAAAGTCATATGCTATTATAATGATGCCATGTGTCCTTGGTGATTTGTTATTCTTAATTTTTACTACTTTAGGTCAATTTGTAAGCTTAATTTAAAACTTTTTAAAATTTATTTTTAACCTTTTAAAAAATTAAATTTTTTTGAAATTTTAGCATGTTCGTATGGTAGATGGTGTATTCCTTGGTGTAATACAAGGGCCGGGAAATCATTTTGATAATATTGGTCAGGTTACCATAGTATCTGCGTTCGTGTCAACTTTGTCATTGCTGCATACCATACTTCCAGCACAAGCCTACTTTCGGCATTACACTGTTATTAGGTACGTCTTAAGTTTCGTGAGACTTAGGTTACATTTTAAGCTTAAGTGAACATTATTAGGCTTGGGTACATATTCTTAGGCTTAAATACACATTTCAGGCTTAGGTACTTATTTTTAAGCTTATTGACCCATTCTAAGCTTAAAGTATCAGTTCGCCCATTCAAATATCATTGGCATTCTGTCGCAAAAATTCGACGTTCATTTTTTCGCAAAAAACCTGAGCAGGTCGTTCTCAAATAGGAAAATTCATTTCGACACCGACCCACACACGTTTTTGAGAAAAATGATTCTGATTGAAATTGCCTGATTTTCGACGCTTTTTGCGACAGAATGCCAATGATATTTGCATGGGCGAACTGGTCCTTTAAGCTCACATTTCCAGAATTAGGTACGAATTTTAGGCTTACGTCCACATTTGTTAGGCTTAAGTACTTATTGTTAGGCTTAGGTACAAATGTTTAGGCTTAGGTACATATATTAGGCGATACCCACTTTTAGACTTAGAACATAGTGTTGAGCAATGTGAGGTAGAGCTTTAAAAATTTCAATAACATTGTTATAGCTACAAACCTCTGCCAATTCAACAAATGTGCCTAGTATTGTTTCTACCGTTTTTAGCTATCGTTCCGATGATGTATTTGTGCTTTGAAAGTTTTTTACATTCAGATGAAGCGCGTCTGGATTTTGATTATCGGACGTTATGGTATAGGAATACGACAGAAATTGTTTTAAAAGTTGATGTTGTAAGTTGTTTTTACATTGTAAAATATCTTACTTTTACCCTTTTTGAATCGTAAAAACACCCCTTATTTTTTTTCTTTTACTCCCCTCTCCCCTTCCTTTTGTTTTGTGCTTTATTACAAAGTTATTGCAGTACTCTCTCTATATAAGCAACCAGAAGGGTCCGACATTTTGTGTTTACTATAGAGGGTGTTGTCTTTACAGAGAGGCTTTTTAGTGCAAATTGACTTGAAGGGGTCAAATTTCTTGTTTACTATAAGGAGAGTTGCTTATACAGATGGTTCACTATGTAGAGAGTACTAATATTGATTTCTGTATGATTTGACTGTTAATAACTGCCATTGTTTATAGCGCTCAACGTACCAAAAGCTGTACTTTTCGTACTCGGTGGTTATTGTGACTGGTGCTTACAGTATAGCAATTTTTATTGGTTTGAAGACCCTGAAAGCTTTGAAATCGAACAAGTTTTTAATGACGGCACGATCAAAGAGAATGCAAGCGCAGTTTTCAACTTATATGGCTTATCAAGTAAGTTGTTTATTTCAGCTTTATTGTAGCCGTACCTAATTCTTACTGTAGCTTAAGTCTAGTTCTACTTTAGCTCTATCCTAGTTGAACACCAGCTCTATTCTAGCTTTGCCTTAGCCCTAACTTCCTTCAGAAAACCTTTCTTTATTCAAATTTATATTATAATTTATTAATTCAGGCTTGTATTCCAATAATAATATCAGTTGGTCCAACCTTATGGTTAGTCACATCACAATTTATTGGTTATGATGCGGACGTTCTATCAAATATAAGTGTTGGTTTATACAGTTGGCTGCCATTCTTTAACTCAACCGTTACTATCGTTGTTATTGTTCCGTATCGGAAGCCTTTGCTACGGTTATTTTGCAAACATCGAGTTAAACCAACTTCGTATACTGATAATAATACTGATTTGACTGGGAAGTAATTTTCATTTTTGGGTTTTGCTTTACAATAAGTTTTTGTTTTACAATTTTACTGTGCAATAAATTAAATTTTTGATTTTACTGTGAAGTAAATTGATTTACTGATAAAAAGGTAAGCGTAATGTAAGTGTTAGGTGCCAACAATTGTGATAAAATATCGTATCTTAATGATACCTTGCTAATATTAGGTGCCGACATAAAGAACCCGTCATTTTTTGCAGAAAATTACAGAAAAATTGTGGCGGGTTCTTTATGTCGGCACCTTGTACAATATGTTTCTTTTTATGTTAAACATCAGTATGTACTAACGAATTTTTAAAAACATGAGTACATACACAGTACTACTACTTAAAGAACAAACAATATGTTATAGTAAATCCACTTTACATACCATAGTAACATTTTCTTAACATACCACAGTAATATTTTCTTATCATACTGTGGTAACATTTGTGTTAAGAAACACAAAAACATGATCATTTTTGTCATTTTTAAGAACCCTATAATGATATTCATTACAACGACCAAGTGTCATATTCTGAAGATGCTTACGTTAACTTTAAAGAGGTGAATATGAAGATGTTTACATTGACCTTAGAGAGGTTATAACAGTGTTAAAGATACGAAATAGTACTTAATCTTCCTAAGATTGTAAGTAGTTCTATTAATCTTTATGAACATCTTAGTTAGCTACAAAGCGCGGCCAAACTTTAAGAATCTTTACGAACATTAAGATGTAATGACCTTTTGTTCATAAACAACAAGTTTTTCATACAAAACCAAGTGTCAACTATAAATTTTGATGTTAATAGGTTTGATAAGGAATACTTTTAAGATATATACAGTATTTATTTAACTTCCAAATTTTTTTCTTAGAGGTATAGTAAGGCATAGTAGGGTAGGGTACGGTAAGATAGAGTAGGGTACTGTAGAGTAGGGTAGGGTAGAAGTTTAAAAAAATGGTTTTCTGAATAATTAGTCTAAAAAGTTCTGTAATGCTAGTTATGTTAATTAAGGTTATTATCGGTTGAGCACGCACTTGTTAACCCTTTTTGTTACATCTAATCTTGTGTTGTAAAAAAATTGTTAAAGCAAAGTATTTCCTTGTATGTGTTACAATATATAACGTTTTCACGGACTGTAATATGTTCACAGAGTTGATACTTTAGTTCACCAGCTACAGCCAGACCAATCTCCATAAAAATACCCATTGCCATTTCCAATGCACTACCATCCAACAGAAGAAAACCCTTATGCCTGGGACTTTGAGCAAAAGGTACCTGAACTACAATATGATGAACACAAACTTTCGACAACATTGTCGCATATCAACACGTATGTTGGGTTTGTACTGGCTATGGTAGCAAATACAGTTTTACTTTATTTGATACTAAGACGTACTCCTTCACATATGAAACAGTACAAAGTGATGTTGATGCCGGGCGTTTTCATTGATATTATTCACTCTTTTGTGCAGGTTTTGGCATTGTTTGTAAGTTTTTAATGTTGAGAGAGTAAAAAGAGGAGGGGGGCAAAAATGTTTAATAAAATTTTTAATCAAATTTTAGTGTTATGATTAACAGTAAAATTTTGCAGAAGATCAATACGAATGATGGAGTCGCCTTGATTGCAATGGAAGGTATAGCCAAAAGGTGGCCATTAGAAGTACGTATCTGTGTACTTTCGTTTTTCGGCTTTTTGACATTACTTATAACTGCCATATCACCTGCTCAAACTTACTATAGATATTACTGTATTACCAGGTAAAAAATGTTAAAAAAAAGTGCTAGCCAAGCTTAAATTAAACTTTTTAGTTTCTATGCTATACTGAAGGTAGAAAGTTTTGACCCCTCCATCCCATCTAACTTGGCTATTAACGGTAGTCCAGAAAGTCTTGGTTCCGTTTGTGTTGTTACTAGGTTGTCAATAAACTATATACCAAGTTTAAGTTTGGTCCCGGTCAGTTCACTCATAGCCAATTTAGATGAAGAGTCAAAACTTTCTGCCTTCAGTATATCTCTACATTATGCTTACCCGTCTTACTATAGACATGCCCTAGCCCTACTTTAAACTTACCCTACTATAACCATGCTTAGCCCTGATATAATCTTTCACTATGTCTTACCTTAGCTCTCGCTTAGTCTTATCATAGCCAAGCTTCAGCTCTGCGTCAGTCATACACTAACAAACATCCTAGTGCGACCCGAGTTTTACTGTAGCCATGCCTTAGCTTTTTTAAATTTAAGCATTTTTTATCTTAATTTCAGGCCAAAACCCATGACAATCAAGCAAACAATCTGCCTGTTTGGCTTTGCAACTACTATGACATTACCAATGTTCTTCGTGGCTCACTAAAGCTACAGTAACTCTGGAGAGTCCAGACCCAAATACAACTATGCCAAGTTGTGGTACAAGCAAGTGCCCGTGCCTAAATTACTTATTGCAGATGGAGTAAGTTTGATTCTTAAGAATAAAATAAAAAAGAAAATAAAAAGAAAATAAAAAAAATATAATAAAATAAAATAAGTTAAAATAAATAAAAAAAATAAAAAAAACAAAATAAAATAATATAAAATAAAATGAAATAAAATAAAATAAAATGATAAAATGATAAAACTAAATTTTAAAAAAATTAAAAAAATAAATAAAAATGCTATATGTAAACCTTTTTTTAAATAAAAAAAAATAAAATAAAAAAATAAAAAAAATAATATAAAATAAAATAATAAAATGATAAAATAAAATTTAAAAAAAATTTAAAAAATAAATAAAAATATGTTTCAGCGCTCATTTTACCAACAAATAAACTGCAATTTTTCTGGTATTGTAGTACTCACGTCTTACCTTATTTTTGCTATCTTTGCTGTAAAAACAGTTCGAATATTAAAAAGAAAAGGCTATAAATTGTCCGAAAAGACCAAAGCGTTACAACGACAATTGACCAACTACTTGCTTTTACAGGTAACTTCTATTTCTTTTAATTAAAATTTTTTTTTAAATTCAAATTATTTCTTAAAAATTTTTTTTAAAATTCTTTTTTTAATTAAAAAATCTTTTTCAGGCCCTGCTACCATGTATAAACGTAATATGTCCAGTGATATTCATAGTGGCAAAACTTATTTTACATGATAATGCTGTCAGCGCGGCTTTTATGATTAACTTTTGTGTTAGCTTGATCCCAGTCTGCAATCCACTGATGACTATTATTGTTATGGCACCTTATCGAAATTGTATTCTTGCACTGTTTAGAAAGAAGAGAGTGACATTTTGGAACAGCTCCTCCGTGCCTACGATTACTTGATTTTGTTTTAATTTGAATAAAAATTTTTTAAGAATTTTTATACGGGATAGTTCTCAGGGTCCGCAGGAGGCTTGACAGGAATTGCAAAAGAGTTGAAAAGGTTCGCAGGAGGTTTGGCAGGGTTCTCAGAAGGCTTGGTAGTTATCGCAGGAGGCTTGGCAGGGTTTGCAGGAGGATTGAAAAGGTTCGCAGGAGGCTTGGCAGGGTTCTCAAAAGGCTTGGTAGTTATCGCAGGAGGCTTGGCAGGGTTTGCAGGAGGATTGAAAAGGTTCGCAGGAGGCTTGGTAGGGATCGCAGGAGGCTTGGCAGGGTTTGCAGGAGGATTGAAAAGGTTCGCAGGAGACTTGACAGGATTCGCAAGTAAGTTCTCGGGGTTTGCAGGAAGGTTGAAAGGGATCACAGAAGGCTTGGCAGGGTTCACAGGAGAGTTGGCAGGGTTTGCTGGAAAGTTATCAGAGTTCGCAGGAGGCTTGGCAGGGTTCGGATGAGGGTTGAACGGGTTTGCAGGAGAGTTGGCAGGATTCACAGAAGGGTTCATTTTGACTTATTGATAAATATAAAAAATTGCCAACATTTGTATTATGAAAAAGGATCATTTTTGTTACCATTAAGCATATAATGATTTTCACTAAAACGGCCAAGTGTCATATTGTGAAGATGTTTACGTTGATTTTAAAGAGGTGGGTATTAAAATGTTTACTTTGATCTGAAGGAGGTATATATGTATTAAGATGTTTACGTTGACCTTAACGAAGTTTATACAACATTATTAAAAATACAAAACAAAGCCTACTGTTTATGATCTCGTAAGTGGTTCTGTTAAACTTTAACCTTGGCTACAAAAAATGATTAATAATCCTAAGAATCTTAATGAAAGTTAAGGCGTAACAACCTTTAATTAATAGATAAACAAGGTTCTTACACAAAACGAAGTGCCAACTATTGACTATGCTGTAAATAAGTTAACTATTTAGAATAATTCTTAAATTTTGAAAATTTTGTAAATTTTTTGTTTCTAAATACAGAGTGCGCCAAAAGTTCGGTTACAAAACTTTACCGGTCGTTTTCTTTATGTTTCGATTAAATTATTTAAAATTTGTAGATAGATCGGGTAGTTCAAGGTAAATTAGGATATTTTATAAAGTTGTCAAGATCTGTTTAATAATTTTTTAAAGTTTTTTTTAAATTTTTTAAGGGTAAAAAATGGATAGGTAAGGTAAAGTAGAAAAGAGTAGTGTGTTTATAATTTAGAAAAAAAAGTCACGATACATGGTCTAAAAGTTTGAAAAATGATAGTTATGTCAATGTTAATGCTTGTTATTATTGGTTTAGCACCTACTCGTTAAACGTTTTGGTTACATATAATGAAAAGAAAACATTGATAATGCAAACATTGCATTTCCTTGTCTGTAAAATACAATTTAGCAAGATGTACAATACAGTGGTCTCTCTATATAGTGAACCATCAGTATAAGCAACTCTCCTTATAGTCACGGCCGGGCGGGGACTTTTGGTCTGGGAGCGGGGGTCCAAAACATTGACACAGGTAGCAGCTACCTGTGCCGATTTTTTGCAAAATTTTTTTTTCGAAAATCCACAGGGGGGACCACGTTCAACTTTTTTCAAAAATTTTTTTCTGAGGGGGGGATACCCCCCCCTGTCCCCCCCCTCTCGCGCCCGGCCCTGCTTATAGTAAACAAA